CTCAACTAGCCGAATTTGTGCATTTTAACCGACGGATGGTAGAGGCTGATCGTGACTCGGATCGGGCGTTCCTGCGTCATCTTTTGTTTGGGGATACAATCACACCATGGCTTGTCTATACACATGCAATTAGATGGGAATGGTAACAATGTGACAAAACTCATCCTTTACCCTTTATCAACAAAACAATTGCTCACATGGGTACTATATGATGTTATATTATTGTAAATATGTTTTTTTGTTATTGTTGTTCATGTAACGAAAAAAAAGAAAAAACCACGAGAAGCAAACAGTAGCTGAACAACAAATAAACCGTGTCTTGAGTCTTTATTTGCCATGTTGATGTTCACGTGCTGGTGTCGAGAACGAATGAGAGATTGAGAGAGGGTGATACCGATTCCGATGTAAAACAATGGGAGTGAAAGCAGGGGCGTCGCTAGACCTTTTTTTCAGTGTGTGTGTGTGGGGGGGGGGGGGTGTAGAGGCCACCAATTACCGACAAAACTAGCCACCAATCACCGACAAATACGGTCTACAAATTTAACCCTATAAACCCGGGGCCGAAAGCTCAGTAAATAATTTTTCCTATGCACTATTTGCAATACGTGCGTATGCGCACATTGTCATTTTCCTCGACGACATATACTATTTATTTCGTCAACTTAGTATATTAGCCAGGCACGTATACCCCCCCCCCTCAATTTTTTCAATATTTAAAAAACTATATATATTTATATTTGTGCTGAAGGAGGCAAAAAAAAAAAGTGTTCCTCCTCCCCCCCCCCTTCCCCCAAGCCACTGAACGAAATATCTGACGACGTAATTGTCTAATTTCCGCCCCCCCCCCCAAAAAAAGTGACATCTTAATGATTCTTTTATTTTTTAATGAAAAAAATAATTAATTAACAAAAAATTGGGGTGAAAATAATTTAAGACAAAAATTAAAATAAATTTTTTAAAAATCCGCCCGCCTTCCCCTACTCCAGAAAAGCAATCGAGGTGAATCAATTTTTTTTTTTTTTTTTTTTTTTGGGGGGGGGGGGGGGCTTAGCGTGCGAATCACTTAAAGGGCCATTCTAACCAAAAAAAAAAACAAAAAAAAAACATGTAGAACAATTTAGAAATCATCAATAATTCTGGAATCTAGCTTTAAAAATGACCGACTCAGAACGCTTGGGGAAAAGCCCAGTTTCGGAGCTGTATCGCGCAATAGCACATGACGTCACTGCAGGAGCCTCTCCGGTGAAAAGGAGGGTGATTTAGGCCTTACAAAATTTCCCTCCCCTTTTTTTTCATTTTTCCCGAGGGCAGCGCAATTTTATTGACAATATCCTGACAGTTGCGGGATGTCGCACTCCACATCCAACCCCCCCCCCCCCCCCCCTTTAGCGACGTCCCTGAGTAAAAGCGAGAAATGGAAATAAGTTGAAATGCTGATTTAAAGGACTGAAATGGGAGAGAAAATGAAGAGTGAGATAAAAGGAACAGAGAAAAGGATCGGAGGAGGAGGAATGGTTTAAAAGGTATGCAGCGAGGGGGAATGAACTGGGGGGGAGGGGGCACTCGTTTTCCCGAAGGTTCATAATTCCGAAACACAAATTTCCCATACCTATAGGGGTTCATAATTCCGAACATGAAATAGGGTTCGTAAATCCGAAAATGGAAAAAGATACCTGCATGTAAACAACAAACGAAACGTAAAAGGAATTCAGGAGGCCTAGACAGCCCATCCACCCTCTCCACATAAGAGATCCAAAATGACTGGAGAGAGATAGAGAAACAGAGATAGAGACAGGGGATATAGTAGAAGACAACAAAAGACAATAGGACAATATAAAGGATAACTGAAAAAGAAAAGGAAAGGAAGGAAGGAAGGAAGAGAGGAAAGTTAGAAAGAGGGAATAAGATTGAAATCGGTGACAGAGAGTGAAAGATAGAAGGGGGTATCATGATTGATTGATAAGGTGATATAGGTGATTTTTTTTTTGGGGGGGGGAAGCGGGGGGGGGGGGGGCACGTCCCCCTTGGATCCGCCACTGTCAGTATATCACTTTACTGGTTCACTCTATGATATATGGTGTTTCTTTAAGTGGGCTCTCTATCGTAGGCGTCATAATCATTTCGATAATGGCATCGTAATCAGTCCAACCACTTTCCTAGAATTTAATTAGAATTCTTCACTTGCTTGAATACATTTTGATTGATGAGAATGCATTGCAATTTATTATGAACTACATCTTTCATGCTGCCACGCTTTATATGCTTCGATGCATGTACATTACATCATCATAATTATAATATCAAATACGGAGAGTGGTTGCTGTATAACATGATTTTCCTCAGGCTCCAGCAAACCCTCGGTATTAGGCTAATGAATGTTTATGACATGATCACTGTGAATCATAGGGATTACATGCTGTACCCCCCCCCCCCCACCCACGGTAAACTAACAAAAGCTTACCATAATGCTAAAACTCCAGTACAGTTATTAAAAATTTTTAAAAAATGCATTGACCCCGCAAGATCAACCATGTAAAATGATAATTAACATGGCCATCTATCAAAAAAACATGCATTGTAAAATGTAAACAATGCCATTTGTATGATGAATTTCTATTTATTTATCCTTTATCCTTACGTTTACAAATTTTGCACGATTATTGTATCAAAAAGTTCTGAATTTATTATTTAAAAAATTCACAACTCGTTAGTGTAATTAATTTTTTTTTTTTACACCAAAACAAATTTCTTTTTGTCAGATTTTTAAAAAGTAACAATATATTCGCAAAATAAAAATTATTGGGATACTTCATAAATACTCTCTTAAAACCATAAAATTCATCATCACGTGCATAAAATATATCATACTAGGGCGAATCATTATATTCGATCCAACTTCGATCTTGTTACTGACGTACATGATTATAATACAAGAAATAGACGATTCAACTTTAACTTACCAGAAAGAGTAGGTAGTATTGGAAATTCGTTTTATTACAATGCCATAAAACATTGGAATTCCCTTCCCAATGGTGTAAAAGAAATAGGAAACTATGATCATTTTAAGAGGAAATTAAAGGAATACCTAATACTTGACAGTCAGAGAAGAGAAGTGAATGACATGTTATATGATTGAAATTGTTATTCTTCTGTCGGTTCATACTTTTTCATGTTGTATATACTTATGTTTTCGTACGTTATAGAAATTCTACAAATTCATCATTATTTTCCTCTTCTTCCTTCTCCTCTTTTTCTTCTTCTCCTTCTTCTTTTTCTTCTTGTACTTAATATCATTTCTATCATCAGTTTAATGTTGTTATTATTATCTTTAATAAGTAGTTCTTTTAATTTTCTTATCTGTCTGTAAATATTACTATTTTAATTTATTAATTGTATACATGTCTGTAAGGGACCCCACTGGAAATAAGCTCTCGAGCTTTCGTGGGTTATCCTGTTCAAGCTGACTTATTTTTGATCTGTTATTATTGTATATTGTTGTATATTGGAAGCTTGTCGAATAAAAATCAATCAATCAATCAATCAATATAAACAAAGCAATCCATTTACAAATAAATCAAACGTTTAGGTCTAAAAAAATAATGTGCATAGACTTATATTCATCGATCATTCGTTGAAACACCATCATAAAAATTGTGCAGTACCTCTGCAAATCCACAATACATACAAATCAAACTGACATGAGACAAGACTGAAATAAGGTAAAATTCACAAATTATATTTAAATGAAATATTGATCAAAAGTCATTTATTGCACCGGATCAGTTGTAACGATTTTAGAAAATAGGCAAAAATGTGTACTGGGTTTCATATGTTATGTAATCACAAAATATACACTGATGCATTTTTAGTGTCATATTATTCTTTATGAGATAAGTCAGTATTGCTTACCGGTACATCATTCCTTTTATACGTGAGCAAAAAATCTTTCTTTCTACCGGTATCTACATTTTTTTCTAAACAAAGAACTACCTAAATCTTGAAATCTATGGTCGGCTTTTTAAAAAAGTTTTTTTTGTTACCGTTTTTTAGAGAAAAAAAAATATCAAAGCATTCAAGCTGAGAAATATCAGCCCAAAGAGGGAGAAAAACAAAGTTTAAAAAAAAAAAAAAGTTTCTGACCGACCGACCTATGTTTTGGCATCTAAAGGGCAATACAACATCTTTTTTTTTAGGCCTAACATACTGTCTAAGTCTGATTAATGAGCGTATACACATAATAATAATAATAATAGCTCACATTTATAATGCGCCTAATACTACGTTTCTAGGCGCGGAACATATTATTACCCCGGTCATCGGATTCAGGCTTACCCGCACACAAGGTATGCACATTCTCCACTCCCTGGGGAGCATTCCAGCCAGTCGCCATTTTACAAGCGCCACTTGCTAATCAAACCACATTAGCTTTCGCATCCTACCGGGTACCCATTTTAACACCTGGGTGGAGAGTGGCAAATGTAGATCAATGTCTTGCCAAAGGACATTAGTGCCGCGGCGGGACTTGAACCGCGGACCTTGTGATCCACAGTCCGGTGACTTATCCACTCGACCACGACACCTCTATATATATATAACTTCTATAAAATCAAATATGCACTATACAATAAAATACCTGAAATGAATTGGAGAACAATGCAAGACAAGATATATGAAAGACCCATGGTAAGGATGATAAATAATAAGTAAAAACACACAATACATTATATAGTATCTGATGAGAAATGTACAAATCTTGGAGGTAAAAAAAACCCATACAGACGATCCTCAATACAACCAAATCACATTCAAGCCTGAACTACACATTTTACATAGCAACGCTTTTCATCAGTCCTATCCTGTATTATTTCATCATTTAAAATAATTTAGAATTAAGTGTTTTGGCTGGTCTTGTATCTTTGTTGTGTCTTTGCTGTTAAAGAAAAGAGAGAGAAATTTCACTTTTTCCAAATAAATGGGAACAGTTTACTAATTGGTGTAAAACATATTATTATTCACAGTTCACTGAATATTCAAATGGTGATATAAACATGATTATGAAGATCATCTAACATAATACATTCGTTTGGTTCTCCCCAGGTACTCCTACTAGTGACATACTAATTAATGCATCATCACATGAAGGGATATGAACATGTTGAAAAATAATAAAATAAAGTCTTGTTCATGTGGAGTTGGCAAAACAAACTATCTGGCCACACTGTTCACAATTTAAAGAGAAAGGGAATTCTGACACAAGAGATTGATAATATTTATCTAGCTGTCTATCTGTCTTTCTGTCTTTTTCTCTCTCCTTCTCTTTTTTTCTCTCTCTCTCTCTATATATATATCTCACTTTACCTTCTCTGTCCCCTTCCTCTCCTCATTTTTCTTCATCTAACTCCCTTTTACCCTGTTTTCCTTCAATCTATTCTTTCAAGTCTATTGTAGTTGGAATATCATCCATCTCATAATACTGGTGTGTGATACCCTCTTCTTTGACCTTTACAATCCTGATGCCTGGTGTGTCTGTTGCCCTCTGTTGCCAGCCCATCGCAGAGGTCACAACCTGCTCCAATCCCTTGTAGAATCCACCATCATTCTGGTGCTGGTGACCCGAGAAGACCACTTTTACTCCTAGCATTCAAACAGAAAAAGAAAAAAATTAGTGAAAATAGTAAATAAGCATCTAACAATGTTCGATCTGTGTTTTCATCTTCTCTTACTTCACTACCGTCAGGCTAAATGTATAATCTATTGCCTCACTCTAGACCCGCGCATAGTTTTATTTTGATGACAAATGCAGCGATACAAACATAAAGGAATCTGTCGCTTGTAAACAAAATAAGACGCCATTATATATTCAGCTGCACACACTGCGGTATATTCGGCGTTTCAAGAGGGAGCAAATGCCGTCCTTAATATTATTCCGGGGGTTTTTCAATTTGAAAGTCTGGTTTCTTTGATTGTTAATTAACCCCTATCCTGTGTATTTACAAGCAAAAGATTTTAGTTATCAGAATCGGGTCATATCCCCTTATGAATGGTTTAACATGCCATTACATTTATATACACTAAACCCATTATAATTTGACAAATAATAGCTTTGCAATTATGTTCATTCTTTATGGGATGTCGTCTGCTTGGGCAGTATTGGTCCATATTGTGACGTCATTAAAACATCGTTATTTTTCTGGCGAATCTCTTGTATATCCCAGCTGCTGTGGAGATGGTTGTATTTGTATTTTTATAAATCACCCGATATGTAGTTGACCTAAAACTTGCACTTGGCCATCTGTTAGCTTACCAGTTTCTAGTGATACATTAGTTGACATATTTGTGATTTTCTTTGAATTTCACCTTTAAGGAATCTAATATCTCCTAAGCAATTTCCATACTGTATATATCAGTTATATAAACATGATCGCAACTAACACAAGGGCAATTTCAATAACCTATTGTATGTCCCATAGAAATCATGTTTGGATTACATGTCAGTCATGTCGTGTTCGCTTGATCAATAGGTGACGCAACAAGGCTATTTAAATTGCTTTACGTTACCAGGTTTATAATAAGACTGATGAGAACATTTACTTTGTTAAATGTTATTGTAATGGGGAAGAAGAAAAAGAAATCAACTTTCACCTCAGTTTGAGACAGGAATAGTTATACGAGACAAGGCTGGCCACAAAGTTTTATATACATTCTGAAATTTCTTGACACAGAAAAAACTTAATTGAAAAGATATAACCTGAGAAACATTTTTATGTATCCTGATTCCTTAGATTTCTACAACTAATAAAATCTACTGTGACACATAATGGGCCCTACATACAAACATCATAAACTAAATGATTAATCAAAATAATGGTGTTACAGAATGATATTTTAAATAATTATGTTCTTCTCTGTTCTAAGTGATTCTGGCTTGTATCCTGTGTCAGATTTACATGAAATGTATCCATCATTTAAACACCTACCAGCATCATTGAATTTCTCCAGCATCTGTAGACGGAATTCCTTCTCGATATTGAAATAGACCTTCTCTTCATCTGGCTTCTGAAGGAACCATGGAATATGCTGGAATACCACTGCATGCTTGCATCCTGATGTTTTCATTGCTATTTAAAATAAGAACAAAAGATAAATATTTTTACCTCTGAATGATTGGTATCATACGGGTTTAACTGATTACATAGTTTATCTGAATATTAAAGAAAACAGATATATGCATCTCAGTATTCTACAGGAGACCCACGATTTCAAGTTCTATACGTGGGGTTAGGTAATGGATGATCAGACTGTCTTATATGAGTGAACTGGTGCACTGGTTTGGACTCCAACCTAGGTCATTGTAGTTCAAAGATTTTACCCTATCCACTGAAGTGACTGAGCCATATTCGCTCCTTAACCCTTTGCCTACGGGAACTGGGTGCTCCCTATAAGCCTATGGGAAAGAGAGAATTCAGTAGGCAACAAGTTAAGGTTGAAGAAAATGGACATAGATCATGGATGATTACAACAGCTAATTGATATCTAATTCACTGAAAATGTTCAGTCAAACCATGGACCCTAGGATGACTGATAAGGAAATGGTATTTCTTGTATTGTGGACTATCATGAATAATCAGAAATCCAAAACAATTACATTTACCATGTCAGATGATTGTTAAATCTCAACTCCCTGAAAATCTGGATATCTAATAATTTCTCAAACGAGATATAGCAAATAAAAAATGTGGCTCACTTTCAAGTTCTTTCAGCAGCCACTCGTCGTGTTGTGCTCTTATCTCCTTGGCTTTGCTGTCATTGTCATAGAGCTGAGTGTTGAGAACTAAGAAGCGTACTCCACCAGCCCAGAAGCTGTAGTAATCATCTCCAAACCTAGCAGAAGAAAACAATGGATAACTTGATGAAGTTGTGATCATTTGGTAGCATTGATATAGATGTGCATGCAAGCCAATTAGTTGTCATCGGGAACAAAGAATTCTACCCTACCAGCCCATTGGCCCTATTGCATAAAACTTACTATTGATGGTAACTTTGTCATTAATGGTAAATTTCATGGAAACCTTGATTTGATTGGCTAGTTAGTGATGTTGCTATGGTAGTTAATAAAGATGGTTCAATGGTAAGTTTTATGCAACAGGGTCCAGATCTAGGGCAAAAAATTGAGAACTTGAAGTAGTTGTGATATTTTTTTAGCATCAATGCAATTGAAAAATAATAATCTGATTCAATTTCGTAAAGAACTGATTTTGTGAATTGCAAAGGAGGCAGTCTTACATATAATATTGTTGTCATTAGCTTTATTTATTTGGAAATTTCACAAGTACAAAGGATATTATGCACAAATCAACCACTTGGCCTCCCGCACCTCTCAAGACTAAGCTATTGTCTACAGGAACAGGATGATCCTGGATTAAGTCTATGGGACAGTAAAAATAAATAATAATAATAATAATAATATTGGATTCTTATATACTGTAGCGCACGTATCGACCTTGCAAGGTCCTCAAGGCGCTCCAACATCACCCGGCTATGCTAGGCTGCCGATTTCGACACTCACAGCATTTTAAGGAATTCCTTCCTACCGGTACCCATTTAACACCTGGGTGGAGAGTGGCAAATGTAGATCAATGTCTTGCCAAAGGACATTAGTGCCACAGCGGGACTCGAACCTCGGACCTTGTGATCGACAGTCCGGTGACGTATCCACTCATCCACGACACCTCTACACATAGTCACATAGTCAAATAGTCAAATAGTCAACGGTCAACAAGATACATACAGGAATATAAATAAACATGCATCTAGAAACAGCAGTGAAAAAATACATGGGGGCTCGGGGCGAATTAGACCCTGAAATGCCCAAAAGAGCCCCCAAAAATTTGCATAGAGTTCAATGCAAAACAGATTAAAGAGTGTTGTTTCAAGCAAGCAAGCTTAGACAGAGACTCTACTTGACTCTAATATCAGTTTAATTGACAATTGCTAGACCTAAAGATGAATACAGACATTCTTCTGGACATTGCTTGTTCTTGATTGTAATTTGGTTATTTTTTTAGTTGGAAAGAAATGGGCAGGTTTTTAAACAAAAGGCTCACTTACTGTATATAATAATTGACCCCATGACTACCAAATTTTCATATTAGGTTTAATACCTGTAGAAACTACCCGGTCCTAGTACACAATGGGTTAACTCCTGTACATGCATGCACTTTGGCACAGTTTGATATGGGTTTATTATTGCTACCAGTATATCAAATAGTATTCATTTTCATTATGACAAACAGGATAAGAAGTGGGATTGTCAATAGGAGCAGAGAGGTCAGACCTATTAATCAATCGTAGTTTATGATACCTGTAGTATATGAACTCTAAATTCAATGATATTAGAGATCATGTTATAATACACAATTAGCACGGTAATAAAACGTATTCTTTATAGGTAACAATTCCATTACCGTAGTTACATATACATGTACATGAATGTAATCATGTTCTTGACATAACACAGAAACCAGGTTTTTAAGCTGATGTGTAATGATTACCAGTAGACAAATGTAGGGGCAGTAGTACTGACTGTAAATAAATTGACTTCCTTTTTCCTGGCGTGTATTACTAATCTCCACTGTGGAAGCGCATAGAGGCACATTGCAATATTATGTGTTATACAAGAACAGAATCATCATGATTTCACGTCGAGAGAAATATTAATGTAAAATATCATGATTCACACTGGCAGACCCACAATTTTCCGCACAACCAGGCATACAAAAAAAGGAAGAAGAAAGACAGAAAGAAGGAAGGAAAGAAGAACTGAAAAGGATACAAAGTCATGTCATTTTCATTGCGGGGGAACGAGGTAGGGGGAGACACAAGTCAGAAAAATAACCACTGAAAGTCTCTGACAGGCCCCCCCCTCCCCCTGCTAATGATTCTCTTGACATTAGTTTGAAAAGAAAAGTAATATACACAAGATGGATGGTCCTCTGAACAATGAAGTGAATAAAACTCAATTGATGATGGAATTGAAGAATCCTAATTGAAAAGTTTGAGCTCAACTATTAAAAAAAGATATGACTGCATATTTCAAGCCTTTCAACCCACTAGAAATGGAGGGTGGAAAACAGACTACTATAAATATATAGAGATTTAAAACTATGTGTGTTGATAACGCTACTGAAGTTAGGATGACTCACACAATATGACCCTCATAAAGCTGGATCAGGGCAGTGTAACAGGATGTCATGCGTAGTCTAAATGTGACACTCGTCTGACTTTTATCAATACACAACCAGGTCATACAGGATGATTTTTTTTCTAAAGCTTGTTTGAATGTTCCCTCCACTAAAAAGCAAACTATTTCTTGATACATATTGCACATCATACTTGTAAGAATTCAAGTGACTAGGGGCCTACCTAGATTTTCAAGAAGATATCTGACATACAAGACATACATTTTAATCATGGTGATCATGAGAATGTATGAAATGGTTTCAGACCAAATTTGATTAGATTTTCTAACAGGAAATTGAAATTTTGCCTCAAAACAGTACCCAAAACTGATTATAAAATATGCTTATAAAGCCAATTGATGTGGTAACTGCCTCAAACCCACCAGGCCAATGTTTAGATTAATGGAAAGAGGCAATGCTGCGGGTAAAAATCTGTACGTCAAAAGAAACATAATTCAAGAATGTGTGCTATGCTTATTTCATTTTATTTTGATGATTTTAAGGGTACATTCCTGAATAAATCTTAAGGGGAAATAAGTTCAGGGTAGTAAATTTGCTTGTAAGGCTTATGATAAACATTAAAAAGCAAACCGAAAGCAATGTGTAGAAAAATCTTTAAAAAAAATTAAATTGTAAAACAATTATATTGTTTAACAATTATAGACACACCCAAAGAAAATGCTAATGGAGTCATTATCCTCCCTCTCCCTCCCCCCCCCCCAAAAAAAAATAGTAATGCCTGTGTGTCATACATGTAGTTGTCTAACTTACCTTTCTGTGTAGCATGCAATGGATGCTGCATCTGGTATTCTACCAACGTCATGGTTACCACTGACGAGCACAAGAGGAATCTCAGAGTTCAGCTTGGAGAACTCTGTGATGAAGTCTGCTTCTTGCTCATCTCTAAGGTATTCTCCTAAAAAAAGATAGCAAAGAGTTGGGCAAGATATGAGAGAAATTCTTCTTTTATGATTCCGATGAGGAAAGAACGTTTGAAAAACAGATATTGTACTGTAGTAAGAGCTTCCTTATGTAATGGAGTAATTCAGTTACTCCAAGGGGTAATGCACATAGCTCTATTTCTTCAGTTCATAGTTTTGTAACATATAATATGAGTTAAGATACCACCACTATCATCTCTTGAATACATCATATTACAGGTTTTAGTCCGATGAGAATTTGATTCTCTACTTGTACAAAGTATGCACCTTTTTTTCCATCTATCCCAACTTCCTGACTCTACATTTAACATTAACAGGACCTCCATCAATATTCCTTATTTTAGTGAAGCTTTTGGCAATGGACATGATTTTCTTTATACCAATGCTCCAACAAATGCCTCGTATAGACTGGGCCCCGTCTTACAAAGAGTTATGATTGATCTTAATCAATCGTAAGTCCTTTAATCAATCGCATGTTTGCAGTCTCCTATCTCTTTAGTTGCAATTGATATCAACTCTTTGCAAGAGGGGCCCAGATATTACCAATTTTTGTTGTTTATTTTATTACTTTAGAATCTAATTTTGACACAGACTGTTACAGTTGCTTGGTCTTCAGATAATCATTACAATAAAATAAACCCTCAAGGCCCTACCTATTACTAGCTTATTCCTCTATTACCTACCTGGAGTGCATTGTACTAGATCTCCACACACTACAAAGAACTTTGGTCTTGGTGTCATGGCATTGACCGCTTCGATGGCCTTCCTGGTTAGCTCCACCTCCTGGTCCCACCCAATGTCTTTCTTGCCAGCCATGGTGTCAATCATGCCATACTGTGGGTCCGTTCCTACCACAAACATGTACGGACCTTCCCAGGACTCTTCATTACCTGCAGTCAAAATGAATATGATAGTGATATTATGTTGGAGAAGAGAGCTAGGTACGTCACAACATGACGGACATGTGCGCTATAAAAGAAGCCACCGCTATAATTGTCATTACGTGGGCAAGTCCAAGATATTGGTTGCTTGGTGTCCAATATGTTATTCAATAGACCATTTCGTAGTTAGCACATGGGTCAAATGACCTCAAATGACCTCAAATATGGCACAGATCTTTTACTCATGGAGAAGTCCCATTTATTTTAGAATAATCAATGCCAAAGTCATGTATGTGCTTCATGAATAGCTTTTGTTTACCCTCTTGTATCAAAGAATGTACCATAGGTGCACATATGAATAAAGATTACATAACATGAACATGTACAGTATTCATTTCGGTGGGGTTTACAATTTTATCACAACAGACCTTTATCCCCTCATGCGCAGATTTGTATCTACGAAATGGTCTATTGGAGTTCTCAACATAAACAGACAGCAAATGTTCCATACTTATAATCAGGTCTGCATGAAGCCAAGCTCTAGTACTAGTAGGGGTATGAATTTTAACCCATTGACGACTGAATTTGTCTCATTTCCATACACTTATCACATGGATCACCCAGTCCACATAGGCAATGGGTTGACACTAAAATATTAGATGTGCATGTAATTGCCCAAATACATTTAAGCTTTGTTTATTAATGTATATGTGTATACATATGTAAACAGTTATGTTTAGAATAGTGAAGGTTAAAAAGTTATACTGTACATTGTTTTAAAAGCATAATCATTATTAATATTTGAATAAAATAAATGACAACTGAACATCACAACTTAACAAAGTATTTAGAACAAAGCCTTCAGAGTGTATTTGAGATTGATTTTCAACAATTCATGCAGTTACCAATCACAAATAGTGAACACATGTTATCTCTGATGAGCTTCTATTTGTTGGTACAAGCTCAACCAAGGGCCACAATTCCTTTCCTTTCTCCGTCATTGTTGGAAAGACGAAATAATGTAAAAATGAAATGCTACATTTGTTAAAACAATCATATGAAAAGAACACTTTACAATCATATCTTTACCAGAGAATCCATGGTATTGGCGATTCCTTGCTTCAATCTTGAAATCGGACATTTCTGAGCTGAGCACAAAACCAAAACGTCCGGTGAAATGGTAAAATACAATAAATAAGCAGATCTGGAGACTGTGATGAAAAATGTAGTCATTCGTAAAGTTGTTTGCCGACAGACTAAATACTTTGTGCTCTCATCATTTCTTGCAAGTTTTCTAGCACGTAATTCACAGAATTTCGACACCGCCTGGCCTTCCCCGATGAACACGAGAACAAATCCACATCTTTTCCCTCTTGCAAGCAATGGCGAAATGCGGCTTAGGCCTCGGAAAGGGGATTTCCCCCGGAATTGAAAATTAGTCGTGAATTCAGACTGTGAATTCTTTTATGCAAATGTCTGAATACATACATATTTTGAGCAGGATCATTACTTTATCACAGATGTACAAGCACATGCACATGAATCTCAATCAAATTCTGGTCTGATGGCAGATCTGTGATCATGCAGGACTCAGATTGAAAAACTTTTTACTTGATAAATGATATAGCATGTTAATTTAATATTTGATAATATAAATTTCCTTCAGGGGAATTCACCCTTCAAAAAGGGTGGAGTTTGAAATCTTGAGAAAAAATTATGACAAAGAGTAAGAAAAAATTTATAAAGCTACTTAATCAAGAATATCTCCTGTTTGGAGTACCATCTATTACACTCATGTTTTTGTATATTAAATTACTCAAAATGTTCTCATAATCATTTCTTTTTAGGGTTTAGGGAGGGTAAAAATGTTGATCATAATATACCTGTGCCATCTTAAAAACAGAATAACCTGAGAAATTTAATTTTCACAGGTTTCTTTGTTTTTTTTTGTTCTTTTTGAATAAAGTTTTGAGTACTACTTGAAATAAAAAGCACATCAAAATTGTTGACACAGTTCTCTCTCTCTCTCTCTCTCTCTCTCTCTCCCTCCCTCTCTTTCTCCCTCGCTCTTTCTTCCTCTTTATCTCTCTCTTTCTCTCTCATTGTACCTGCTTGTCCCCTTACTCTCCTCATTTTTCCTCACAATAAAAACTGTCAGACTTGCTTACAATTTGATAAAATTTTATTGCTACGAATAACATATATTTCTCCCTGTGGAAGACATTTATGTAGCCAAGTAAAGACTAAAGAGGTAAACGCTTAATAACAATTCTTGCAGTGATGAAACTGAACATCAATACTACAAATTTAGATGGACCAAAGGATTTGCACTTTGTTTCTTCACCCGTTGTCAATGCTTCTTTTTTACAGTTTGTAAAATTTGTCTGGGAAATACATTTAAATGTATCTTATATGAACATTCATGAACCAAACTGACATGACAAGGGAGTATCAGTTTAAATCGTTACCTTTCTGCATGACCTCTTGTTCTAGCTATATTCAACAGCACAGTTTAACAGTGCAAGAATCTATTCTCTATCTTTTTTCTTGATTATACTAGTATGACATTTCAACAAGATTCACATATAGTGAGCAAAGCGATAATCCACATGAGTAAAAAGAAAAAATACATGTGGTATTCAAGTCTAGATAGGAATAATAAATCTGTGTAGTAATTTGTGCTTCTAGCATAATATTTTATACAATATTCAATACAAAACTGTCAACATTTAATATTCTATTCATCTCATTGATTAATCATGTTTTTTGCTTGCGGCAGTAGCCAAGTTTTGTTTGTGCCACATGTGTTTTGAGAACCAGCAACATGAGGTAAACCCTATGATTACTATCTTACAAAAGGCAAAGTCACTATTGGTTACTATTTTTATGTAAGTAAACATCTAATTTTATATTTCCACATTTATAGCACAACCATAAAATGAGGTATATACAAAATGCAGGTAGTGTGCATGTGGCGTATCCAGAAACTCAATAGCATGGAGGTCGAGTCCTTGCCAAATGAGAAAGGTGTAGTATGTACCAACAGCATTTAAAAATAAGATAAGATACAGCCTCGGCCCACGCGCCGTTTTGCTTACATTTTCTCATTACACTATGGTGATGAAAAAAAGTTGCTTACGACAGAACCTAAATTGACTTCTAACAAATTAATCACAGCATGACAAAGAAACTGCTTTGAGTCAGAAAACGGTAGTATTTTTCTTTCATAAGAATATTATGGCATGGAAGAGCTAAAAGTCAAACACATTAAAAAAGTACAGTTACAAAGATATAATTCTTTTACCAAAAATATTTGACTGCAAAATATTACATCATATTTCATTGAATGTATACATACATACACCTATTATACATAACCGGTATGATTAATACAGGTAAATATTTACTACATATCCTAAAGAAATGTACAAAATATATGTATAATAATGTTTCTTTAACTACTTTATATAACTGTGGTGTTTTCCTTTCAAATGATGGTTTGAAAGACATTCCATGTATCAAAATTGGGAATAGGGATTACAGAAATGCTATGAACTTAAGAAGAGTAGATATAAAGGCACTTATTTCTGACAAATGTGAAGGTCAACTGCATCTTTTGATAAACTTTTGGATTTTTTAATATCTTTACACTTAAAGTGTAATAAATGTCACAATTCTTCTTTTAATACAGACTTGTCACACTTGCATTAATCAGAATGTGTATTTATACAACACATGCCACACAAGCTACCGGTAATGTAAATTTAATAATTTACAAACAAAAGCATAGCAAACTTCAAAGTATTCTGTAGATCAACAGTACATCTTACTATTGATCAAAACATACATGTATATCATGACATGCACTCTCAGAAGAGATGGCATCAAAATTTGATATCAATTAGGCGACAGTTATTACATGAAGAAGAAAAAAAAAAAAAGTTTGTAAACAAAATTAAGTTCGTGCAGTCTTATTAAGCTATTCCATTTATCCCAAATCAAAAAACAAATCAAACCTCATTCTATTATCACACCTTTGTTCTACAACCATATTTAAAATTGAATGCAAACAGAAAGAAAAAAAAACACACAAAACAAAAATGAGATGAGACTTATGATTTCATTTGTATCAGACATAAAACTGACATTGACATGAACCTATTGAAAGCTATCAAAATGCCTACGATAACTCAATTAACATTTAACACACGTTTCCTATGTGTTTATTTTATCTAAAATTATTAAAAAATTCAACCATCACCTAATGCAATCCACAACCTAATTAAATGTATCTATATTCATAACTCATCTATTATGTACCTTGTACATGTAGATTGTTCATAATACCCTAATATTCTAAAAGAAAGCAAAAGAAAGCAACAATAAAGCAGACTGATGAAAAATTTAATGAAATCAACTAAAAAATAAAAAAGTTATGAATGTTTGAAAGGTCTAATCACTATATCAGTACCGGTAATTTTCCTATTTCATCAACAATAAAAAATGACTCGAATGTCTTTTTTATTTTAAATATATGACTCAGAAGGTCTTTTCCTTTTAGAGGATCTATAATAGTATGCTATCTATGATATATTAGTACTAGTGTCTCAAGGGAGAGGGCGCTTAAGGGATAAATATAAATTAATGACAATTTTGTACACTACAAATGGGACAGTTATTCACAACTTTGTTGCAATCCATTAACCAAACTGCCCATTTAATATTCGTATAGGTTTAGTGATCACATATTCAATTACTATGAACATGACTGACAAAGAAAGTGGACAAAATATACAGTTCCTCAGGTAGACAAAGGAACATATCTTCACTGCTATTATGTAAAAATGTGTAGAACAGGTGTCACATGCATATTCACTTTTTACATAATAGCATTGAAGGGATGTTCCTTTGTCTACCTGAGGAACTGTATATTTTTTTCGCTTTCTTTGTCAGTCATGTTCATATTCAAACATTCATGACTCTCTTCTCACAAAGGTTGGATCGTCCTTTAAATCAAACAAAATATATTTACAAGGTTCATTTTATGGCAATTCAAACTTTGGATATGGTTCCTAATGTGGTCTTAACAGCTCCCATTGCATTTCAGCATGTGCCATAAAACAATAGCAAATTTAGGGGGATATAACCCCTCCCTGACATATCTATAGGCCACATACCCTAGAATTGTGCCTCCCCCCCCCCCCCCCCCCTCCACACAAAATCCTGGGTATGTACGTGTAACCTGTTTTTTTCAATGTGATTTATTACCCCCATATTTTCTTTGCATAAAATGAAATGATAGTACACGTCTTGAGGTATTATATAGAATAAATATAAAAGCACTATTCAAATATTTGTACTGAAGATCAAACATGTAGCAGCTGCAACGTATAATTCAAACACAACCAGACAAAGCTTCTCCTTTATTCCACAACTGTCTACTTACTTGTATTCCTCTCTCCAAACAAAGCAAGAGCAATATGACGTACTTTTCCCCCAAATCTTGAGAATTCAATGGAATGCCCAGTGAAAATGGGGATATTTTGTAACCTTGACATGACAATGTGGTCAAGGGCCGAGAAAAACAACTTCACTGAAGCAGCATACAAGGTGTGACTTGCAGAGAAAAATATATTTCATTAAAGGTCTATGTTTACATTATCTAAATAGCAAACACTGACAATCCATTGTGACCACGGGGTGAACAACATAAAGAAGCAATCATTGCATTGGAACGTATTATAACTTTATAAATGTAATGTGCACACTTAAAAAATCTGAATATTGTTTTAATGTTTTTCAAATATTTCACAAATTTTTATATTAAAAAGTAGGAAATTTGGAAGACATAAATGTATTTCCAATGTTGTGTAAGATTGCGACAACAATTATGTGGTCTTACAAACCTGGAAGACAATGACATTGAGTATAAACCACTCTATCAACAATTAATATGCATTTTATAGTTTTCTTTTCTTATACTCTACTACAATATACAGATATATTGGTTATCCAGCATGTCTTCACAAACAAGCTATCTAGTAAACCCCATTCAACCTGAGAGTGCCACCAAGTTTATAAACACACATATACAATGTTCAATAAGCAGGATTACATGGGATAATTACTTTTTCACCGTCCATCTTGATTATAAAAAAGTGTTTCAAGATTCCACACTTAATGAGCCTGATTAAAATTTGAAGAAAACAGACAACTTTTCTCCAAAAGTATGACATTCAATTTCAAAATTTGTGCGCTTAAAACAGCCAATGGCACTAAAAGGGTTAATAACATTTGACATATTACCTGATTGGAGCCCTCCTAGAACCAGACAGACAATATTTTACAGACTAACTTCTCATAAAATATCCTGCCCTAGATCAATTGTAGCTGGAATATCATCCATGCCGTAGTACTGATGAGATATGCTCTTCTCATGAACTTTGACCACCCGAAGACCTGAGGGTGTATCTCCTATTTCTAGGACGGAGGTATTCTCTGAAAGAGTGCAGCCCATCGCCGAGGTAACAACCTCCTCCATCCCTTTATAAGAACCTCCTGCGTTACGGTGGTAGTGGCCGCAAAATATAGTACTCACACCTGAGAAATGGAGGAGACATTTTCAAAGTAAAAGTATCATCTTCTATTCAGCCCAGCAACCTAGGAAACTTAATTATTTTAGTTGCTGAAACTACTTTTAATTAGGTCGTCATTTAAAGTAGATTGCGCATTGCACAAACATCAATTGAATCAATAATAACAATATTCATCCCAAGACATTTTTTGAATACCCACACAAAAACCTACCAAATGAATTTGAAATATTATGTAGCTAATACAGACATAGAGACCAATATAAACACCAAAAAATACCTTTTCTTATAGACACAGAATGTAGAGAGAATGTAGTAATCTGATTGTTTTTTTAATAATCTAATTAACATTTTAATAGGCTAAAAAAGCTCAAATAACTTACTTTTTAGAAAGTCATCAGCCAATTTTTGCAACATACAATTTAATTGTAAAAACACAAGATTACCATACTTTCTCTACCACAAACCAGAACTATTAGAACGCATGATTAACTTTATGTTTATTTTATTATAATTTGTATTTCTCATTGAGTATTGAACAGATGGAGTCGTGCACCACACTTACCTGCTGCAAGAAACTTGTCCAACATTGGCATTCTGATATCTTGATCAATATTGAAGTACTCATTCTCTTCATCTGGAGTATTTAGAAACCATGGTATATGCTGGAACAGCACAAGATGTTTGCATCCTGATGACTTGGCAGCTGCAATTAAAACAAGATGAAGAGTTTACAATGGAAGCCTGGTATTGAGGTCCAACTTGATATTCATTACCATATGGTTGAATGTACATTTATGTTTTGATTCACTATGTCAGCTAAGTGCCAGTAATCGCATACATGTACACTACATTGAGTAACTGCCCCATTCAGATAGAACAACATTTTAACAAACGGTATTTTCAATTATTTAACAGACGTGCCAACCTCTGGAGTTCAAAAATTGTATTCTTTAATCCCAAAAGTTGTATTTTACTGACAAAAGTTGTATTCTTAAAAATAAACACGGATTGTAACACGGATCAATGCCTATTACAGTTCCTACATACAGGAAGCATTTTTTTTTTAATGGATCATTGGTTGAATATGCACTGCAAGATTTCGTCACGACTGGTGTGTCGATGAACCAATGAACATCCCCAAATTGCCGATGTGAGATGCTTGTAGGATACTTTACAGGACAGAATGGGCATTTTGCCATTGAAAATGGCACACACACACACAAAATAAAAAAATTAAACAAAAATTTTTAACAAATTGTTCGAAAATCGTACGGTCGTATTTGCTTTTAAAAATCGTACGAAATACGACTAAATCGGACTGGTCGGCAGGTCTGATTTAAGTATAACTTACTGATGTAAAAACGAACTTGAAATTTAGAGGAAAAAAAGAGAGTCTAATTTAAGCTTATTAAATATCAAACCCCCAATACTATAGTTTAAATCAAATGCCATCAGGCAGGACACAGGGTATTTTTGTCTCTGTAATGTAAAACTGACATGGAAGTTTTGTTCTTCTTTTTAATTAATTGTTCTTGCACATTCTTATGCCATTTTTTGTCACACATTCAAGTGCACTCTTGAGGGTTGTATACACAGGGCTACAAATGATTTAGCTTAATACATGAAAATGCTTTCATGAGACCCTGTAAACCTAGTTTTATTTGACAGCTACCATCTTTTCTCATTTTCTAATTTAGTTTTGAATTCTATTTGCCATGTCCGAGTTATTAAATAAGTAGGCAGCATCAGGTTTATCATTTATATCATGTAGCTATCATGAGTTGACTGCTACAATAATTATTTTTTTGAAGAAAAAAAAAAAAAAAATTGAGATAGAGAGAGAGAGAGAGGGAGAGAGAGCATCATATCATACCATCTAATTCTGCATCCAGCCATACATCTTGCTCTTTCTTTAGTTCTTCTACCATGCTAGCATCTTCGTAGAGTTGAGAATTTAACACCAAGCATCGCACACCTCCAGCCCAAAATCCAAAATAGTCATCACCAAATCTGGAAATTGAACCATTCATGGAAACTGTCATTAACATGTAAATGAGACTCTCTTTTTCAATCATAACATTTGAAACTTAAATCTGATATCATTCATTTCACAGAAGACAATCACAAAAACTAGAATTTAATTCGTCACGAGGACGAATAAGGTGGTCTGTCTAAGTCTTATGATAGATTTGAGAATGGGAGAAGTTACATGTATATAGACATGTAAACAATGATGATCATGATGAACATGGTGATGATCATGATAGTAAAGGTGATGATAATGATAATTATAATGTTATATGATGATAAAAACGATAATGTTAATGATGATGATAATGATCATGATCATGATGATGTTGATGATGATCATCTTCAGACCATGATGATGATGATGGTGACATTGATGATGATGATGATGATGATGATATTGATGATGATGATGAGCATGAGCATGATCCTGATACTGATTGAAAAAAAATGAGGAAATATTTAGATAGCATATAGTCTCAGCTACAGCATTCTAAGATTTGGGAGAAAAACTGTTGAATAACAACCGAGATACTGGTCAAAACACATTGTCATGCAGATTCAAGTTTTGAAAAAGTGACCTCCCATAGACATAACACGCAAATATGACAAATTATGCATAGTCGCCTTTAATCGAATATTTCACAATGATGACGTCATCTAAATAAAAAATAAATGACATATTTCTAGTAGAGAATTATCTTAGCTACAACATATCAAAATCTGGGAGAAAATCGATCACCGATAAGTGAGATAATCTCAAATACACAAAGACAAAAATGACGTCATCAACAAAATACATTTGTTTGAGTTTAGATGCCAATATGATGACTTTATTTCACTTTGTACGAGTCAGGGTGGTATGAAATCATATCTCCAACACTTACTTTCTCCAACCATTATATAAAAATTGGGGGTCAATGGACTATCTGAAGAGCTATTTCGATTTTTAAAATGGCATGTTTTTGATCAAATTTGCATTATATTGCCCATAGCAGTACGCGCGGATTTTGAACTTTGACGCACGCTCACGGCCTTATGAAATATGAAGAGTGACTGAAATTGATGTAAATTGTCGATTACGTTAAGAGGAATCCAAATCATGTAAACATTTTGAATTTGACCTTTTTTTTTGACACGTACGGACGGAAATTTTTGAAATGCTTAAAATGACCTGATTCGTACTCTCGTTTAATAGTTAAGTGATTTTGAGCAATTTTAAATTTTGACGCGCACGTACGCGCGCGTCATGACCTTTGTTTGACCTTTGATGACATGACCTGTTGACCCTTGACCTTAAGTATGTGTTATATGAATATGAATGTACTTTGAGTACGCATCATGAAGATATGATGGATAATGTGATTTCACAAAATGGCGCCTGTATGACGTCACGATAATCTGATGAACTTGAAAAGTTTCCTGTCACGTCTTATGATGATGACCTATGACTGTGTCAAAATTTAATGAAATTGGGTGGATGGATATTGAGAAATCTTGTACACAAAAAAGTGGAGAAATAAATAAAAATAAATAAATAATAAAGAAAATTCTGACGAAATCAATAGGTGGTCTGTTGACAACAGACCACCTAATAAGATATATACCACGCAAAATAAGCCATGTTATTACTTTGTGATTTTATATGATAATATGTTATAATTGTCGAAGAAGGTGATAAAATCAAATATAAGACGATAGTCACAAAACAAACAAAAAGATTACCCACCGATTTAAAATTTCGAGATGATACCAATATCTGATCAAAAAACAAAAGACACGTTCCTTATATAGACAAATCATGCAAATTAAGAAAATTCTGACATGTCGCCTTTAATTATTGAGGAACATTACAACACATAATAGAGAGAGAACTAGAACCAGAGGAGAGAAAGGGAGAGGATAAGAGAGAAGTAAAAAAAAAAAAAAAAAAAAAAAAAAAGGGAGGGCAGATGCTGAGGGATACAGAGTAAGAGAATAGGAGGGAGGCAAGGCAAGAGAGGGAGAGGGTAACGGAGAGAGGGAGAGCGTAAACGTGTAGAAAGAGAAAGTGAGATGCAGAGACAGACCAAAATAAAGAGAGGGGCAGAACAAGAGAGGAAAAGGGAAACAGAACAAGAGAAAAGTGTGAGAGAGAGAGGGAGGATAGATGAAATTGAGAACGATGCCTTCAATATTTCTAGCATAAATAGGCTCTTGAATTACGATCATGAAAGTGTGCCGATGATAATGAAATGATAATGTACACGATAATGACGATATTAAGGGCCATGATTAAAAGTGGTATAGCGCCCCCTTCAGGTATTCGATAGAGGATTGTTATACGGTAAACTTGCTAAACATGCCCAAATTTCGACATGATCCCAACCTCTGATAAAAAACGAAACGTCTCCTATGGCCCATAGTCTCAGCTATGACAAACTAAAATTGGGGATAAAAACAGCAACAATAAGCGAGATACTGCTCAAAGATGTCGATTCATGATGTGAACGATATTCACCTTTTATAGGCATAACACGCAAATTAAGACAATTCTGACATGTCGCCTTTAATTGAAATTTTCACTACGATGACGTCACCAAATTGAAAAATAATGAATACTGATCTTGTACAAAAATGTGTTAGCTACCATATTTTGAAAATATGGAAGTAAATTGATCAATACATGAGCTGGACAGAGGGATGAAAGAGGAATCCGAATGCACTTGGAAGGAGAGAGGACAGAAGAAGGAAACATGGTAGGGTGAAATAAGATTACTAAGGTAAAGGAAAGAGCTAGAGAAAATTAAGGAACATCCTAAGACATAAGAGAAGGAAAACAGGAGCCAGAGGCGGAAAAGGGAGAGGGCGAGAGGGATTAGCGAGTAGAGAAAGAGAGAAGCCGAGAGAGAGGGAGACAGAGCAAGAGAAGAAGAGGGAGGCAGAGCAAGAGAGGGAGAGGGAAGCACAGAGGGTGAAAGAGTAGAGAGAGAGAGAGAGAGATAGTGGTCGAAGAAGATGATAAAATCAAATAATAAACGAAAGCAAAGCAAAAAACAAACAAAAATTGACCCACCAGGAATCGAACCTGGGTCACCGGAATGGAAGTCGAGTGCTTTAACCAATATACCAAAATATGTCCTGTAAACAATACATGCAAAGCTGACAAACGGCTTTTGCATAGTTGCAGAAAATTAGTCTCTGAGTACTTTCAAACGACATTTTGAATTGAAAATTGGACCATGTTCCCGACTAGTGATAAAAAAATAAAGACAAAAATACCGATAGCCCAGAGTCTCAGCTACAACATACTAAAATTTGGGAGAAAACTTTTGAATAACAACCGAGATACTGGTCAAAACACATTGTCATGCAGATTCATGTTTTGAAAAAGGTGACCTCCCGTTGACATAACACGCAAATATGACAAATTATGCATTATCGCCTTTAATCGAATATTTTACTATGATGATGTCATCTAAATGAAAAATAAATGACATATTTGTGATAGAGAATTATCTTAGCTACAACATATCAAAATCTGGGAGAAAATCGATCACCGATAAGTGAGATAATCTTAAAAACAAAAAGACAAAAATGACGTCATCAACAAAATACATTTGTTTGAGTTTAGATGTCAATATAATGACTTTGTTACACTTTGTACGAGTCAGGGTGGTATGAAATCATATCTCCAATTCATGCTTTCTCCAACCATGATATAAAAATTGGGGGTCGATGGACTATCTGAAGAGCTATTTCGATTTTTAAAATGGCATGTTTTTGATTAAATTTGCATTATATTGCCCATAGCAGCACGCGCGGATTTTGAACTTTGACGCGCGCTTACGGCCTTATGAGAGGTCAAGAGTGACTGAAATCAATGTAAATTGTCAATTACGTTAAGAGGAATCCAAATCATGTAAACATTTTGAATTTAACCTTTTCCGCGCGCTGTGAGCGCGCACACCGCGCGCGGGGACACGAACGGACGGAAAATGTTGAAATGCTTAAAATGACCTGATTCGTACTCTCGTTTAATAGTTAAGTGATTTTGAGCAATTTTAAATTTTGACGCGCACATACGCGCGCGTCATGACCTTTATGTGACCTTTGATGACATGACCTGTTGACCCTTGACCTGAAGTATATGTTATATTAATATGAATGACCTTTGATGACGCGTCATGAAGATATGAAGGATAATGTGATTTCACAAAATGGCGCCTGGATGACGTCACGATAATTTGATGACTTTGAAAATGTTCCTGTCACGTCTCATAATGATGACCTATGACTGTGTCAAAATTGAGAGAAATTGGGTGGATGGATATTGAGAAATCGAATACACAAAAAAGTGGAGAAATAAATAAAAACAAATAAATAATAAATAAAGAAAGAAAATTCTGACGAAATCAATAGGTGGTCTGTTGATAACAGACCACCTAATAATTTGTGAGCATTATCATATATTATGCAAGTGTGGAAGAACATCAGATAAGACATGTTCCCTGAAAAGCATGGCTCTTCAAATGCCTTCATATTCTAAATATGTCATGTAACATCATAAAACTCCAGGGTAGGATTTTTACGTCACGTGTTCGTGTAGTCCCATATACATCTTTGTGTGTACAGTGTTTGTAACTTTACCAAGACTTGGCCAAATTTCTTATCATTTTGATGATTCCAGAACCTTGCAATACACACAAATTCTTATACGCTAGATGATCAACCTTTTCTGGTCGATTCCACACCGTTTCTTTCACAATGCCATCGCATTACCAGAACTCACCTTCATCTTTAAACAACAAATTATTGTAAGAATGAGAAAGAGAAAAAGTAAACAATTAAAAAACGAAAAGGTTTTGCAACATAAATAGGTACGAGAAAAAAAAAAGTATTTTTACGAAGAGATATTTTAGTTTAAGTACACCCTCAGTGAATAATAAAACATCTGGAGTAGACTAGTTAATGCACATACATGTACATGTGCACTCACATAGAATAGGGCACGCACAGAACCCAAGCCAGAGCACTATACACTGGGTTTTATGTTATCCTTTATTTTGTATACTCCTTATCCGTTTACCTATAAAATGCCAGGCAAAAGTTTTTGGGGGTTGGTTTTATACATTCTAGATATTCATAAATATTTTTTACAGGCCATTGGTACACTTTAATATCAAAGTGAAGACTAAAAGTGTATTTTCATTAAATACTCCTCTTCAGCAGTACAATCAAGATAAAAAGTTCAGGATCATACCACAGGAAGTAATAGGTTTCTGGAATAGACAATTCATCTCTTAAAAAAACTATTCATCAAGAAAATTACAAGTTAAATTACTTTCTAAGATAGTACAAAAAAATAAATAAAGCTGTAAAAATAATAAAGTTTTTGGAGGGATTAGAGTCATTGAGTAGATGAATGATTTCTGATAGGTTTTACAAAAAGACACTATGTATTTTGCTTTAGACATACTTGTTCCTGAAGTGTTGTATAGATTTTCTAGTTGGAGTATTTCCTACATCATGATTGCCACAGACACAGACTAAGGGTATACTGGGATCCACCTTGGCAAACTCTCTCAAGAAATCAGCTTCTTGTTCTTCTTTCTGAGCATCCCCTGATTAAATAAACACAATAAAAAATACATTTATCAAATCATATCTACCTGTACGTTTACATGCTACATAAAAACAAATTACAGAACAGATTCTTTATAATACTAAATTTAAAGTCATAAAAATGTGATCATGCATGATCAAAGTACATGTTCATTTAATGTTGTAAAATTACATATGACTATAAGACCTAGAAAAAATGAACAATGTACATCAAGCTACATAAAATCAGTATATCTGAGATTTACTATGTGTTAGCCAAGATTGCTGTACATGAACGATGATGTGTACATGAGTGTTATAACATATATTTGCATTATTTTGTCCTGCAATGTTTGAAGGTTTATCATCTCTGCGTAAATTATATGTCTTACATGTACATAATCATCATCACATTTGAATTTGTATTCAGTTTCATTCACTGACATTTATTTACTTTACTTAGTTTGAATACACATTTTCATTTTATTTGGTCCTTTTGATCATTCAAATTATGATAAATTGATTAAAATTATATGTACGATGCCATGTATATTAAAGAGAACCAACATTGGTTTGGATATAAGGGATAAGGCAGTGAACGTAAGTGTCAATGGATCTGAATATCCCCACTTAATTGGGGGGGGGGGGGATGTTTTTAAAAATCAAAACCCTATCATCTACTCAGGGAAAAAATTAATATTTATTTTTTGGGGGCTACTTTTCAACCTTGCCTGCATGAAAATAACATTCTAAAATTTGTTTTGCATTGAACTCTATTTAAATTTAAGGGGGCTCTTTTAGGCATTTCGGGGGCCCCCATGTGTTTTTTTCACTGCATCTACTTGTACTTTTGATAACCTTGCAATACGTGATTACCTAATCATTCTAAGAACACAAACACATATACATGTAAGTCATTTAGATTCAATGAAGAAGCAAATACTTTAATATAGGGGGAAGCAATAAAATGATGAAACAAAAAAAAATAAACTAAACACAATTGTGTGGTCACTTACCAGGAAAAGCATGAACTAGATCCCCACACACCACAAAGAACTTTGGTTTAGGTTTCATCTTATTGATGGCTGCAACAGCTTTCCTTGTAAGTTCAATCTCAGCCTTCCAGGTGATGGGTGTCTTATTAGCCATATCATCCATCATACCATACTGGGGATCTGCTCCCTGGATGAAACAAAATGGACCCTTCCACTCCTTCTCATTGTCTGCATCAAGGGATAAAACAAAGTGAAGAATATTTTCTTTTACTACTAGTTTTTTTTTAAATTCATGATTAAATAACCATGCAATCAATTTGGATCCACAATGGTCCATAAATGAGGATGTAGCTCTAAGTGCTGCTAAGTGTACATCAAGATCACCAGCAACAACTACCATACCAACTGCATGACCACACACTCTACTGTTGCCAAATGTTGTCTTATGACAGCCATATCAATACAATCTACAGCAAAGCCAGCAAAGTATTACAATTTATTTGCAGAAAGCTTCCAGAACCAAGTAGGAGAGAATACAAAAGGCATCTACATGTACTAGACCTGTCTGCTATGAATCTTAGTGACACATATTGATGATGAGTAATATGTTTTTTGCATGCCCAAATTTTTAATTTAAGGATAAAGGAATTTTATGTAGACGGTAGACCTAATACGTATGAGGAAGGGACAAGTTTGGTGTTGAGACACTATTATCAACTTACATGTATTTCATTGTGGGCATCAGCAGGACAGAAAAGTTATTTTAAAAAACAGAAACATATCCTCCAAATGAGTATATCATGTGCATACTACAATGTACTATTTACAGCCCCTTGGGAAAAAGTCTTTCAACAACTAAAGGACATAATTTAAAAATAAACTCTAGTTCTGGTAAAAAAAAGAAAATTAATTCTCACAGAATCAAAAGAAACTTACACTGAATGTTCAAGATGACAAATAAATGACATGTGCCAAACAATTTTGGAAGAAAATGTATACTGGCTGAGTAATGAGCATAGAAAGACAAGGAAATCAAAGTAGTACTAGCCCCGACACCATGTGTGTTGTCCCATATATAGCTTTCTGTGTACAGTGCTTGTTACTTTACCAAGACTCGGTCAAATTTATTATGATTTTGATGACTCCAGAACCTTGCAGTGCACACCAATACTTACATGCTACATGATCAACTGTTTCTGATGATCTGATCCTTTCCACACCTTTTCTTTCACAATGCAATCGCATTACCAGTACTAAAGTTTATCTTTAATTATTGTAGCTGAAATTGCAATAGAGTACATTGTATTTGTGAGCAAATTTAAAACATGTTTGCAACAAATGGGAGAGTTGTCCCTCAACCACCTTAGATCCTAAAGAAAAGTGGGATACATCTTTGCAACATTTGACTGACCAAATTTCCAATTTTAAATTTTAGATTCACATCACTCACTCACTACCTACATGTACACTTACATGTACGTACATTGATACACTTTATCTCATCTTTCTAATATTATTTAACTTTCTTATCACTAACACTATGAACATGATGGACAAAGACAGCGCACAAAATATACAGTTCCTCATTCTACCCTCAACAATTGCTATGGTAGACAAAGGAACATCCCTTCACTGCTATTATTGAACTCAAACTACCAAATCTTGTTCACAGGCATAGAAGAGGGGGACATGATCGATGTGTATAAGTACGTGAATGGCTTGTACACTGTGCAAGAGATTCCCTTTAAGATGAGTACAGAAGATAGAACTCGAGGTCACTCTAGAAAACTTGAAAAGAAATATTTTTAGGCTAGATATAAGAAAATACTTTTTTAGCAATAGAGTCGTGGAACTGTGGAACGGTCTCCCAGAAAACGTTGTGGCAGCTGGGTCAGTAAACTCATTTAAGAATAGACTTGGTAGTCACTGGTCAAAGAATGCAAGCCTTTTGTATGAGCCGGTCCAGGTGTTGCCTATTGCATCATGTTATTACACAACTTCCTCCCTCCGCAAGTAGCAGTAATCATGGAAGAATCCTGCATCGATGAACAGGCGTAGACCTACTACATCGTGTATTAAAGTAAAGTAAAGTAAAGTATTATGTAAAAATGTGTAGAACAGGTGAATACTGTATGCATGTGACACCTGTTCTACACATTTGTACATAATAGCAGTGAAGGAATGTTCCTTTGTCTACCATAGCAATTGTTGAGGGTAGAATGAGGAACTGTATATTTTGTCCGCTTTCTTTGTCCGTCATGTTCATAGTGTTACATACATGTACATCACTTATCCAAGTTCATTCCAACTTTTACCTGTTCCTCATTTCTCATGCATTGCCAGAGATTGAGAGAAGTCAACTTTAAAGTAAAAAATTGCAGTTTAATCACCCACCACTGTCATTTTGATAAATGTCAGAGAGAAAACAAAACAAAAAACAAAACAAGTAATAATAATAATAATAATAATAATAATAATAATAATAATAATAATAATAATAATAATAATAATAATAATAATAATAATAATAATAATAATAATAATAATAATAATAATAATAATAATAATAATAATAATAATAATAATAATAATAATAATAATAATAATAATAATAATAATAATAATAATAATAATAATAATAATAATAATAATAATAATAATAATAATAATAATAATAATAATAATAATAATAATAATAATAATAATAATAATAATAATAATAATAATAATAATAATAATAATAATAATAATAATAATAATAATAATAATAATAATAATAATAATAATAATAATAATAATAATAATAATAATAATAATAATAATAATAATAATAATAATAATAATAATAATAATAATAATAATAATAATAATAATAATAATAATAATAATAATAATAATAATAATAATAATAATAATAATAATAATAATAATACATAGTCTAGTCATAAGATTCATAAGGCGCCAAATCCACTTGACAGTCAAATGCTCAAGGCGCAGCTTGTACAAAAGATGAAATACATGATACATATATTATACAATTACAAAAGTGCAATAGGAAAGGTACAAACATAAAAGGTAATGGTAATCAATTATAAAATATTTAAAAAATTAAACAGATATTTCTTACGATAGTTTTTTAACACTTCAGCAGTTCAGCAGAACTGCTATTCTTAATCCATTGAGGGAGAGTATTCCATAATGAAGGTCCAGCATGAGCGAAGGTTCGCTCCCCCACTTTGTTTTAACCCTCTAATTATTTATAAAACAAATTAAAACACTAAATAAACAAATAAAAACACCCTGCCCCCTATATAGACTAAGTATAAACACAGACAACAACAAAACACAAAAACAAAAACAACAATAAAAATGTCTTTACCTCCTAATCCCTCATATTTTCGATCATTTGTTTTGATCCTGAATTCTGCCATTGATCAAGAACTGGTTAAACTTCTGAAGTAAGTAATTACGGTCCACGGCCACGTCCACCATGCACTTGCTACGGCCCACGCCTACGCTGTTGCGCCGAACCGACTCCGATGCGATTAGAAGGGTTTGTGGTCCGTAGCATAGGCGCCACTCGCTGCACAGCTCAACTTGGAGTTGGACTACCGGTACCGTACTCTTGGCAGGCCAGTCTTCGTCAAAGAAAAATCGACCATCTGCATTCACATACTACCATTAATTTTATCCTCATCTGTTCTTGTTATTTTCGATCGTTGTTTTTATCTTCCAGCACGTGCAGAATGTGTTGTCTACTTTACCAAAATAGAAAATACGGAAAATGAATTCAGTGCAAAAATCTCAATCACAACAGCTACATAATTCTGATTATGGAAAGCCGCGTGTAGAATTTTGCCAAAATAATACAAGGTATTTGAATTAATTTTATCCAACAATACAAAATCGAATAAAATTTAAAAAAAAGGGGGGGGGGGGGACTGTCCGGTTAGAAGTTAGAGGTCTTTTTGAGATAAATCTGTAAGTTTATTGAAATCATAAATTTTTGAAAAGGTGGAAAACATAAGATTTATTTATATATTAATCATTTTTGAGACATTAGTGTACGAAAGATGTAGAATACAATAATCTTATAATATATCTTGTTATAAACTCTTGATAAATGTAGCAGTGGCGGATTCAAGATTATCTAGCAAGGGGCAGAGCCGATGGGGCATTGATAAGGGGCACATTTTCTTTTTCACACCGTCATGGTGCCAAAACAATGGGTCTGACTTGAGTCTGACTTGTAAATAATTAACGGGGGAGTATTTGGCACTTTAAACTCCCCCCCCCCCCCCTTCCTCCTCCGGTTATCGGAGGGGAAACCCCACAAATCCTCAACCTAATTTGGTGTGTATAGTTTAAACACTTTTATTCGTGATAACACGCGGCTGGCCGGGAATTATATTGACGCCCCTTTCCCAAAGCTACACAGATTGAGTGTCCTAGCCCTAAAATTTAATGACTTTCTTTCATAATGAAGAATAATTCTTCTTCATAGACCAAAAAAGAATGTTAAATCACTTTTAATATTTAAGGATAGGGTAATATTAACAAACACCATCGTTAATTTCACGAAACTTAATGCAGTGGCAAGTTGTACAAAATAACAAAGCTAAATTAAATCCTACAGAGGCGGCGGATCCAGGTGGCAGGGGGCACAGTGCCCCCCTCCTACTTTTTAAAGTACCCCTAAAGCGCTCCTTTTACTTCAGATAAGTGGCCCTTTTTATTTTTAATAGGTGCCAGTTATAAGTGCCCCTTACCACTAAATGTCCCCTCCATCAATGACGATTGCCCATATTCAAATGTGAGAGTTGGCCTTTCACTTTAAAAAGTGTCCTTTTTCTTTGTAATAAGCGCCTCTATTCTTATCTGATGAGTGTCCCTTTTCACCTCTGATAATTGCCCCCTTTTATTTTGTCACATGCCTCATTTTTCCTTCTAATAAGTGCATTTTCCCCTGTTGATAAAAGCCCTTGTCTTGTTTAATAAGAGCCCCTTCCCCTTCTCGAAAATGCCCCTTATCACATTTCTGATAAATGCCACTATTAAAATCTGATAGGTGCCCTTCTTATATGAACACGGGCCCACTTTCATTTGTAATATGTGCCCCTTTTCATTCTCACAAGTGCCCCTAGGCCTATTTTGAGTGCCTCCTTTCAGGTACAAGAAGTGCCTTTACCACTGATAAGTACCCCTTCACCTCTCATAATATAGGCTCTTTTCAAGAGGTGCCCCTTATAATTTGACAAGTGCCTCTTTTCCTTTGTATGCCACTTTTCATCCTTATACGTGTCCCTTTTCATTTCCAGTGAGTGTTACTTTCCTTCTGATAATTGCCCTTTTCCTTTATAATAAGTGCCCCTTTTCCTTTCTCATAAGTTTTCTTTTTGCTTTGGATAAATGCCCCTTTTTCCTTTCACCATAAAATGTACTCCTAATTTAAAACGATAAGAGCTACTTTTTCTTTAATTTCACCCCAAAATCGCTCGCTTTTAAAATGAATATAATATAAGGTCTTTTTATTATTTCATGATTAGATTGTGTTTAAAATCCCATTAGGATTGTTATTTTCCTCTTTATAAGATGCAAAACATTTGCTCGCTCAAATCTCAGAAAATTCACCCGACTGCAAAATAAAATGCTGAAGCAGTATCTTGAACCGTAAAGAATTATCCCTGAATATGTAATCACAATGCAGGGGTATAATTTTATACCGATGTCTTAAAATAGTATTTTTACTTTGAAATTTCTCTTTTTAGGTGCCCTTATTTCGCTCCTCCGTACCCGAGTCCTTCCATCCGTTAATTATATATTTAGTGATTCCACTGCGTTAATATTGATCAACTTTACTTTAATATGACATGATATTTAAAAAAATATATATAATTTCAATAAGAGGTTCCAGATATCTTTCCTGTGCGATACCTCTTCGATTACTCATTGATTCTGGCGCTCATGATGTATAGCTTATAATTGTAGCAGTGGCTTAATAAGCACTTTTCAAGGGTGGAGAGTGTCATACAACTGGTACTAAATAATGAGGCATGAACCTAGTATAGTTAGTGTTATCACCAAATACATAGTCTGTTATATTAAATGCAGTGTGACTGATCCCATCCCAAATTTATGCTTTGTTCTGTACTTACACTTTCCTTAACTACTTCATATTGTTAAGACCCTATCTCTCCCAAAGAAGTTCACTGTTAAATTAATCTGGGCTACAGAGAGAGATATAGATCTAGATGGAATATGATAAGTCTAAATACGTTTGCCCTAGAGAAAGGTAGCAAGGGCATAAAGCAGCTTGGAATCCTCATTTCATACGATGGTGATGCCCTTTTTCATAGACATAGATTCATGACAACGATGATGATGATGTTGTTGTTGTTGTTGACTAGTTGTGTGTTTTTGAAATTGGCAATCGGTACATTTTTACTGTTGCCAAATGATATTATGTAAAATTATTTATTTGGTTACGTGTACTGTATTAGCAGACGTAATTCCTTGGTTGCCAATCAGTATATTCATCAACATAAGTTTTTAAATTAATTTCATATACAATATATGAAAATTTAAATTGTATTAAATATTAATTTTACTTATTTGATAATTAATTAAAAGCACAATATATCAAACAAAATATTTTTAACTTATTCATTTTTGCAATTAAAAAAATGCTGCTTGGAACGGTTCCAAACGCGCGAGATTGAAATGTTGAGCTTTCCGATACGTCTACGTCGGATAGCATACGAAGAGCGGCACTAGAGGTCGGGGGCGTGGTCAAGTCAAAAATACGTCACACTCATGCATATTCATTATACAGCGCGCGCGATACAAACTCTATCATAACACACGTACAGTATGTCAGCTGTCAGAGTACTTCCATCGATCGGCTGGCGGGTGGTCCAGCGGGCCGGGCCCGCCGGCCATGCATCGCCGCGCCTAGCCTCTTGCATGCTTACGCGCTCGATCACTAGCTATAGCAGTCCAACTTGCCAAAATGGAGCCTAAGCCATGGGAGTCTGTTTGGACTGCAGTTTCCAGTTCTCAAGATGGCCATAGAGGATATGTCACGTCAGTGGAAGAGGCCAACAGAGTCCAAGACTTGTTTGAGATCGAGACTGCCATCAAATACAACATCGAATCCAAGAAAAAGGCTTCTTTTGATCTGACTCTACCCAACAGCTCTCTCAACAGACTCAAGCCCAACGACATCGAGCTCGAGCCTCCAGTACAAGGTGGATCCGAGGCCGAGGAGCGTCAGCAAGCTCCAGAGCTCTCTTCCTCGAGTGGTATGTTCATGCCGGTATTTATAGAAGTTCTGTAGATCTAGAGGTCTATGTATACCTTGGCTTGACTTTTCAACAAAGGGCATAAATTCTATGATCTAGATCTAGAGCTAAGAAGAATTAATAGTAGATTCTAATACAACTTTAATTTGTCATAATTCAGATCAGTATCCAATAATAAATGCTATAATTAATAGACTCTTTATATTACAAAAAAGAGCAATTCGTATTATTAATAATGCAGATTTCCGGGCACACACAAATCATCTTTTTCTAAATAATAACATTTTGAAAATTAAAGACTTGTATATTTTTCAGCTTGGACAGTTAATGTACAACTACAAGCTCGATCAACACTAAACAATTACCTTTGCCTTTTAATGATATGTTCGTAAGAAATGATTCGATTCATGTACCTCACTCGCCAGGCGAGCTCTTTTCATCTACCATTAAATAGAACATCTTTTGCACAAAACACATTTGTTTTTACAGGTCCAAAACTGTGGAATTCTCTTTCAAATGATATTATTCAGTGTAATTCGATACAAATTTTCAAAAGGAGATTTGAAAGCATTGTATTCCCCAATCAAATATACCATAATTTTTAGTGTGACTTTATGCAACTTTGATTGTTTCTTTTTATAAACATGTATGTATTTATCAATGTATTGCGTTTTAAAGTATTTTTTTGTATTTTTACTGAATCAGTTATTGTTATTGTTGTTGTTTTTTTCTCATAAATTAATAATTCATAATAATTACTTTTGCAGGGGGCTTACACCGTACAAGCTCTGCTTTTTAGTCGGCCCTTCTTCCCTTTCAATTTATTTTCTATTTTTTTAATGTATTGTATTGTGCAAATTGATCTAGATGTATATAAATAAATGTTAAGATGTACCATGATCATTGTAAATATGAACGATTGAAAGAGGAAAAATAAATGAATTGAATTGAATTAAATAATTAGCCACTGCCAATGGGAGGTGCGATGGAAGGTATCATTTTGTTATAATAATTAATTACACAATTCTATGACATCACAAAAAACTTGACAAAAGATCATTGTGCTCCAAAATTATCTCTAACTTGTTATAATGTTTTTATGTAGATCAACTTGGCGGTTATAATTCACCCTATGTCAACTACCTATGTATTGACAATTTGTATAGTGATGCAACTATTAGTGGAATTTGTATTGTTAATTTAATGTCATATTTCGCATATTAGATTTAAAGGAATTTAAATATATGTTTAAAATTGTTTCCACTCTAGGATTGCCGCAGAGAATACGATTTGAAGACATTGGGGATCTAGTGCCATCAGATGGCGTGCCATTTGTGTCCTCATACAAGAGGACAAATTCCTGCATGTTTGGCAGGAATAAACATGCGACACAAAAGAGGCGAACTGAAAGAGAAAAGGAGAATGAGCTCAAGGTTTGTGGGATATACATGTATATTTACATGTACACTCTGTGTATTCGTACATGCATACTAAGTATATTAAGGTCATACAAAGTTACAAAGTTTTGGAATGGGGTTATGGATTTTGTTTAAAGCCTCTAAAGTGTTGGGAGTACCAACAATTTGTTGGCAAAATTCAACCTAATTTGTATCATGATGTGAAAGAGGATGTCATTTATTACACACTTCTGGCAGGATTTTCAAAACAAACGTATTGTATGTATGATTTCATCAAAATATTGTCTACAAACACATTTGTTTTTCAAATCTTTGCAGAGGTGAATGTATATGACATCCTCTTTCATGTCTTAACAGAATTGAAGTGAAATTTTGCCATCAAATTTCGAGGCTCCCAACACTTAAGAGAGACTTTAAATGCTTATATATTTGAAGCATTTGTGATCCAACAATAAACCAATGACTGTATCGCGGTTGAAATCGAGGCTAGTTTGTTGAAAATCTAAATGATGATAGACTTTATATTGTGTTGTGTATGCTCTCTCAAGATTGATATTACTTTGACTTTAAAAAAATACTTCTTTATTAAAACCAACCAATTTCTCTTTTCGTATTGAGCAAGCATATATATCAGAACTGGATATTCTGATATTTTCTTGGTCGCAGCTGCCATTTTATGGCTGTAGGCGCTTTTTAAAATATAGTGGGAGTAATGATACATTTTAAAAATGGTTGTTTTGAGGGAAAGAATTAACATGATTTGCTGGAAGAGCACAGTCAAGGAAATTAACAAGTTTATTTTCAACATTTATTCAAGATTGATATTATAGCTCTGCATGTGATTTTAAAGGATCCTAACTCAAACATATTTGTGCATTAACAAACAGCTTAATAATTACAGACTCTATGGAGAAAAAAAAAATGGCCAGGATATGTGGCATCACATATGGGACTACTCTCAATTGGTTTTCAAATTTTCATTTTTCTTCAAAAGTGGAGCTGTCAGTCCATCTCCAAGATCATTTTAGGGTCCCAATAACTCTGCATGTCTACCTGAAAAGTCAAGCTCACATGATTAATCAATCTTACAAAAAACATAAATATGTAAGTCTTTGTGAGAGCTGACCAAAAATTACCACAAGAAATCCAACTTAATTATTAATGTGGAGTTGCCAATTATGGGTCCACATAGAGATGGTGATTAAAAACTTAAGAGGTCTTGAATAGTTCTTCCTATTTTTTATTCTTCAAACTTTCACTGATAATTTTTAATACTGATTGATTGCAAATTGACAGCTGGGTTTTGGTTTTCTTCAAGTTCTCTTTCCATTGTCTGAATAAAAATGTTAATTTGATGCTTGCAGAAAGATCATCCGTTGCCTCTGAAGAGAAGGTACAGGATGCTCCAACCGTCTCGCAAAAAAGGCTGTCCAGCTGCAATTGAGATGAAGGAAGTTATAAGATTTCCTGACTTCAAGGTAATTTTTATTGTATCTGAAGATTTATGTTGATTGTAATCCTGATTTTACTTTCAGGCATAGGATTTACACAGGTTAATAATTTCAGTCTGCAAAAGGGACACTCCACCTTGAAAGTATAGAAGAGTATACTTAACCCTTTGTTCTCCTCCTGCGCCGATTGGCACGTTCGGTCGATCGCCAAATTCGCGTTTTGGCACAAGATGCAATATGCATTCAATACAAATAGTCTGGCGTTGGATAGTTCAGTGCACAGCGAACATTTAAAGAACAAATTTTTTTTCTTGCAGCCTGTGAGAAAAGTCAGTATTTTGTACATAAGCATAATACATGGTCAACGGCAGCCATGGCACAGTGGAATGTTTTGTGGAATGAGGGTTGTAAATTTAACCCCTTTTGGCCTGAATATGATTAAACCGGTTTCAAAATCAATTGTTAAAAAACTTTAATAAATGTATCACTAATATCTGGCTTTGGTCATTGTGACTACCGGTACATTTTTCTTATTTCTTCAATACAGATTGCTCCAGATGCCACAACATGGAAAAGAAAGTCTGTGAGTGCAAAAATCAGAGATGCACTGTCAAAAGGAGAAGAGCTGCAGACAGAAAAGCGCATCTATATAAAGCTCCCCTCCAGTGAAGACCATCAATGCCATGATGTAGGAAAGGTAATTTAAGAATCTCTTTGACCTGCGGGTACATTGTATCTGTATATGTTATTAAATTTGAAATTATTTTGCCTAATTTTATTTCCTTTTGGGGTACGGGAATTTTCTCAGGGCAAGATATTCTATTATCCTGTTAAGAGATCACATCTAGCAAAAAGAGACATTGATTTACTGTACATTAAACATGTACAAAAAGTAAGCATCTTTCATACTTAAATACATCTTTATACATTTCCTCTTCCAGGGACCAAATGTCGTTATGCTTACCTTGATATAATTTGTTTGTTATACCTATGCCTTTTATTTTGAGATTTTTTGGTCATCTAGGGGCATAATTGGAGTCAAAAGAGCCATGTTTTCGGCAATAAAAGAAAAGTCAGTGGCATGTTGAAGACGAGCAAAGTGACAAGCAAAGTGACATGTGTTTGTTTTCTTTAACTTTTATAATCCACAGATGACAGGGTTTCTCAAGCCTATCGATAAGAGATTGTCACAAAGGCTGACTGAGTTGGTTGGGCATGGCGTTTCAAGTGTCCAGGAGATGAAGCGCCACCTTCGAATCCATGTAGAGACTGTTCTGTATCCGGATCTGGAAATTAGGCCACAAGGGACAGACACAGCCTTCTACCCAACAGATGAAGTCCTTGCTAGTCGCATATATGCCGCTAAAATGCACCTTCGGTAATGGCTCAACATTCATATCTTAACTTTATCGTTCTTTATTAATTTTGGGTAATTTGTTCTGAAATACATACACTATTAGAATAATTACAGGAACTAAAAAGAAAACAAATAATTAAGTAAAAGAAAACAAGAACGGAATGAAACCGGCTTATACATGCTAAACAATTGACACAAAAAAGGTCAAAATAAAAGTAGCAACTGTCCCTACGATATTATACTTTCAATCATGGAAGAAAAACCAACTATGATATAAGGAGAAAAAATTATCACCATATTTTTAAAGTCAAGAGTATGAAATTAAAAAAATAATGAAGGTACATGTACATAGTCATTATGATAGTCTTCACTTCACATTAACTACCAAACTACTTGATTATTTGATTTAGAAAATACAAAGCTACACTGATACAGGGTAGCATCTTCAGTTCTGTCAGAATCACCAAATCAAACCCACACAATTTAATAAGTAATCATTGCTTTACCAACTCTTAGGCGGATTTTTACAAATATTAAATTTCAGTCAATATTTTTAATCATGTATATGTAAATAACAACTTTTATATTGGTACTAATTATAAATCCCAGAGTATATTTGAATTCTCTTGTGACTTGAACAGGATTCCTAGGAAACGAACGTCTCAATAGTAAGTTGTACGACGTATTGCTTTGCGTCCTTTGTGCAAACCTTTGCTGTGACCTTACTAGAGGGTGTGATGGATAGATGGATATACTAACAATTTTTATATTTCATGTGTGGTTTATTGGTTTATTTATTTTCTTTTATATATTCATTTTTAGTCTTCCATACCAGCATCTACCAATTTAAAGTGTATCTGAAATATTTCAAGTGAAAGAAGTGCCAAGTTAGCACAAAATGTAGAAGTGAAAGGACAGACACATTTCACTATATTCTGTACACATTCAAACTACCAAAATTTGATTGAATAGTTACATTTTAAGTAAGTTTGGAAAGTTGCAAATTGCATCTTCATAAAGAAAAAGCTGCTTATGCCTTTAGTTAGATACCAGTGTGCTTCAAACTCTGCTTCATTATCTATGCCCTTTCCTCACTTTATACAGTTGATTATGTGTCATGACATTCTACCATTTAATAGTTTGTCCTACCTTTGTTCACTGAATGAGAAAAGAGAGAGAGAGAGAGAGTGTGTAGTACAGTACCTTTTTAGAATTACCAAATGCTTGCTTTGATGCGTATGAATAAGAATAGCATAATTGCTACAAGTATGTATCTTGATGCTGTGTATTAATTATTGCTTGCAAATTGCACATTATTATTTAGTATTAACTCACGTAAGCATGAGTCAAGATCCATCCTCTTGTGGCTGAATAAAACTTTTTTTTTTTGGGGGGGGGGTGGGTGTATAGATGACCTAATTCTACTTCTAGTGGGATGCCATCCCAATTCCAACATCCCCACCCCATGATTGGTCCATGGTCTAAAAAGGAAAATATATTTATTAGTATATTTGAATCTATTTTTTAAACAAATACAGCCAACAATATTCACAATGACTGTCACATATTGCCAGTAACATGAGCAGATGCTGTTTATTCATTTATTTTTTACACATTTCTGTTACACATTTCTTATTCACATCAACTCTTTCATTCATTCCCATCTATATTGGATTTGTTAAATGGAGTAGCTCTGATTTTCAGCCCCACCTAAGTTTGGTTAAAATATTACCTGTAGAAGCTCTCTAGCATCATAATACTAGAGGGTGTGATGGATAGATGGATATACTAACAATTTGTATATTTCATGTGTGGTTTATTGGTTTATTTATTTTTCTTTTATATATTCATTTTTAGTCTTCCATACCAGCATCTACCAATTTAAAGTGTATCTGAAATATTTCAAGTGAAAGAAGTGCCAAGTTAGCACAAAATGTAGAAATGAAAGGACAGACACATTTCACTACTTTCTGTACACATTCAAACTACAGAAATTTGTATTGAATAGTTACATATCTTTTCTTTCCATTCTAATTAAGTGTGGGATATTGTATATTGCATCTTTGTAAAGAAAAAGCTGCTTATGCCTTTAGTTAGATACCAGTGTGCTTCAAACTCTGCTTCATTATCTATGCCCTTTCCTCACTTTATACCGTTGATTATGTGTCATGACATTGTACCATTCAATAGTTCTCTGGTGGAGGTGAACTGATATCAGACACATGCCATGTTAAATGTAATATTGTTTTCATCCCATGCGAAAAAGTTGTCACCAACAATGGCTGAATATTGATGTTGTAAGTAAACAAGAACAATGATCAGAGTAATATGGATAGCAGAGTTTAAAACCAAAGGTAACAGACAAAATGCTATTTTTTCTGATTGTTTCTTTGCTTCTCATTAATAGATATGAATTAACTGCATGAGTTCCATGCTCCATAGTTGCTTAAAAAATGAATGATAAAAGAAAAGGTAATTTGCATAATGTAACATTTATGGCAAGTAGTGTTGTTACTCTTTTCTTTGGTGTTAATGAAATCAACTATTGTTAATGGTTTGCTTGCTGGTTAAATGGGATTTATACTGAAACAGATTCTGGTGAGTATTATAAAAATAAATGTTAGTTGTAATTTCTACCCAATGATGTTTTAATGCTTGATATTATAAACCTCTCTATAGAAATTTAGCCATCTGATTGGTCGAAATTGCAGTAGCGATTTTGGATATTCCCTGAAATTGACGAACAAATGGTCAATAGTTCATGAGTGATATGCCATATTGCCCCGGGTATAAGACGCCGCTTAAATCAATTGGGCTTATGCAGATCCCCATTGGTTTACGTGTTAAAATTTTCTTTGTGCAAGCGCAGACACGTACCATACAGTGCTTTTTGTCTGCTATTCCCAAATGATTGAAACTTTCAGTCCTCTTTCCAGCTAAGATAAATAGACAGTTTCTCAGATTTTCTGTACGTTTTAACTAATATTTACTCAATGAAAGGATTCTTGGTAGATTTTCGTTTCAATTTGGCATATAAAAGACATATCGACTGCTTTAATATTTGAGGTCTGGCTGTTTTATCGGCTCAAGGGAGGGCATATCTTGCCATGACCCAGAGGCGTGCCATGTGCAAGTTCCTGAGAGCAGTCGATATCTCTATATTATTACACAGATATATTGAAGATTTTGTGATTTGTATATTGGTTATTTTTATAGTAGGTTTCTCAAAGATCACTAGCCTAAAAGCAATTTATTTAGCAGATTACTTTTTTTAATGACTTTGTATTGGAAATTAAAGTCTATCTATTTTGCAAGTAGTGGAATGTAAAGATCACAACAAAGTATTGAGAGCATTCTGAATTTAATCGTAAACTAACGCCTCACACTTGTGTAATAACAATGTGTGTACATCACTGTTTGAAATGTCTGTCGGTTAAAATTATGTAAAAAGAAATAGAATCCACACAAAAACTTAAGAAGGGCTTTAGCAGAAAAAAATCTGTAGTGATCACAAACCTTAAAACAAAGAAATTGATTACAAATTCCTAGTACTTTTCACATTTTATTCTGTTAATTTCATTTTGCTAAGATCTAATGTATCAAGAATTAAACCCATCTAGGTCATTTGGTGCACAACTTTTTTATTCACCAAATTATTAATTATATTTTGTGCAATTAAAATTGCAATATTCAACACTATTATTGTTCTGTTGGTGACATCCCCATGTTCTAAACAACTTGACATTCTTGTTGTGCTTTGACATGGCAAGAGAAAAATGATGAAGTGTATTATTTTTAAAATGTTACTGTATTCTAACAAATACATTTTTTCTTTTATTGCCAGATTCTGTAAAATGGATGTCCCTAACTTGAAGGAGGAAGTTGAAAAGTGGAAGAAGCAGTCTCCCAATGACAAGTTTTGCCTGAGTTTAGGCTCAGGCAATGTAGATTCCACTGGAGATACGTATGTCATCTCGGGTGTGGAAGAAGAGGTCATCCCATCATCGTCAGGGACAAGGGAATTCTTCTTTTGCCACCAGACTGCATTTCAGAGGCACTTGTTGCACAGGTGACAGGTTTCATTATATTTTAAAAACAAACCGATGCTGGGATTCGTTTTTTAGATTGTATAATGGTAAAGTGTTATGATTTATGGATGCATGCTTCCACACATACAGGTACTCAGTTTTCTGGCAAATAAGTGTATAGCTTCAGTTTACTCTGGAATCAACCTGTTTTACAAAAGTACATGATTGTGTTTATGATATATGATTGTTTTATAGTTATTTATTGAATAATGGTTTCTTTGTTTTATGCTGATTTCATGACTTGATAAGGAAAATATATTTGTGTATTGGGTGGTAAAGTTGAAGTTAAGAATTCTTTTTATCCATGTAGGAAAATTATATCCCGTTATCGTAACTAAAAGTACAAACAGAACATTAAATTTTGTTTCAGGAATGCCAATCTGTAATATCTTGTTTAGTCATCCCTCTCACCTTCCAAACCGTTGATAAGGTTTGCATTTATTTGTATCGTTGAAATCATATAGGTATGGAAATGATATGACATTTCTGGATGCCACATATCGGACAACCAAGTATGCACTTCCCCTATTCTTCCTTGCTGTCCGTACGAATGTTGGCTACAGTGTTGTAGCTGAATTCATAGTGGAGGCGGAAACAAGAGCTGCCATCACCAGAGGCCTCCAGACCATCAAGCAGTGGATGGAGGAGGAACACCTTCCATGGGAGCCAGCATGTTTTATGACTGACTTCTGCGAAAGGGAGATCTCGGCAATTGAGGAAGTTTTCCCAGGTTTGCTTATTTACAATTTCGAAAAAGAAATATAGTAATGATTCACGTTTTTATGCTCACATGAGCTGTTGGGATTTATTTCTTCCATTTTGTGTGTGTAGCGCATTGTCTAGAAAGTATTTATAATCTAACTACTTCTTAAAAACCTTGGATGGGTTGTCACTAAACTTGGCAGGGAATGTCCAGGATTGGAGGGGGGGGGGGGGTAGAGGATCTATACATTCATGACAAAAAGCCCAGTTGCCCCATTTAAGATTTTGGTTTTTTTTTTTTTTTTTAAGAAACAGCAAGCTCATGGGATTAGTTTTCTAACACCATTTATCCTCTTTAGTTGTTAATCTGTTTGCCTTAAACTCCCACAACTTCTCAGAGAGCTCCCTTAGCCCTGTAAAAAGTATGACAATTACCTGGTTGACTTCTAGCTTAAAACAAAGGATTTCAACCGCTCATCTGAAAATTATGAATCAATTCTAAGTGAGCAATTTTGTTAATTTTTTACGCGGTTTACCTGCATAGTGCCACAGTGACAAAATTTAGCTTATTTATCAGGAGGAGAATATCAATAATTGCTATGTATGTGATAGGATGTGAATAATGTGAGAATAATTTGTGGACAAAATATACAAGGTATCATATTTCCAAAGGTTTATTCTGTTCAGTTACGGATATTTATTGAAGGGGTGTACCAGTTAAGTATGTTAACTGGGAAAATCTGTACCTTTTTGAAATTTTTCTGGCAGACCTCATGCTGAGGGGAAGGGGCTCTTTTTCCAATAGGGAACAAGCATGTTCAACTCAGGGAAACTTGCCTCGATTGGGGCCTTGGGGTAGTATTCTCCTTGCAGTAGGAAGTAGTAGAAAACTGTGAAGACCGAGTATCGTTTTCCCGGGGAATCTTGCATAAAAGATGTGATTAAACGCAACTTTTAAAAATCAATTGCATCTAGTTTAATTCTCGATTCTGATTGGCTGAAAATCAAGATATGTTTGCTTTTCTTGAGTTGTGTTTAATCCCAAATTGTATGGAAGACCCCCCAGGTTGACAATTTACAATGCCTGGTAATTTATTTCTCAAATATCTTTCCGCAAGTCCAGGAGAACCAGAACCCAGTTGGTTTGTATACTGTTTTGGATACCTTTGTGGATAACTTATGCAAAAAAATGTGGTCATGGAAGTTTATTGTGGGTTAACCGTTAAAATCGATTTTCCATTTAAGGAAGGGAGAATTAATTCTTCATTTAAATTAACAAATGAAGTTTGATTAAAGATAAAGACCAGCTATGGTCATGCGATTGCATTGTGAAAGAAACGTTGTGAAATCAATCAGAAAAGGTTGACCATCTAGCATAGATGCATGTACTGCATGGTTCTGGAATCATCAAAATGATAAGAAATTTGGCCCAGTCTTCTTAAAGTTACAAGCACTGTACACAGAAAGATGTATATGGGACTACGTGTACACATGTACGACACATGCGTTTTTATCTCTCACATACCAATAGATAAACTAATTTACCAAATATATCAATTAGTAGGCGGTTTCCCGGCAACATTTGTATCATCGTGTATTATTCAAAACATATTCTTTCACATGATTGGTAATAAGAGCTTCCATTTCATTTTTTGAAATTGGGGCGTTTCCATTACTGGTCTTTACCTTTAAACTTAGCAGGAATCTTCTGTAGGAGAAGGGATCCTCAGTTGTTCAAATGGTATACACCTTTGCCAAAAAGTTTTATGATGCCAAAATTTATCTAATTGTAACTGGGGTGTCGCCATACTTAGGAGAACTGGTTCAAGTATGGAATTTGACCACCTGACAGAGTTAACCCTATCTAGCCCGTGCTATTTTGAAACTGCATCCCCCCCCCCCTCCCCCTAGATAGGGTTAAGGGTCAACCTTTGCATACAAATTATTTTTCAGTTCACAGACCCTGCGGCTTGTACTGCCTAGTAGTTTGGCAAGTGACCTTGCTCAGGTGATTGTACGCAAATAAGGCACTTGTTAATTCTTTCATCATATTTTTCTTTGTTTAATACATGTAGAATGTAGATCATACATCTGCGACTTCCACAGAGAGCAGGCTTGGCTAAGGTGGGTTAGCAAGGCTGATAATGGAGTTCTGTCATCGAAAGACACTGTGCTAGCACTTCTTCGCCATTGTGCGCAAACAAATTCCCCGCATGAGTTTGAACTAGCTGTGAATCAGCTTCAGCATTCGACAGTATGGAGGAACAATGAACGTCTTCAGAGATGGATAACACGCACATGGCTCCCTCATTGTAAGGTATGTAAATTCTATCAAATCACAGTATACAGGTCAAGTATGGATTGTGCTACAGAATATTGTTCTTGTGATTTGAGGAAGTTTATGCTGTTAGGTTAATTATGATATAATGATCGCATGTAGAATAAATCAATAATGTCTGACATTGCAGCTTTGTACCAAGGTGCTTTTGGAGGCTTCACCCATGTACATTGGTCAGCAGGAGGTGAGGGTTATAGGAGAACAATTTGATTGTTGTGTTACTTTCTAAAATGATACAGTGCAAACAAATATATATTCTAGATTAAATCTTTAAAAAACAATCAGATTTTTGTAATGTGTGCGACTGATATACATATTTTTAGAAGTAATGTTTGGGACACAAAGCCTTAATTGCACTGATACATACTCCAGGAAGCAAATAATACAACTCAACTAAAAATTGGATAACCCATAAATATGCAATAACATGCTTATTTTTAGTAATCAGCATTGAAAGTAAAGGAAAGATAAGAAAACACAATTTTCTGATATCGATGTAATCATATGTAATATGATAATATAATACAGTTGTTCTTTTGGCATAATACATGTCAACCCTCTTTATGTTTTTATCATTATTAGCGCTGGGCCTGGGCATTTCGTGTAGAAGAAGGCTTGACAGCTCACACCAACAATGGGGTAGAGTGCCAGAACAGGGTGTTCAAGTACAAGTTCCTGGCAGACAGAACATCCCTCCCTCTTTCTGGTATGATATCTGCTCTTCTCACTGAGTATCTGCCAGACAGAAGAAGAAAGTGAGTATGTGAAGGGCTCTAAACCAACGAAATATACTATTAACTAGGAGGATTACAGCTGATCACTCAACACAGCGCGACGTGTTCCCGCCGCTCTAGGCAATCCGCCATCATGTTTATAGTCCTCTCGATTGTGCGATCATTGTAAGTGGCATTGCCGCATGGGTTGAAACCACACAACAACAAAAAATGCCCCCAAATCACATTCTTGTCAAAATTTCAACTTACTTTCAGAAATTACCAAAGATACTTCATACATCCTAAATAATTGTTTTTAGAAAATATAGATGTGGATATTCATCTGTGTGTGTGTTTGTGTGTATACTTGTATGTGCGCATGGAGCTATACTAGGCAGAAGGCAGAGGACTTAAATTGCCTTGATGGAGCTAGCAATTGGAACATTTGAATCAACTTGGGGGAGAAGTTGATTTTTCCTCCAGCCATTGTTGTGACAAACCTGTGACCTGATGTCGTAATTTGGTCCCCCACTTCAAAGAGGGCAATTCTTCTGGAGCTGACGGTACCTCATGAGGCAAATATGCAGCGAGCTCACGAGAAGAAAAGCAGGATATACAAATAGCTGCTCCTAGAGGCTGAGCAGAATGGTTGGAGAATTGAACTTTGGCCCATAGAAATAGGTTGTCGTGGTTTCTCCAACAACACACTCCTCCGTGCTCTCAGTCAAATTGGAGTGGGCGCAAGGCTGAGAAACGAGATAGTGTCACTTTCTTGCTCATGCGCAGTAAAGGCGTCATTTCATCTATGGCTCAGGAAGGATAAGCGAGAGTGCACGTCCCATATCTACTTAATCAGATATGACATCGCATTGTTGCATGCTACATACGCACAGCATCGCTATAGCTGCGCACTTTTGAAGCAACAACATAGAGGCATTATTCAAGAAACGGGTTAGTTTGAAATCCGTCTGGCCAGATGCAGACCACCTTATGTGTGTCTGCATCAGAAACGGATTTAATTTTTAAACATCTGTCACAATTGGCCACTGAAGAAGAGTGTGACACTAACCTGTTCTTCTTTTTTTCTTTATTTGGATAAGTCAGCGCCCCCCCCCCCCCCCCCCCCCCCCCCCCCCCCCCCCCCCCCCCCCCCCCCCCCCCCCCCCCCCCCCCCCCGCCTGCCGGATGGAGGGTTTTTAGGTCGTTTTTTGGTTATTCACATATAAGGACAGCTCCATGATCGGATCAAATCACTGACGCATACAAAGCGACATTTCTATTGTTGAGGACTAAGCAAAATGGCGGATGCTCGCGAGAAATTATAGCCGCTAGAATTCTTCTAGTTAATAGTATACTTCGTTGCTCTAAACCCAGCTTGGGTCTGAGTTTGGATTAAAGTTATGGGAAGCCAGTTGGTACACAAATCAATTGAAAACATTATTTGTTGGAATTAATTCCAAATCAGTTTTACATGTCTGAAAATATTAATTCTGACAATCTGGAAATAGATTTTTGGAGGAAAACCAGGCATTTCAATTTATATTTTCAGATAACTATTGGCACGCTATAACTTCAAACCAAATTTAGACTAAACTTAAACTCAAGCCGGGTTAAAGTAATTAGCAAAATAACAACTGGGGGGGGGGGGGGGTTCAGATGAAATAACATATAAGAATGGTCTTCACATGCATTTTATTTTTATCCAAACTATAACTTGGGCAACTTCCTGCGTTTTATATAGTAGGTTTGCGGGTGCACCATGTGAGAGAGAGAGAGAGAGAGAGAGGGTTGAGGAGCCCTGAAAAGGACTCTGACTCGGTAATCTTTCTTGTGTTTTGTTTTTGTTATCGCTGCAATGTCTCATGATGCAGTATTGAAAATGCAGTTATGCCTTTTGGACTTGGCAGATTTATATTGTAGACATCCATCGTTTCCCTAATCATAGTTTAAGGATGAATTTATTAATATTTTAATATAATATTTTCATTACAATTGACCCTAAATGATATCTGTAAGACTTTCATTGAAGGTCAATTAATTAGCTTATAAAAGACCAACACTATTCAATTCCTTTCTAATTGATAGTACTTCAACAACTTAGTTTTTTGCAATCCATCATAAATATAATGAGGCATGCAGGAATAAAAACACCAATTTATTTTTTTAAATACGTAATCTACACTTGTTCTGATTTTTATAACACATCAAGCATGTGAATAAATACCCGGAAAAGCAAAAGACCTCAAGCTATTCCGGGTAATCCTGTTTGGCTGTTATGGTTAATTATTGCAAATATCCCAATACATTTAATTGCTTCATATTGTAATTATGACAGATACATCATTGCGAACAGCAAGGCAAATTCTGCATGTGGCAGATCCTACAGCAGGGAAGTCCCAGAGTACCTACATGACAGGCCTCCAGGATTTGTGATGCACTGTTTGAAGCGACTAGAATCGGCACATGGTCTGAGAAAGAGGGACATTGAAAGAACTGCAGAACAAAGTTTTGTGGTAAATGCTACCTTTTATTATATTTAAATGAAAAAAAACTTAGCAGGGGGATGTAATGTCAACTGTCCAGAAAATAACCTCTGTCTTTAATGCACAACTTCATTGTGTAAGTGTCCCTTGGTTTGCTGCACATTGCTAAATGCTATACTCATGCAAATACATACCAGTTATTGCATGTTTATTTTTAAAATCTTTTAGATATCAGATATTAAACAAATACTAACCATAGCTTTATATAAATGTATATATGTTTCTATCCATTTATACAATTCTTTGTTCTTCTATAATGCAGGTCAAAAGTGAAACAATGATGGGCCGTCGGAGATATGCCGTCACTCTGACGGATAACTCGCTTTGCTGTCAGTGTATGGATTGGCTGAGATCGAGAAGACCCTGCAAACACATGTTTGCCATCATGCTCCATGTAGAGGGGATGTCTCTCCCATCCAACTACCTTGGTCTGCCATTTAATACGCTGGACAGCGAAGTTGAGTCCTTTCTGGAGTCGACCCAGGACGTGTCGGTGGAAGCAGAGCAGGAAGAGATCGCTGACCTAGAAGATGGCCTTGAGGAATGTGCCATCAATATCCAGAAGGGCAGCATTCTTAAAAGGACAGCGGTCTCTTGCAGAGAGAAGCTGATGCTGCTTAGAGACATGAGCTACCTCTGCACCAGTGAGCCACTCCTGCTGGCTATGGAGCAACAGCTTGATGCCACCATCCACTATATCAGGGAGAATCTGTTCTCTGAAGGAGGCCTTATTGTGGATGAAAGGCGCTGCCAGACAAAAAAACGGCACAGATCCGTCTCTACGGTTTCAATGCAGCTGCCCATCCGCAAAAGGAAAAAGAAAGTCGATGCACCTCTTAGCAAATCTGGCATCAGGAGATCCAGGGTCAAACGGAAAAAAACACGCAAAGGTTTGGAAACTCTTTAAAGGGATTCTCTTATTGAGTGGGAAATACGATTCTTAATGAGAAATATGCCAACCCTGTCTTTCCATGTCTTTTGCAATCACCTTGTACATGTACCTTTATTCTCTTGTCTCTTGCATACATGTAGGTCATCATGTTATGACAGGTATGATTGTATAATTGTTTTAAATGGGGGCACGCTACAAGAGTCCTATCTCGCACCCCGGCAACTACTGTAGCAACTACTCCGAAGATCAAGATTTAATCTTGATCTAAGGAGACATGAACGAATGAACGATCATGTTACGTAGAATCTTGTTTCAGTAAGCTTTTCATTTGTTTTGTAGTTTGCTTTTTCTGTTTTTTCATATTAATTAAATAGCTATTATAACTTTTGATCTCTGACATACAGTCAAATCCATTTTAGCTTTATATACCACGTCAATGTTGGTTTTTGAAATATCCTAAGAAAATTTAAATTTGTCTAAGATCTCTTTGTTCATAGTTTTCCTCTCTCTGTCTGTCCTTACAGCAGCTTCTTCAAAACAGACTGCAGCCAAAGACAGCGGTGGCACTTGCAATGCACCAGAGTCGATACAAACACGTAAGTTTCGTAATGCTATATTAATTTTTTTACAGGATAATCCTTGAAAATGAGACATTTAGGATTCATGAAAACATATAGACAAAATGATGGCTGAAATTTGCAATGTTTTCCTTGTATCATTTGTATACTAGGTCACTACTAACTCGCGATTTTCCTACAAAGTTCAATAGAATTTGATTTTGCTCGAAAAGGAATATACTACCTTTTTACAAATATTTTACTTTAGAGAAACCTTTCAACTACCAGTCTTTTCAGAATTAATGTGTTTTCTCACTCATTTATATTCAGAGACATGGATTTCATTGCAGTATTAACAACAACAAAAAGTTGCTGACATGTGCTGGATGCCAACAGTGTATGCACGACATGGTACCTCCATAGTGATATGTGCACTTATGTTTCTTTACCAGATGCTGCTGATCCGACCGGACAAGAACCTCCAATCAAAGCATCAGATGAACCTCCAATCAAAGCATCAGATGAAACTCCAATCAAAGCATCAGATGAACCTCCAATCAAAGCATCAGATGAACCTCCAATCAAAGCATCAGATGAAACTCCAATCAAAGCATCAGATGAACCTCCAATCAAAGCCAAAGCATCAGATGAACCTCCAATCAAAGCATCAGATGAACCTCCAATCAAAGCATCAGATGAACCTCCAATCAAAGCCAAAGCATCAGATGAACCCCTATGTGGTAAGAAAGAGTCGATCAATGTTGTGATCCTGCAGCTTTTTTTGTCTTCTTGAAACACTCATAATTAAGCATTTACATTTACGCTATCATCGTTAATGAGCAAAAACTTACAAACGTTACAGTGCAGAATTTTATTAAAAATAACATGGTACCTCCATAGTGTCCTCACATGATGTCACGTATCAGTTAATGCACTTTGTAATGTATTCCCCATCCCCTTCCCTTCTCCTTTTTTTTTTTTTTTCCTCTTTTCTATTGGTGTTTAATAGCCGGTTTTCTCTGCTTTTCTTTTTTCAACAATACAGTGTATATTTTTTAAGGGGTTGACGTTCATAAGGCTAATTGCCCTTTTTGTTAACCCCACATTCCAATAATTTTTTTTTTTTGCTCCTTCCTTTTGTATTTTTCTTGTTATTGATCTTTATCTTTATATCATGTTTGTATGTTTTAATGTTTTTATGGTGAATGAAAATAAAATAAATGAAATGAAATGAAATAGTGATATGTGCACTTATGTTTCTTTGCCAGATGCTGCTGATCCGACGGGACAAGAACCTCCAATCAAAGCATCAGATGAACCCCTATGTGGTAAGAAAAGGCCATTCAATGTTAAGCTTCCTATTTTGTTGAAGTCATGCAGTAATTATTAATATTTACACAATGATGCAGAAAGGGTTAAGCCTTTCATTCCCAGCCATCAAACCAACCCCAGTCTACACTCTTCCCATTGGTATTGCCCAACCCCCAGCTAAATAAAACAAAATAGAAACAAAAACATTTTGTCACCGTTACTATTAGAAAGTGGTGTAGAGCATAGTGACATAAAATGAAAATAAAAATCTATGGATTCTCCATATTAATTGTATCAAATATCAACCTTCATAAATGTTCTACTAAATGTCATTTACGTATAATTACAGGACAGAATAGTTTGTTGCTATTACCCTTTGACACCAATAAAGAAAAATTGCTTTCAATTCCACTATATCATGAATGTGGTTTTGTAAGTTTTGAAATTAAAGAATAACATTTGTTTACTAAACATTTCTCTTGTATGTGATTCATCTTATTTTTTATAAGGAGCCAACTCCAGCCATGATGCACACAAGCCAAAGCCAGGTGAGAAAAGGTCAAGAGATTTTATACTTATATTTTCTTTTCATCTCTACATTGCAGTGAAAACCATTGAAGTTTAAACTGTGTCAAGGTTTGTTTTTGAAATTACCTAATTTGTCTAAGATCTCTTTGTTCATAGTTTTCCTCTCTCTGTCTGTCCTTACAGCAGCTTCTTCAAAACAGACTGCAGCCAAAGACAGCGGTGGCACTTGCAATGCACCAGAGTCGATACAAACACGTAAGAGATAGCCTCTCTAAAGAAGGATTTCATATAATGCGTTATCAGCTATAAATATATTTGTATTTTTAATGTTATTTAGGAGTGTACATTCAATTGCTATACTAGATTACACGCATTCATTTTTCATATTATCCAGTAATTTACTATCCTGTAATATATTTTGTTGTTGTAAATATGTATATAACAATTGAACTCTCTTACTTGCCTTGCTAATAGTTACTTTTCATAGGATTAAAAAACTAATTACTGTCTATGCTGTAATGTTAAATTAAAATATTATAATTATGCAACAATGTTTTCTTGAACGAAAGGCAAAGCAAAACAAAACAAACAAACCATTCTTTTATTCTGAGGATACCAAATACTTTGTATATATGTTTAAAAATGTTCTTACTTATTGTTTATTGCTGTTATGAATTTTATGTTCAAGATTTGTTATTAATATTGTTATCATATATATATTTGTTAAACTATAATATACCTCATTATGTTTAACAGGGCCTCGTGGAAGACCACCATTATTGGTGATAACAAGTCACCCTGTCTAAATATCAGAAATAAATAAATAAATAAATAAAGTGTTGGGATCACCAAAACTTTGATGGCACTATTTCACCTACACTGTATAATGATGTGAATGGGGATATCATTTGACACACACTATAGCAAGGGTTTTAGGCAGTGGTTTCAAAGGATGAGTGATCAAACGTGCGGTCCCGACAGACTTTAATTGACTTTAAAAATACAATTATTTTCTTTCTATATTAGTCAGGAGATTTGTATCACTTAGCATATGCTTCATATCATAAACGTTGACTTCAGCATTGAAGTAAAACTTATAAACCTATCAGGAATGATTTTACTTTAGGTTATATTATACAGTTCTTGGTTTTACAAAAGTGACTATGTAGTTTAACATGCAATTCTTTCCCCTTGTATAACTTTTACTTTACCCAAAGGCAACAAAGGGAGGCTCCGACAAGCCACATTGAAAGAGTGCAGCAGAAAGAAGTTTGCAGGTGGCAGAAAGCACACAACAAGTAAATTATTTGTATTTTAAAATTGCTAATCATATCTGCAAAGAGGGTACCGGTATGTAAACAGCAGCAAATTTGGGGAAGAGCTACAGTTAATTGAATTGGCTTTCTCATGCTTTCAGGTTGTCCGTCCGTCGGTACGTCCCGTTCTCGTGATCGCGTTATCTGAAGAACCGATAGATGGATTCCTGCCAAACTTTGGTCATGTATGTATCTTGCAGAGCCGATAAACTGATTAGATTTTGGGGTCACGAGGTCAAAGGTCAAAGGTCACAGGGCTTGTTATATAGGCAAAAATAGCTTGTGATCGCATATCATTAGAACAGATTGATGGATTCCTGCCAAACTTAGATCATGTATGTATCTTGCAGAGCCAATGAACTGAGTAGATTCTTGGGGTCATGAGGTCAAGGTCAAAGGTCATGTGGCTCGTTATATAGGCAAAAATAGCTTGTGATCGCATATTATTAGAACAGATTGATGGATTCCTGCCAAACTTAGATCATGTATGTATCTTGCAGAGCCAATGAACTGAGTAGATTCTTGGGTCATGAGGTCAAAGGTCAAAGGCCATGGGCTCATTATGTATGCAAAAACAGCTTGTGAACGCATTCTCATTAGAACTGACATATTTAACTCAGGACATCTTGCAGAGCCAATGAACTGAGTAGATTTTAGGGTCATGAGGTAAAACACATAAGGCTTAAATGGTGACACGAAACAGTACTATGGGCTATATTTACAAGCCCTGCCTGAAGTTGCTTTCCTTCTTGTAAATACACATTCTGTATCCCCTTTTCTTTACGAAAAGTATACCAGTATGCAGATGATGCATACTGGAGAAGGTCAATAGTGTAACTAGCTAAAGAAAGTCGTATTATGACATTATATTATAATGTTATTGACAACCTCTTGCTAGAATCTGTTCTATAAATATATATTTATTGTTTCACTTTTCAAAGTACTGTATAGAAATTATGACATCAACCATGTTTATGTTGCAGGCATCATAATTCCTGAATTGGAGGGGCTCAAGATTCAACCGCTTCCTTCACTAAATGACGACAATCGTTATTCAGTATGCGGGGAGACCCTTGAGATTAGAGATTTCAAGTCCTTGCAGTTCCCTAATTGGATAAATGACAAGGTAATTTGTCTATCAAAAGATGTTATTCTTATCTTACTATAACCAAATATGCATTTGTATCATTTGTAATCAATATAATGCTGAAGGCTCAATGAAGAAAGAAATGTTGAGCATGATTTGCATTTCCACGAGTATAAATGGTTTATTGTAACATTTTCATATATTTTAGATTTCTGTATAGTTTTGTCAATCACATTTCTTGGGGAAGGTGGAAATCATATGTATTGTCTCATCTGTGTAGCAGGAGTGAGATACATGCCACTTCTCAATTTATTGATCTTACATCAAAGATGATATGACATATTGGTTGGCCATATTATAGTTAGAAGTCAGAGGGTATTTCTCTGACTGTTTTGCAATTATATAAATGATAATCATATTGCAATTGTACCATGACAAGACAGAGATATCATTCTTTCAGTAACTTTGAAAATGGTTGTTACAGATTTCTCTCTTTTTTGGTAATTCTTTAATTAGCAAATTTATGTCCTTTTATTCTAAATATAAAGATTTAATGCTGTCTTCTTTGCTCCTTGATGGTTCTCAATTTTGTTAATATTCAACAGAACTTAGTGAGACACCTAAATAGCCCCCCTCCGAAAAAGAAAAAAATCTAATTTATGGAAATTTTCATTAATATCAGGAACATGCTTTTCTTATTTGTTGTAATAACCACTTTACCTTATGCCATTTTCAGATTCTCAATTCCTTTATGGCACTGCTGTCGAAGGAAATTAATGTCAACAGGAGTGGCCACATCTTCCCAATCCCTTCGTATGCTGCAGTACACTGGCAGAGAGCTATGTATCAGACATGGCTCTTCAAGAAGGTAACGTTTCATTGTTGTCTAGATTAACTTGCTTAAAACTGTAAAATGATGTGGTTATCAATATTATTTTAATTATCAGTACCTACTAACTAGAAGTTAGGAGTAGGCCAAATCCAGACATCAGTTTGCAAACAAAATATTTAAAAAATAAACAAAACAATAAAAATATGATCCCATCATTGAAAAGTTGATATGAGCTACGTACATCAGCCTGACAAATGATTCTGAATTTAAGTTTCAAAGGTCGCTATTATAGCTTTCCCAGGCCCAGGGGGTCAATGACATTTCTATAGCATTGAGCCAATCATCAAGAATTGGTACACAAACTGTAGCTGCATGTACACGCCGCAAACATTCACATTTTTGATGACTTTTAAAGGTACTAGCCGTCATTTGCATACCTCCCAAATATCGATGAAATTCCATGGGTAGAATCTCTTAGGCATGATAATAATAACCCTCTTTAAATTATAGAACAAAGGGACCAATAGTTTTGAAATGAGAAGTTAATAAATTTCTTTTATTTTATTTGAAGCTTGATTAGTAGCGAGGTTCTCTCAATTGTTTAATGTATATTCACTGCTCATTCCAAAGCTAAGCATCCACTCGCTCAAAAAATTTGAAGAGGTTTTTTATTATGCCAAAGAGCTTCTACCCATGGATTTTCTTGAAATTGGAGAGGGTGTGCAGATGAGGACTACTCTTTAATGGTCCTATCTTGTCATTTTAGGTTCAAAATCCTATCAGAGATACCCTATATCATTGACTTATCAATATGTAATAAAATTATATTTATGATATTTATCAATACAGAAATATGTATATTGTTCTGTTGTGAGTATGAATACAAATTGTCAATGTTTGAACTTTGATGCAAGATATAAAAATTACATCAATCTAGAAAAAAAGTTGGACCTCAAAGGTTTTTTTTCTTTTTTCTTCAATATAATAAAGTTTTATTGTATTTTATGGCTTCGTCGCAGCTATTTAAAGAAAAGAAAAAAAGAAGAATGAAACATTTTGAATGAAACATAATAAACTAGTAATTCCTAAAAATAAAACACCAAGGTGCAGCTTCATTCAATGTAATATTGACAGGTTAGTTAAAATCAAGGAAAAAAGTATGAAAAACATGCATTTTATTTCATGGTTGTCATGGCTACAGGAATGTATGCAGGTATGTGTCCAAAGTTTACATCAAATGTTCAGACAATATTTGAGGAAATGTCTTCCCAATTTTGTATCTTATCAACATGTGGCAGGGGGGGGGGGGCACAAAGGGGAACAACTGGACCTTTTAGAAATTGTGAGCTATAGAAGGCATTAGTACTAGCTACAAGTACCGTAGTGCAATCCCACTTTAAACACTTAAATATATTCACCAAAATTTGTAGAAATTGTCCTTAAGAGAAGGGGGTCTAATGGAGTTCCCAATGGGTAGTGTTGCTAGCTCACACATCTGTATACTGTCATCTATAGGTGAACATGCAAAAGTACAAATGGATCTTTCTGCCATTCAACGTTAATAAGAGTCACTGGGTACTCTTGGCAGCTGATGTGCAGAGAGGAGAAGTTTCGGTTCTGGACTCCCTACCAACCAATCCCAACACATCCATCAACTGCATAAAGAAGTTCAAGTGAGGAATCTTTTATTAGAATAAATGCAGTATATACAATAATGTTTTCTCTTCAGGCAAGGACTCCTAGACCAATATTGATGTATGATAGTGTCACATTGAGTTGAGCATATTTCATAAACATACCTTTTTCACCAAGTTGAATTGAATTAAGAATAGTTGAAGGAGTAGCTCAGACTAGCTCTCATTTGCATCCCCCTTCATTTTTTGTTACTATACCATGGCGCTAGAATTGGGCTATAACTGCTTGATGTTTTTTTTAAATTTGTATTAATGCAACAAGTCATGCCAACATTTTATTGGGACAAAATCAATTGTTTTATTTCACTCTGTATTATGAATGATTGCGCTCTATGAGCTGCCATATATGTTGCAATGAGCTTTTATAAGAAACTAGATCAACCTCAAGCTTCCATTGATCATTAATTAATACTACTACTAACAGCAAACATGTTAATTGAAATCAAGTGGCACTTGAAATGGTACTTGTTACCTGGGCAATAATTTTTGTCTGCCCTTCATGACAATTTAATTTTATGTTTATTGAATGCACATATTGTAAATTTTAAATCAAGGAGTATGCTATGAAATATTATGATGTTTTGTGATTTCAAATTTTATTCAAGAGCCTACATGGCATGCAGATCAGAGAAAATTGAAGACCTAGCTGGAACGTCATGGAAGGTTGGCAAGCTCCAGTCTGCCAGGCAAGAAGATGGACATTCCTGTGGGGCATTTGTCATGTTGGTAAGATTAACCCATCAGTTTGATTCTATGGATTGTTTCATGCTGTTTACATAATAATTAGGAGATGTGGTCTTAAGGTGTTTGATGGAGGACATCATTCCCCTCACCCCCACAGGGGCTTAGTGACAGTGTTCCCATTGGTTAAAATGAGAAAATGTATAAAGGCCAAGATCCACTTTCTAGTTGCCAAATGGGCACTGCTAGGTCTCTATTTTGCAGTTTAGTACAGTGGAACCTTGTTATAAAGAGTTCTGATAAACCAAGGTACCCAATATAAGAGCATTCTTTTGCTGGCCCAAACTCTTATTGATTATGTCATTAGTAGCCGGAGGCATTATGTTTTCTGGTTGTCCGTCTGTAGGCCTACGTCCCGTTCTCGTGATCGCGTTATCTCAAGAAAAGATTGATGGATTACTGCCAAACTTAAGTCATGTATGTATCTTGAACTGATTAGATGTTGGAGTCACAAGGTCAAAGGTCATGGGCTCATTATGTATGCAAAAATAGCTTGTGAACGCATTAATTGTCAATACTGACGGATGGATTACTATCAAACTTGGGACATGTACAGTGTATGTATCTTGCAGAGCCAATGAACTGATTAGATTTTAGGGTCATCAGGTCAAAGTTCAAATGGTAACACATGTACCGGGGTATATAGAAAACAGCTTTTTATCACAATATTCTGAGAACCTGTTAATGGATTAAAATCAAATTTGAATTTTTAAAATAAGCTTCTGCTTTGGTTTGTAAAATCACTCTATGGCGTAGGCGTCATTTTTGACTGTGTGTAGTCGAACATCCATCTACCGGTAGTTGTATTCTGAGATGACGAATATAATATGGTAATTTCAATCATCCCAAAGTTCCCATGTTCTTGATGTTTGAAATATTCTTTTCTTTTTAAATTTCACCTACCGGTATTTTTTTCTTATTCTTTTTTTTAATTTATTTTGCTGCAGAATGCTCTTGCCATTACAAGAGGGATTGATCCTCGAAGCGTTGGGAAATATGCCAAAGACATGAGGGTTTATGTCCAGAATAAACTGACCACCAACGCTGTGCCCCCACCTGACCAGCGGAAAACCTGTGACATGGTTGAGTGTCTGATGGCCCTTTCAAAGAAACCACCTACCAGCACCCGACCTAAATGGGTGCAGTGCGATGTTTGTGGTCGCTGGCTGCATCTGTACTGTGTCTCAATCAGTGAGGCACCAGGGGAAGGTATTGATTATGTATGCCCGGTTTGTTGCGCTCAATATGCATAGTCATTGTGAGTGATGGAAAGGGTATGGTGATAGTAGATTTCATTGACTGCACAACTTCACTTAAAGGAGAATTAACATCAGAATTTTATGTTCCATCGTAACCTTGTCTGCACTTATAGGCAGCATCCATTTTTCTCCTTATCTCCTACCGCACCTTGTGTGTTATGTTGTATCAGACAGCTACACTGCCAGCTCGAGCTAGATCCTGTGAAGCAGTTACAGCCAAAGCCCCTGCTTGATGAGCTTGATCTTGAGATTCTACTAATCAAATAGAATTTCCTCAACGCTTTCTTGATGATTTCATTCACATGACTATTCCACCAGAGGTTAGCCTGGATAATAACCCCAAGCAATTTCAACTCCTTGACTTCTTCAAGAACATTGTTACACAGCTCAATGCGTGGAAAGGGGATGGCCGCTCATGAAAACGATACTTGCATCACTTTGCACTTTGCTGGATTTACCCTGTGGCATACCTCCAGTAGGCATCAAGGATGTTGACAGAACACCGTGGTATCTCGTCACCTGTACCCTTTGGTGTGAAAAGCTGCAAATCCATGGGAGGAGTGCTGGACAGGCACCCATTAGGTGAAGCTTGCTAACAGCAATGTTGTGGTTCACTAAATCAAATGCCTTGGTGAAGTCAGTTTTCACCATAGTTGACACAGTCTGTGGCTTGTCTGCATTACTGTGCAAGGTTAACAAGGTAGTGGGTAGTGGAGACACCTTGTCGGTTGCCAAACTGCTGCTTGTCGATTCCTTGACAATGTCACCCAACACCCAACAATTGTTCGAAGCTTGTCAATAGCTAGTGGAGATTCCTTGGGGACTGGACAGACAGTTGACTTCTTCCACTGCATAGGGACTACTCCTTCGAGCAACGATTCATTGATGACATCACAAAGTGGGGAGCTCCTTTCATGGATCAACTCTTTGACTTTTAATGTGACCCATGGCTTATCTTTATGATGTTCCTTAATTCACTTGGAAGGGAAATAAAGGTTGTTCGCTGAGTTGAGATCACTGTAGAAAGCTTCACACTTTGCGTTTGCTCCATTCGCATTATATACTGAAGACCAGTCATGATGGACGATCCAGTCACCAAAGCATCTTACGTCCGAATCTCGCATTAGTTGGATGGTTTTGCGACAAGTTTGATATCTGTGTCTTACTTGGTTGGCTTTTGGATGCCATATTACTCTATTGTGGTCACTACGTCCTAAAGGCAGTATTAGTTGAACAGGGGAGTAGTGCAGGTGTAAGTTGGTGATCTTATCCAAAATGGCATCTTTTAGTGTTGCCTTGTTAACAACTTGTTTCAGTCTATGACTATTGATAAGTTGCGTCAAATCTAATCGGTTAACATCTCAAGTATGATTATTCCTGTGTCTTAATTGATATCTCGCAAAATTCTCATTCGTAGAGTTAATCAAGTTTGAATGCATAATGTCACTATTTGGATGATTCGGGGGGTAATATACACCAACGCCACAAAGATAGATGATACAGTGCGGGGTAATCAGTGTGGCTGTAGTCTGATCCTGACAACCTCAAGTTTGGGTGGTACGCTGATAAATGGCACGGGGGTGTTGAGCTATGCCATCCAAAAGTGTGAAAAGTGGCTTTTCTTAGCTTACCTAATGTTGCTAAGGGTTTTGAATCTGCCATACTGAGCTTTGACAACTTACACTACCCACAATACTAAATGTTACTCAGAATTATGGACGTCTGTAATTATGAACAATTTTTTTCAATTAATGGGTCTTTCCAAAGAAAATGTTACGGTATATGTAGTTGTGCATGCAGTTAGGGCTTCAATATTACACCATATCACAGACACTGGTAACATTGTTAAACGATCCCTTTAAAGGTAATACAAAGTTTTGGGAAATTTTGAAAATTGGGTGGAAAGTGATTCTTTACAATTTTGATATATTTGGATGCCCCTGTGGATGTTTCATATGCACTAGAAAATTTAGCTCCTGAAACACTTCTGCTTTCGAGAACAATTGAATATAAAAATTTACCGGTGCTCCCGGTAAGTTTTGATGAATTTCAAATAGCCCTGTACAATGGTAGCTGCGACCATGAACATCTCAGAACATGCAGTTGTGATATATAATTTCCAAACGGAAATAGCTAATCGGTCGATTTCAGTCAAGAAACATTGTTTTATAGCTTAATTGCTATATTGACCTTGAGAGGGAGCTATACAACATAAAGAGTTTATTATTTACAATTTCATAATTTGGACTCGATTTCAACCACGACAACGATCACTGAATATTGTAGGATCCCATAATCTTCCATTATGTTCATTTGAACCAAATTCATGACCCCACGTTGTATTACCTTTAATAAATAAAACAATACTACAGAGAAATGTTTCTTCTTGAGAAATGTGATAATTAATAGACAGCATTATAGAGTTATATTTCTCCATATTATATTAAACTCTACTTGGGACATTAGCTGGACATACAGAAACAGGGTGCAGAAGCAGGACCCTTAAGTTAAAATTTGGATTTATGTTTTGCTCATCCCTAGCTTGATGTTGAGGATAGATGTCCAAAATACTTTGTTTAATCATAAAAGAGAAATATTAATATGAATTTTAGTGCAGCCATTGATCAATCGGTTCAGTGACCATTACTTACAATGCAGGTTTTAACAACAACAAGAATCATTTTTTCTTCTTTTCTTTTTAGAATTAAAGAAAAAATACAAATTTTAATAAAACAGATGGTGATGTAGCCTTTGATGTCCCTACTGAGGTCCAGTATATTTACGTTTGCTCCTTTATTACTCAGCATGCATAACAATAGCTGGACACAAATATGTCCTGCAACTAGTAGTGTCCATGCAGTATTATGTGATTAAGTGATGTGGGGACATTTTTATAACATCTATGAAAATATGTTTAAGTGGTACATTTGACATGTTCAGGATATAAATCTATGAGCTTCAGCGACCTGAATTCCTTTTGATGCTGTAGCACTTGGAAGGCATAGTCAACCACAGCCAAAACAAAAAAATGAGTTTGTATGAATTCAAGTTTCCATCGAATAACATATAATATTCAAATCCATGAACAAGTTATAGTATTGGTTATCTGTTCATTTCAACAATTCATGTCATAGTGAAAATAATCAGTTACTAGGGCCTGACTATGAAGTTGTGAAAAAGCAAAGGGAAATATGTAAGAGCAAATAAATATGATTTTTTTTTTATTTTCTAAATTGATTTTTGATTCGAAACTAGTTCTGTGGTAAAGCACATTCTACTTTTTATCAGGTCACATGCGTCACGATTTTTTTCTTCCAGTGTAAATTTGAGTTGATGGAGAAGTTTGTTAACATAATCTTTGTTAAGTACATAAAAATAACGTTCATCGGTTCAGTCTAGAAAATCCACACACAATCTTTCTGATACATTACCATTTTATAATGTGTAACTTAATGGCAATATAATATTACTCAACCAAGCAGAATATTTGTTTGTGATCTTTATTTTTTAGGTTGTTGAAATTGATTTACATTTCAATATTTATGTAGTTGAATGTTTAAAATGAGCAAAAATTAAGTGGGAACAAAACTTTAAAACATGATCTTATCAAGTTTTATGGAATGAATGGTTAGAACGCAGTTTTTTTAGAAGATACTACGGTAAATTATGACCATACACAACAGGTCGTGTGAGCGGGACTAATGGTCGGGTCTGTGATATAAAGAACACATCAATAAAGGAGCAGAACTAGAGGTCGTATGAGCGGCACTAGCGGTCGGGTCTGTGATATAAAGAACACATTAATAAAGGAGCAGAACTAGAGGTCGTATGAGCGGGACTAGTGGTCGGGTCTGTGATATAAAAAACACATCAATAAAGGAGCAAAACTAGAGGTCGTATGAGCGGAATGAGAGGTCGGGTCTGTGATATAAAGAACACATTAATAAAGGAGCAGAACTAGAGGTCGTATGAGCGGGACTAGTGGTCGGGTCTGTGATATAAAAAACACATCAATAAAGGAGCAGAACTAGAGGTCGTATGAGCGGAATGAGAGGTCGGGTCTGTGATATAAAGAACACATTAATAAAGGAGCGAGCAGAACTAGAGGTCGTATGAGCGGCACTAGCGGTCGGGTCTGTGATATAAAGAACACATTAATAAAGGAGCAGAACTAGAGGTCGTATGAGCGGCACTAGCGGTCGGGTCTGTGATATAAAGAACACATTATTAAAGGAGCAGAACTAGAGGTCGTATGAGCGGCACTAGCGGTCGGGTCTGTGATATAAAGAACACATTATTAAAGGAGCAGAACTAGAGGTCGTATGAGCGGCACTAGCGGTCGGGTCTGTGATATAAAGAACACATTAATAAAGGAGCAGCACTAGAGGTCGTATGAGCGGCACTAGCGGTCGGGTCTGTGATATAAAGTACACATTAATAAGGGAGCAGAACTAGAGGTCGTATGAGCGGTACTAGCGGTCGGGTCTGTGATATAAAGAACACATTAATAAAGGAGCGAGCAGAACTAGAGGCCGTATGAGCGGCACTAGCGGTCGGGTCTGTGATATAAAGAACACATTAATAAAGGAGCGAGCAGAACTAGAGGCCGTATGAGCGGCACTAGCGGTCGGGTCTGTGATATAAAGAACACATTAATAAAGGAGCAGAACTAGAGGTCGTATGAGCGGCACTAGCGGTCGGGTCTGTGATATAAAGAACACATTAATAAAGGAGCGAGCAGAACTAGAGGCCGTATGAGCGGCACTAGCGGTCGGGTCTGTGATATAAAGAACACATTATTAAAGGAGCAGAACTAGAGGTCGTATGAGCGGCACTAGCGGTCGGGTCTGTGATATAAAGAACACATTAATAAAGGAGCAGCACTAGAGGTCGTATGAGCGGCACTAGCGGTCGGGTCTGTGATATAAAGTACACATTAATAAGGGAGCAGAACTAGAGGTCGTATGAGCGGTACTAGCGGTCGGGTCTGTGATATAAAGAACACATTAATAAAGGAGCGAGCAGAACTAGAGGCCGTATGAGCGGCACTAGCACTAGCGGTCGGGTCTGTGATATAAAGAACACATTAATAAAGGAGCGAGCAGAACTAGAGGCCGTATGAGCGGCACTAGCGGTCGGGTCTGTGATATAAAGAACACATTAATAAAGGAGCAGAACTAGAGGTCGTATGAGCGGCACTAGCGGTCGGGTCTGTGATATAAAGAACGCATTAATAAAAGAGCAGAACTAGTGGTCGTATGAGAGGCACTGGTGGTCGGGTCTGTGATATAAAGAACACGTACATTAATAAAGGAGCAGAACTAGAGGTCGTATGAGCGGCACTAGCGGTCGGGTCTGTGATATAAAGAACACATTAATAAAAAGGAGCAGAACTAGAGGTCGTATGAGCGGCACTAGCGGTCGGGTCTGTGATATAAAGAACACATTAATAAAGGAGCAGAACTAGAGGTCGTATGAGCGACACTAGCGGTCGGGTCTGTGATATAAAGAACACATTAATAAAGGAGCAGAACTAGAGGTCGTATGAGCGGAATGAGAGGTCGGGTCTGTGATATAAAGAACACATTAATAAAGGAGCAGAACTAGTGGTCGTATGAGAGGCACTGGTGGTCGGGTCTGTGATATAAAGAACACATTAATAAAGGAGCAGAACTAGAGGTCGTATGAGCGACACTAGCCGTCGGGTCAGTGTGATATAAAGAACACATTAATAAAGGAGCAGAACTAGAGGTCGTATGAGCGGCACTAACGGTCAGGTCCGATTGTGATATAAATAACACATTAATAAAGGAGCGAAACCAAAGGCGTTTCTTTAGATCTTCTGCAGGTGCCCTTTTCTTAATTTCCAACTTTTTTCATATTTGCTAGTAGAGTTGTTTATTTTTAAAACATGTAAATCCGATAGGCTATTATAATATCACCATCACATTTTTACCTATCAATTTATGTTAATTTTGTATAAAAAAAAAATGTAAAGGCTCAAAATCTAAATGTTACGAGAAAAGGAAATGAAATGCTTTGTCCATTCTCTCTTTTTTATCTTCTTTTTACCCACTCATCCATGTATAAGTTCGATTTTTTTTTAATGTATGATGTACAATATATTGAAGTTTCCATTATATCATTGTTGTTAATTTATTCCTTTAACTAATATGTGATCGTTTCCATATTAATGTACATGTATTTGTAATTTCTCCATTTGAACTTTGTAATCTTTGCAATATATTGAAGTTACCATTATCATCATTGTTAATTTATTCCTTAAACTAATATGTGATCGTTTCCATATTGATGTAGGTCTAGTCTACATGACTATTTGTAATTTCTCTTTATTTCTTTGAACTTTGTAATCTTTGTTTGTATCAGTCTCCCGACTGTTTTAACATTGAATTTTGACACAATAAACCGAAATGAATGAATGAATGAATGAACGACAAAATATGACTAAATTTGTGAGCACCGGTAATCGGTTGCATTGTATTTGGTCGAATGAGGATTTGGGAAGCACGCGTAGTATAGTACAGTACATATGCATGCCGCACTGTTGGCATTATGACTAGCATTATGTCGCGTTTGTATTACGCGCGCGCTGTATAATGAATATGCATGAAGTGTGATCGACGTATCCTTTGACTCGGCCACGCCCCCGACCTCTAGTGCCGCTCTTCGTATGCTATCCGTCTACGTCAAGCTCGTGATCCTGCATGGCCGATAGCACCGCCATCCACCGGGGCAGACGTGGCGCCTAGCTAGCTAGCTATCACTAGTCACTCGCAGTTCGAACTTTTCGAAGTTGCTGAGCTGAGAGCGCCTGGCAGTTCTATTCTGTATCTTCTTTCTCCGCTCTTTTTGGAGATCAGCAGTTGTGTCCTGTATGACATGTGCCGATCTAGTTGGGAGAAAAGTGTGCAGTAGATCTAGATCTACTGTCTAGGAGTTGGACTCAAGTTCTAGACTCTACCCATCATACGAATTACGAGAACGAACAGACGAATGATTCAGAATTCAAGATAGGGCCTAACGTTAGTTTTCAGGTGAGTGAGTGAATGCAGCCTTGGCTTCATGGCTTGCAAAATCAAGAATGATGTTGATGATATTATGAAGATAGGTCTACAATTACAAATATTTGTTTTTGTCCACAATGTTGTAGATCTCTAACTTGCTAATAATAATATTGTATAGATCTAGGCCTAAATCATATTCATAATCATTTTATTAAGACTGAGACCGGGAATGGAAGTAAACCTGGCCTGGCCTGGCCAGATTCGCTAGCTGAAGCATACTGCATAGGTGATGTGTATATGCTACTATACCGGTAGTTTGGAGTTACTCAGTTAGCAAATGTCCTAATTTAACCTAAATCAGTAAATCATAAATGATCCCTAATTCCACAGATCTTCTTCAAAGCATCTGCATAGAGTCAAGTGTGCGGTGCTGTGAGCATGTGTGCCAGTGCTGCATGATTACTGTAAAAAGTGTAAGTCCTTGTCCCACACTCATCAAAGCATTTAATAAATAGACCCTAGATCTATACAACATTATATTTAGATCTGCATACATTGATCATAAATGAAATACAAAATTTACAAAGTGATAATATACACACTGTACTTGAACATCTAATCCTAATCTATCTTTTATTTTGCCCACAGCTCTCTATCTTGCTTACAAGAAATTAAGGATGGGAATTCAGGGACTTCTCCCCTTCCTAAAGGAAGCATCTGAGCCCATTCACATCAGGAAGTACAAAGGCTATACCGTGGGCATAGATAGCTACTGCTGGATACATCGAGGAGCGGTTGCTTGTGCCACTCAGTTGGCAAAAGGAGAACCAGCTGATCAGTAAGTAGTATTTTATTCTTTAAAGTTATGGAATGACGATGAGTCCCATAAGATGAAGATTCAATGTTTTTTTCTTGTTTTGTTGTTGCAAGAGTTATTGCCTGAAATTTCTGTGATACAATATAAGTTTGCTTTGGTAATTATTTCCTCGTTTGAGCCAGCTGAACAGCTTTGAACAATGATGTGTACATGAAAATTGAATACCGTAGTAGATTATGAGATGCATGTTAAAAAAGGTAAATGTCAAACAGAATACAGCTTCAGCTTCTGCTGAACTTTAATTGGGACAAACTACTTTTACATGTCAAAAACTGTCAGACTTTCAAATGATTCAAAACTTGTCTTATGACACATTTATTCATAATTGCTTTTGATGATTAACTTACTATGTTCACATTGATGTATATTCTTTTTTTGATTTTTTTATATGTAATTGTTTGTCATTGTATATAGCACTTGGAGACTTCAGTGGAAAGGGCTCTATAAGCACCGTTTTTATTATTATTATTAATGTATTTTAAAATTTAAACAGCTTATTTACATACAATTCTAATATTTCAGGAGTATACATCTTTCAAGCTTTTAATTGTGCTTTTTTTTTCCTACTTTGTAGTTATGTGAGATACTGCTTGAAGTATGTGAACATGTTGAGGGCGTTAGACATCAAGCCAGTCATGGTGTTTGACGGAAGGAATCTACCGGCTAAAGCTGGAGTAGAGGACAGCAGGAGAGAGTAAGTCAATATCATAGAGTCACATTCTTGGTATATGTTAGCCATTTCATGTATGATTTTATGTATGGTACTGACATTTTTTTTTCCATTTTTTTTTTTTAATACTCAGGACATGTCTTCACAGAAAAGACATATTACTCAATGAAAGACAATATTCAATCCTTCACCTCTCTCTAGGATGCCAACAAGTGTTTTGTTGTACTTATATTTTTACTGTTATTTACCATTACAATTTATATGTCATTCAGCTTTTGCAATAGGTTTACGTGAGTACCAATAAATATAACAAGCTAATGATGTTTTGGACGTAACTGATATATTTGTCATTGGTATTCCACTTAAGTCAAAGCTAGCACCATGCATATATTTCACAATTTCAGGAAGATGAGAACAAAGTCCACTTCATTGGTTTTGAAATGACAACATAATATCTTTCTTCCCACAGACGGCGGGAGACCTATAGTAAAAAGGGACGTCAGTTCCTGAGAGAGGGCAAGGCTAGTGAAGCCAGGGATTGTTTTGTCAAATGCATCAATGTCACACCAGAGATGGCCTTGAATGTCATGAAGGTATATCACACTTACCTTTGCCTTCATTTATCATACTATAGTGGTATCCCCATATATGTTTTATGATGCCTGTTTTGAAAAAACCTACCCTTTTTCTGGACTTTTGTTGTTCGTAATAGTTTCATTCATGGTCCTCGCCCAATTTGTTTATCCTGATGGACCATAGATTCACTATATACATGTAATGTTTCTTTATAATTATATGCAATGATACCACACATTTGCAAATGGACCTAGAAAGACTTGAAAAGAAAACAATTGAAGTTGTTGCCAAGATGGATTGCAGTGTGGCAAAAGGTTTTCAAATTGGAAGGGGGGGGGGGTGGAAATAAAGCTTTTATTTTTTCTCTGGATTTGGAGTCATCAAAATATTTTGAAGAAATACATTGATAAACGTATTTCAGACTGATTTTATTAGATATTTCAGTATTCAATACGGCTCCTAGAATTTAACTGACTGTTTTGCTTTTAATATACATGTCAACTGTTGTAATTTGTTCACATGAAACAGGCTGTGAGGAGTCTTGGTGTAGACTGCATTGTAGCACCCTATGAAGCTGATGCACAGCTGGCCTATCTAGAGAAAAATGGCTTCGTCCAGGCTGTCATCACAGAAGACTCCGATCTCATTGCATTTGGCTGCAAGAAGGTAAGGGAGTTCTGTTCATAAACAGGAAAACTGCCTACTTACAGAGCCATGTGATTTAAACTAGGGATTGAGACCTGCTATACATTGTGCGACCTTATAAACTTCCAGTAAATAAGTGTTTAAGCATCGTTAATTTTAGTCCTGTGCTTGACAGGATTTTTTTATACCTCAGTGAGGAGATCATCACCTTTTCTTTATTTTTATGCCTCCGCCACCGAAGGTGGTGCCGGAGGCATCATGTTTTCGGGTTGTCCGTCCGTCCGTACGTCCGTCCGTACGTCCGTCCGTCCGTCCCGTTTGACCGTTATCACAATATCTCAAGAACCATTTAAGATTTAAACTTAAGACTCGGGAATAGTATTTATCACCATAGGAAGACGATCTGATTAGATTTTGGAGTACGTAGGTCAAAGGTCACAGGTCACAGAGGTCAACTTATGAAATTCCTTGTATTGAGTTTGTTAGCGCGATATCTCAAGAACCATTTGAGATTTAAACTTCAAACTTAAGGATAGTATGTATCACCATAGGAAGACGATCTGATTAGATTTTGGAGCACGTATGTCAAAGGTCAAGGGTCACAGAGGTCAACTTATGAAATTCCATACATTGAGATTGTTATCATGATATCTCAAGAACCACTGGAGATTTAAACTTCAAACTTAGTGATAGTGTGTATCACTATAGGAAAACAATCTGATTACATTTTGGGTCACGAGGTCAAAGGTCAAAGGTCACAGGGCTCATTATGTATGCAAAAACAGCTTGTGATCGCGTTATCTGAACAACCGATTGATGGATTCCTGCCAAACTTTGGTCATGTAAGTATCTTGCAGAGCTGATGAACTGATTAGATTTTGGGGTCACGAGGTCAAAGGTCAAAGGTCACAGGGCTCATTATGTATGCAAAAACAGCTTGTGATCGCGTTATCTGAAGAACCGATTGATGGATTCCTGCCAAACTTTGGTCATGTATGTATCTTGCAAAGCCAATGAACTGATTAGATTTTGGGGTCACAAGGTCAAAGGTCACAGCGCACATTGTGTATGCAAAAACAGCTCGTGATCGCCTTATCTCAAGAACCGATTGATAGATTCCTGCCAAACTTAGGTCATGTATGTTACTTGCAGAGCTGATGAACTGATTAGATTTTGGGGTCATGAGGTAAAGGTCAAGGTCATGCGGCTCATTATGTATGCAAAAATAGCTTGTGATCGTATTATCATTAGAACAGATTGATGGATTCCTGCCAAACTTAGATCATTTATGTATCTTGCAGAGCCAATGAATGGTTCATAAGATCAAAGGTCATGGGCTCATTATGTATGCAAAAATAGCTTGTGGACGCATTCTCATTAGAACTGACAGATGGATTACTATTTAACTCAGGAAATCTTGCAGAGCCAATGAACTGAGTAGATTTTAGGGTCATGAGGTCAAAGATCAAAGGGTCATATATGTATATGAGAAATTGCTTGTAATCACGATATTCTGAGAACATGTTAATGGATTACAATTGAACTTGAATTTGACAAATTTCTTCCGTTTCGGTTTGTAAAATTGCTCTATGACGGAGGCATCATTTTCGACTGCGCGCAGTCGAATTCCATCTAGTTTAGTTGTAGCTTGAGAAATGTACTTTATACAATAAATTTTAAAATCCTTACAAAACCAGTGTAGGCATGTAATTTATAGTAAAAACCTGTATATTTAAGGACTGCTAAAGGAAGACAAGAAAAGTGGTCTTTAGTGGTAGGTTAATGCAATGATCATTTCAATAAGAAATGTTGTTTAGGTGGAAATAGACGGGTGGTTTTCTATAAACATTGATACTAAAGCAGGTTTAACTCTATTTTCTTCTCTTGTTTTCTTGTAAAAATCACCATATCAAATTCCATCCCTAAATCCTCAGGTGATAGTCAAACTAGACTTGGCTGGTAACTGCATGGATGTGGACTCCTCACGCCTCAACGTAGCCATGAAGATTGGGGAGAAGTTCACACCAGAGAAGTTCCGCTACATGTGCATTGTTGCCGGCTGTGACTACCTGGCATCGCTACCAGGGATTGGTATCGGCAAGGCTCGGAAACTCTTTCAACTCACAGCCAACCCTGATATCACCCAGGTGAAGAATATACCTCGACACCATGACAATGGAAATTTGGTCACCTTAAAAAAAAAATGTATTCAAGCTTGTATGTACAAAACCACAAACAAGAAATACTAAATTAACTTTATGAACAAATCATCTCTCTATACAGTCTCAGTAAGGCAGGTTTGATTTTTTTTTCTTTTTAGCAAGCTCACTCTATATTCAAATAAATGTATTTAATGGAGGAATGATTTGTATCCATTATATTATTGCCTGTACAAAGAACAGCAATAAATTGCCATCGATTTGTACTACTATGGAAAATCTCTGTTTTATTTATAAGCACCACAATTACATAGAATTCTTGAATGAAAATATGATATATAACAACTGGATGTTCAATGTTGACATCACATAACTAAACTAAACTAATTCAGTGCCTCTCTCTGAAATGTTATTAAATGTAGGTGATCAAGAGAATGGCAACAACCCTGAAGATGAAATCAACAACAGTGACCCCTGAATACCAGGAGGGATTCGTGCAGGCTAACAACACATTCCTCTATCAGCTAGCTTTTGACCCCCAGAAGAAGAAGCTTCAACCTTTGACCCCATATTCCCCTGAGGTCACACCAGCAACACTGACCTATGCTGGAAAGTGAGTAACAAGTTCCTGTAAGGGTCTGTTACCATTAGATGTAAAGTACATGTATTTTAGTTGACAGCATCTGATACTGCTAATCAAAACTTCCTTTTTTTTTCTCCCAGAATTGCATTATTTGTTATTTCTGTTTACACTATCACAGTTTGTTTTAATTAGAATCTAGATCTGAAGTATTAATTGTTAGAGATAAATAAGAAACTTGTGTCTGTAAAAACAACCTGCACAATAACAGAAGAATACCTTTAATACCAAGTAGCCATACCGTTCATATTCATTATTCTAGCTGTTCCTCTGTCAGCATCCAGTGCATGGCTTTATAGGCAAAACTCAGTAATAACAACGTAAACATAGGGAAAATAAGGAAAGAGAAAAGTGAGAAGACTCCAAAAAATCAGTGGCTTTTTTATAAAGCAAATGGCATTGTGATTTTGGAAGTGGTTGTAGTGATGAATCTATAATTCATTCTAACATTGTGAAAATATTTTCTCTTTGCAGATATGTTGATGAGGTAAAGGCCTACCAAATGGCATTGGGTAACATCAACTTTGACACCATGGAAAGGATAGCAGACTTTAATCCCATGGTTAACAAGGTAGGGAGACAGTGATGAAATCATAAGAGATGCTTTTGGTGGAGGCCTGAAACATATTGTGTCTTTATCATTACTGAAATAGATGCATAGTCCAGTGCATCCCCCAAATTGTTTGAAACAAACAACATCAAACCAAGATTTTGGTACAGTGTATGTGTTGTGTGAACTGCATATTTACATTTTTTAGGATACCTGTCCTAAATAATAAAGAAAATAAACAATTAATCATTTGTTTTATCGTTTGCAGCTTTGTAGAAATCTTAGACACCATACATGTAAGTAGTAGGAGAATAATAATGGCTATTTTGTAGGCATGAGCCAGAGCAATGGAAATTAAAGATGTTGATGTTAGTGATGAATAATTGGGAAACATGTCGTACTGATCTTCTCTTTCAGCCCTATGACAAGAAGACACCAAGGCACTTATTGAGTATCTGGCATAAGGACTTCCAACCAGGTCCTGGACTAGGATGCTTGAACCAGGACCATATAGAACGAGAAGTGACGAAGGGAAAAGAAATAACTGTTGAAGTGAAGCAGAGATTGATCCAGAAAAAGAGACAGAGAGATGGTAAGTGAAACCAAGAATATCAATATTATTGAGGTAAGGATGAAGTATGTAGCCAAAGTATTTTCAAAAGCGATCAAGGAAAATTCCTTTGATTGCGTTATTGAAAATTTGTTCTGATGAGTTTTAAGAAGACCCAACAAGCAGATTGGTTGTATTTTAATTGGGTAAAATTGGACAATAGTTTTTATTAAGTGACAGCCAATGCTAACAGTAGTTTTATTGCCAGTCTTTGATTACAAAACATTAGTGGATAATGATATCAGAGTTTGTGTTACAACATAGAGCATAGATAATCAGGGCATTCAAAGTATGATGAATTGTTTGCAGTTGGTGATTGTTAATGTATGTGTTAATGTATCTTATGTACCGTTCTATGAATGTTTTATGTAGAAGAAGAGGAGGTAGGAGCTCCATCAGATGTCCAGCTCTCCTCCATGTATACCACCACCAAGGGACAACTTGATGGGAACCAATGGATGGAATCACAAAGGGTCATCCCTGAGACTCCAGACAAAGATGTGGTAGAGGAGGAGATGAAACCGTCCAAGAGGAATCGCTTTGCTACCAAGCTCACGTCCAGGAACAGAGCTAATATAGTCAATAGTGGAGAGGTGGTTACAAGCAGGTCAGTCACATGGTCTAAAAATATTCCTAACTAGATCCCTAAGCCTCACTCCCCCCCCCCCCCCCCCATTTTTAAGTGGCCCTTGATTTATGTAGTTTGATGTTCCTTTCAGGAAAGACAATAGTTTGGATATTACAATCAAGAGATTTGATGATATGTGTTTGTGAAATAATTTGAAATTGTGCAACAGATTAAGCATTCCCTTAACTGGACTCCTGTTTTATGAAAAAATGTGCAATATAACCAAATATTTTCTTACTGATGCAAGCAAGTACATTTTCCTGTCAAGTAGTTTTATATTATATCTATGCATCTATTCATATTTTATTTTGAATTTAATTAAGCATCTGAGTGAATTCTAATCAAAGATCTTATTTCTTCCTTTCCTTAGCTTTATATCATGTATCAGATTTTAAAACTGAAATTTCTATGATCTTCTACCAGGTTTTTCCAGCCCAAGAAGCTGGACGTCTCATCAGAGAAGCAGCAGCAGATACCCAACGATAAAAAGCTCAAGATAGAGGAGAAAGAAAACCAAAGAGTCAGTATGAACACTTCAGGACTCCTAGAAGGAATTGTAGACATAGAGATGGAACAAGAGAAACAATTCAAAATGGAGGATGATGATGATGATATAGAGGATGTGATTGAGATAAAGTTGAAGGAAACTGTTAGTGGTAGTCAGTCCCGGCAGACACATGTCACAAAGAGTATAGACGCATTACAAAGGTTTCAGAGGTCATCCTCTGCCTCTGTGCTTGTGAAAACTGAAAGGAATCTTTCATCTAGCTCACTCTCCAACTCTGTCAAACCTAGAACAGCCTTGTCATCAACTCATCAGTCAGAAGACATTCCTGACTCACAGAAGAGTGTGATAGAGATTGAATCGTCTCAGGATTCTGTATGCTCAACCAGGAGTGTTGATACCTGCAGTCAGTCATCGTCACTGTCCTCAAGCCAGAGACAAGGTACACCCCGTCCTCGCAGTGCCTTCTCTTGGAGCCGAAAGAAAGAGCTACAAGGCAAGGACAAGGACAGCAAACAGCCCACACAGGGAACCCTCAGTGGCTTTGTATTCAAACCCACACATCAGAGTAAACCTATGCCGAGGCAGACTGCAGTAGGTGTCCAAGATGGCAGTTTACAGGGCAACAGTCTGAGCAGGAGAGATTCATATGAGATGCCATGTTCTCCTGTATCACAGAATTCCTCATCGCAGCTCTTGAGGTTGTCTCTGACCTCGTCCATTCCAGGCAGCATGGACATGCTAAGACTGGGTGAAGATGTCACGTTCATGGTAAGTATGATATAATAATAATAATAATAATAATAGTGTAAACTTATAGAGTGCTTACACCGTCAAAGGACGCTTATGGCACTAGCTCAGCAACAGTTCTCTTTAATACATGTAGAAGTAAAGTAAATGTTTATTTAATAATAGAGTTGCAAAATCAGAAACTCAAAAACAATTTTGCAACATTTGTATCACCCATTTCAATCCTCAGCTCTGCCCGGAGCCAGAAGGGCGTTAACGCTCTAGTTGTCCCGAAAGAGAGGACATGTGAATGATCAAGTCGTATTTTTGTTTATCATTGCAAATTTCTTTATGTAACCACATGTTCAAAATATACATGCAAGTAATGATCAAGATTTGCACATTGTTTGTGATTTCAAGTAAAAGTATAATTACTTTTCAAAAGCTATTGATCGCTTGGCTCACAATCCTGCAACATTGATATTCTTGTAATCTTTACTGCATTTTTAAATGCTCAAATGATAATGCCAAAAGCACATAAGCTACATCCTTTTTACATTTTCAGTACGTGCTGGTAAATGTATGAGAAGAGATAGTCGAGATGCACTTTAAATGTTGGTGTCTCTGTTATTCAAGTACATCAGCAAAGGGAAAAGATGTAGAAATCAAAACTGAACCATACAGCAAGTAACAAGACTGCCATCTACTGTTGGGTTGATGTTCTCAACTTCATGTGTACAGCACAGACACAGTTTCAAGACGATAGAAGTAATTCTAGGATATTGACCTCTAGATGTATATTACAGATGAATGTGGATCATGGAGCTTCTCTATGATTACATTTTCTTTTACAATCATGATACCTATGGGTCATTGGCTTCTTTTAGAAATTAAAATAATTTACAGACAAGATAATGCTTAGAAATTTAGAGAAATGTGTCATTGTACTGGCTTGACTTTTCAAACTGAATCATTTGGAAATGTAACCCAGATTTGAGCTACATCTGTTAGGAATGACTGATATTTCCAATGTTCCCAGCATTTCATCTGCATCTACTTCGAAGCTGTGCATGATTTCAACAATGGAACTCGTGAAATTGATGTTGTATTGTTCCTGTAATGACAGGAAGATTTATAGTCCCAGACTTGTTCAAATGATGTTAAAAATAGCTTGCAGGTTTCTCCATCAAGCAATTCTAATTCTAATACAGAACACAAATGATACTGACCATCCTCAAGATCTGATGATGCTGTTGTTGATTTTGTTTATTGTTTGTGTTTGTTGTGATGTTGCTCTTGATGATCTTTAGTGGGAAGATACTTATTGTGCAATTCATCACTTGCCACAGATGTATTCTGGTGCTTCCTTTTTAAGATCGATAGACCTTGGAAATGGGGTAACCTAATGAGGCATTCATTCTCTTTTATCTAATTGCTTTCCCGAGCACTAAAGAGGTAGAATAGTCATTCATGTTCTATTCCTATCTTTCTATCTATCTTACAGGATTCACAGAGCAGCAACTTAACCGAGAGCCAGAATACCAGCTCCATCACCCTCACCTCAGATCAAACCTCTCAGCTCATAGACAACACAGACTTAGAAGATGTATCACCACCAATACCACCACTACCACAGCTACCACTCCAGATACACCTATCCAATGGTGAGGAGGAGGAGGAGGAGAAGGGAGAGATGATGGAAGGAATTAGAAGAACTGGGTTGTCTAGGAAGAGAAAGGTAAGATCTAACAAGTTGCTTGATACGTTACCCTTTCTATCCCTAGATCGTCACCCCGTTCCCCCCCCCCCCCCGAACCCGAATATTGAGTCGATCTGTTATCATATCCTGCAAAACTTTAAGACTCTTAGTAAGAATATCTTGAAAAAGACGTACTTGTGGAAGAGATTATAAAGAACCTCTTATTTTATTTATTTATATATTTTTTTTTTTCCCCTCAAAGGTGGACATGATGACATACATTTTGACTTCTTAACATCCCAAGTCTGCCATGACCGAGAAATAATGTTGATGAATAAGTAAATACACAATTGACCTAGTTTCTGAGCAAAATGGTTCCCGGAGGACGTCACATCCAGTATGTTGTTTCTCTTTGTGGTCTCCTCTGCAAATCGCTATCGATTCTCTTCCGCTTTACATATCGTGCTGGCATCACAACTCTCATGATAATTCATGAGCAATGTCCTGTCGTGAGAAATGCCCTTAATTGAAAGGAAATGAAAGGAACATGACAGATACACAATGGAAGATGGATTTCTTTCTCAATTGGAAAAATTTCATTTTCCTTTAAGGATGTGGTCACCTCCATTTTACATGTGGTCATGTGGTATTCATGATTGGAATACAGCAACATGAAACATTACAATATTGACTCTCTTATATTGTTGGCAGCAGGGTGGGCTTAGGACATGAAACGTTAGTTATTTGGGTTAATAAACTCAATTTGAACTCAAGAGAATAGCTTTTTTGTACTCAGAGTATCGGATCATTAATTTATTTTTATGGTTACAATATCCTGTCTTCACCTCATGTTGTTGAACTCTGCTCAATATCAGCATCGCCAGATAAAAGAAGTATCACATGATTTTTAAGGGGACTAAGAGCTCATTAGTTTTAAAACATGAGCAACAAAACAGTATTCATATATGTTTGAAGTATTGTAGATGAAATTTAGGCATCCATGTAGTCTGTTGTTTGATGTGTCATATTTTCATGTTGGTGATAGTGAATGTTATATGTGAACATTGGGGTTGGACGATTAACTGAAGAACATATATAAGTTTGTCTCTTGATGACTTTTATTTTCTTTGTGTGTAGCTGCATTTTTGCATGATTTAATGAAGTCTTTTCTTTTGCTTTGTCATTAATTTACAGAAGACATTCTCCTCTGAGGAGCAATCTCCAGGTAAAATCCCAAGTGATGTTTCCAGCCCTGACACGGATGATGTATCCCTCAACAGTTCCACCGCATCATCACCATCCCCTGCACCAGCTTTATCTTCTTCATCGTTGCAAACCACCAAACATTTTGGCATGGCAACTGCATCACAATCCAACAAGGATGCAGACAGTCTTCGGGTAGGAGGCAGAGGAGCTACATCTTGCTACTTTGGTGGAGGAGAGAGGGAGATGTCACAGGGCGTGGTCAGGAAGAAGGGGATGATGCAAGAAGAAGAGGAGTGGGAGAACACCCCACCGGGCAGAGGAGGGGTTTCCCCCTACAAGGGACGCAGGAATAGAAATCTGTCTGGCAAAAGACACAATCAGGTATGAAGTCATGCATGCACTGCACCATTATGTTCTCTTTGTGCCTTTGTGCATGTCCCCTATATAAAGGTGGCTATTGTCTTTATTAACACCATGTCACACACAGTATGCTAATGAGTCACAAGTAGATGACTGGCGGAGCAGCATGTTTTCTGTATGTACATCATATGACACGCAATGTATAGCCATGAATCATGACTTCATAAAAATGAATGATACATCCTCCATTGAGAGGCAGAAGGCTTTTAGATCCCAAACTTGCACTGAGTTAGCACCTTCTGGCTCTCAGCAGATGATATACTTTATGACAGAGGCAATGCCCATCAAACTCTCACCAAACGATGTATACCATTTGAGACATGACTACTGTACATCCACCTGAATGTTACAGAAGAATGCTTTCTCATATACCTTAGCATAAAGATAATGCCCTTCTGGTTCTCATTAGCAGACAATATAAACCAGTAAGATGAGAAGAACAGCAGATTGTGCTAACGTTTCGTATTCGCACTATGTCACATACAATGTGTTATTGAGTCACAACTACATTGAAATTTGTGATATGTGAATCAGCGCTGATATAGTTCTCTCATCATCATTCAGGAAATTGGATCTTACAGTAAAATTATGATACTGGAAGCGAATCATTCATGTTATACTTTTCCATAATGAGACAGACCCCTCTCTCTCAAATTTATGCCATAATTTGGTTGTTGTCATTGTTTGTCACAGGGACCCAAAGCTGCCTTCATGAATGATGAAAATCAACAGAACTCCTCCAACTCTGAGCCAAAGAGTAAGTCCTCGCTAAGAAATGACAAGTGATGAAATGGATTTTCTTTTAATGTGCATTTATTCAGGAAATAGCTTTTCATGAGTTGAAAACATTCCAACATTTCCTCACTAGGCTAGAAAAGGAATTGCTATATTTAGATCAATCTGTAGATTCTTTCAAATGGATTGGATTCTGACATTTATTTGGCAAAACCAATGTAGCTATCAATCAATTATGTCATTATTATACCTGTTGATTATAGCAGATCCATCGTAAATGAAAGTATAGTACAACATGGCACACCTAGGACTCATTTCTTAGCCATCCCGATCATTTTTGTTAGGTGTATGATCTATGGTAGTTACATGTATATCTGATTTCTAGCCATTGTCACACAAAATTGAGTTCATTTTATTTGATACATCTCATATTTTTTAGATAGTTTGTGAGACTTCCTTTAAGATAGGCTCACCACATTTGCTATTTTGAATATATGCATTGCACCCTCCACAGTGTTTATAGTATTTTCCCCTTTTAAATGATTGATAACGTTTTAATCTGGATTTCATGTAGTTTATTTGTATTTCTTATCTTATTAAGACTGTTAGCAACAAGTGATATTTCCTTTACATTCACTGTAAATCATTTGTATACCTTTCATCCTTTGTGGCTACACAGAACAATCAGCCTTCCTTGGGCAGTGTAAAGCATCTGGTCTGTCCAAGAAGCGACGTTCCAGTGGTAAAGCCAAACCAGACGCTACTCCCAAGGGTCAAACCTCTCTTCTTGCTTTCATGGCCAAACCAAAGACCAAGTAAGAAACTGCCATTGAATCAGAGACTTTCTAGTCTTATAGTTAATGATTATCATCAAGAATTTAGATCAAAATGATTTTTCATAGTATTAAGAAAGCCAGAGCTTTGTTTGGCTTTTTTTTTTCCTTTCTATTTGTCTTATTGTCTTGACAGTTTAAACTTGGAAAATTCTATAACTCAATATCTTTCAATTCATGCCTTAATTTTCTCCAAACTATTTTTTTTCTATTTTGGTCATTTAAAGCATTACATTATATCATTATATTAAATTATTTATTTACTTATTTCATGTAAATTAAGTATTATAATGTGTCTGTTTACATTTTATTTACAAGTATGTTTTTTTCTTGTCATTTTAATCTGCATGAAAATGTTCAGTCTTTTTGTTTCGTTTACTTCCCTTTTCTCTCCCTTCATCTCTATTATTTTCTATTTCTCTTTCTCTCTTTTTTACTTGGCATTTTCTTATTCCCTTCCTCTCTGTCTCTGCATCTTTTGCCTTTCATCGTCAAGGTAAGTTCCTTCTTTCTCTTTCTCCCTATCTTCTCGTTTCCTCACAAGACACGCCAAGATATACTTTGCATCATGTTTCCAATGCCCGTGGTAACATAACCATTACTCATTGTTTATTACCCTCAGGGACCCACTGATCAGTCAGAAAGGGGTTTCCCCACTCTCACCAAACAGAGCCAACCTTTGCACAGACCTCACTCCAGAAACAGAAGGTAGTCTACTCTCCAGACAGGGGCGTGGATTCACCACCAAGAGGCATATATTTGAGTAAATACTGCCCTCCATCACTGCAAATGATTGATCTTGTTGCATCTCTTATTGTTCAGTTAGTATTGTTATTAAAGTCCAGTACTCCAAATTAATCATTATAACATGTAGTGTTTTTTTAAAGCTTCTACCAACCTTAAATTTGTTATGCAAGCTTTTATCATCATTTATACTTTAGATTCAATAATGTGCTATTGCTACCGGAAATTCAACATATCTAGATGGATAGAAGACACATTCCAGTGTAAATTATACATATATAACCTGTTGAAATTCAAACGTGCCATTGTTTTACTGTATAAAATAGCCCTTTGATTTCAATGGACATTGAGGTAAATAATAATTATCCTTGCTTATATAGTGCCTAACACTTACTTTATCAGAAGTCTCTAAGCGCTCTACAATAATGCAGCATAATTACCCTGACTTTAGCAGTGCAGCTGTTACGCGCGCTGCGTTTCAAGGAATACAATCCTACCAGGTACCCATTTACTTCACCTGGGTGGAGTGTGGCAAATGTAGATCAATGTCTTGCCAAAGGACATTAGTGTGGCGGCGGGACTCGAACCGCGGACCTTGTGATCGACAGTCGGGTGACGTATCCACTCGACCCCAACACCTCTATGGCGCACAAATACCGGTATGTGAAACATAGACTGATTGCAATGAATTTAGCTTGTCACGTAATTGTGACTAGCATATTGTGACAATTTCAGGTGTAATATTTTCATAGATTTGTCTATACCTCACTTTACATTTATTTTGTCCTTTTGATTTTGATTTGATATCACAGAGGGAAGACTTCAAATATGTAAAGTCAAATAGTCTGCAATGTCACAATGTCACATCAGGATTCCTCCTTGTATTCTTTCATTGTGGAGAAGAATCCAAGTCATATCATTGAATGCTACCTGTTTTACATAAGGTTATATTCATTAGTATTCAATAAAGTGTAATTTTCCATTACATCTTCATGTATACTATTTATATTTCCTTTAAGAAATCACAAGTTATTTGTGAAATATGCATTCAACTATGAATGTGATATTATACTGGAAGTATTCACCTCATTGAGAAAATTCTCTTCAATATTCCAACGTCTGTCCTTTAAGACCTGAAACTTTTACAAATTTTGGCCACTCATTTACGTTTTTTACACATGCCTGGTTTCTGATTTTTCTGGAGCTTTCCCTGTAAACTTGCAGTCTAGTTTGGGCTATATCTTGCTTTGGAATGCAATCTTGTTTAAGTTTAAGGCTAAAATCACTATTTTTACATCTTACATTTTTAAATTTTAATGTCATGGTTGTAGTTGTAGATGCCGAGTAGTGAAGGTTTTTTGTGTAATCTCAGCAAGGTAAATCAATTATCTATCATAACATGTGCCAATACAATCAAAAGTCCTACCCAAACTATTATTACTCCATTGTTAATGTAATCAATATTAGTCACCTTACCAAGGTTTTGTAAAGGCTATCTTTGTAAAAATAATCACAGTCTGTGAAAATACACCTTAGATTGTCACAACAGGTTCTGAAAACATTTGATCAGGATACAGTGTTTTTGAAATTTCAGTGTAGGCATTAGTGAATTTCTTATATACAGGTTTAGATATAAGTAATATTTTTCAGTCATCTAGTCAAGTGAAGTAAATTAGCGCTGTATTCAATTGACTATGTAGGGCCGTTATGTGTTCTGAAATGATTACATAATCTGATTACATAATCATCCTGTTCTGTCCTGCCTTTCCTAGATACTTATACTGCTTGTTTGTTTAAGGAAAGGTTTTATCAGCATCAGTGTCTATTGTGAAGAAAAAAGTTTGTTTGTAGAGTCAGAACGATATCCTTCAACATAAAATACTTACTGGCTGTTAATGAATGTATGCAACGCTTTAAATGTGGTGGAGCTGATCACAGATGGATTATATCTCAATTGTTGGTAATCAGAGACAATTTGTTTCACATGAATGTTCTATTGTTTGATCTATACAGCTAAATTTCTTTGTTTTGTTCAGCAGAAGAACAAAAAACAGGTTTATTCCCTTTCAAAGGTACTCCTTTGTTTTTTTTTATGAAATGTTATTATGTTGTGTGTTTCATAAATAAATGGGAATTGCAGTAATATTAAATTTCATTGTTTATGTCAGCTGAATTACCTAGCTAGCCAAGTAAAATCAACTTTCAGTCTAAACAAACATTCTTTTTTTTAAAGGAAATCCAGAAGAGTCCTATGATTTGATTATACAATTGAACTCCAAAATTAATTGTATTTGGATGAGAATAGATATCATTTGGTATGTAGTGGCTATGTAAATAAAGACAAATTTGTCTTCACTGAGTATTCCTTTATGTCATAATGTGTATTGCTTATGAATACCTTGTAAATAAAATAACAACTTATTGGCATTAATTTTCTTCTTTCTTTGGTGCTGGTAATACTAATCATGATTGTTAGACTATCTGCTGCCAACATTATTTGTGCCAACATTTTTACCAGAAATAAATGGTTTCATAAAAATCTTTTGTGTCCTTTGTCAATTTTTAGGGAGTGGTTTGATGCGCTACTGATTTAGAATCATAACTTCATACATCGTCACATGAATGAATAGATGACAGTATTATCACTAATATTGTTAAGAACATTTGCAAAACAATATATGTATTGAATTTAGGAGCAACATTTTCAGTTTCACAACGCAACATCTCAAACAATATTGCAAATTAATTATAAGAATTAACACAATCTCTGTGTATTTTGTCAAATACAATAGTGATTTTATTTACAAACTTGTACAAAATCTTACAATTTACATAGTAATGTGTGATACATATAATCAATTTTTTGGCATCCTGTACAAAACAAATCTAAACACACAAACCTGCAATTAACAATGTTCATAAAGTACAATTAATATCATGAAATTCAATGAAAAATGTGATTGTAAACAGAAATATAGTTTATTGCACAAATGTTTATATTTAAGTATTACATTTTAATCTCTTCAATTCAATTACCTACCATTCTCCCTTTGTGTGTGTGTGTGTGTGTCCCTCTCTCTCTCTCCTCCCCCTCTCCGTCTCTCTCTCTCTCTCTCTCTCTCTCTCTTTGTATTTAAATCGCCTCTCTCACCCTTCCAATACTCTCTTTATAAATGTTTCTTTATTTCCAAAATAATCTAAAGCATAAGAATAGCATTCAATGAAACAAAAATCATACTATATACTATGCATATCTTGAATATTGTTTACATCAACCTTACAGTTACATCCCCTTCCATCCCACAAAGTAACTTGTATCCAATATTATAAACTCACAACGTCTAAAATGATATACAAATTCATGGCATCAACATGTTTTCATGAGTAGAATAATAATGTCTACATTTATCATACTATCGAGTATTATATTAGGGTACAAATAATGCTTGGATGATTAGTGATACAACATTTCATTGAAATCGGAGATTTTAAAAGACTCCTATGAAAATAGTTTTTTTTTAGAGTTACATCTAATGAGTAGAGAAATGAATGAATGAATGAACGAATGAAGTATTGTTTAGAGTGATCCTGCACTCGATGCATGCTATAGAAGTCCATGCAGAAATCCATGCAGTGTGTATAGCCAAGAAGTTAATAGCCTAGTAACTTCTTGGTATAGCTATCCACCATAATATAATAAACATCGAGACGTCGTACATTTTATGTACACCATGGGAGTTTATTTTAATACACGTACCAAGAGTTGATGACTCCTTAAATATATTGTAGAACATTCTCTTAAAATCGTCTACATTAGTCATAATTCAAATCGAGTGATTTATTGGTTTGTAGACAAACAAATCGCAATTTGTTTGGATGATCACTGCAATACAACTCCATATAAATGTGTTCATACTCATAGAATAATGATTGAATCTCAAATAGAGCAATGCATTTCCATCAAACCACAGGATACCTGTCTTTTCTATTATGAATACTTTCTTCCATTCTTTGCTCCTTGTCTTTGCATGTTTTTTTTTTTGTGTGTTCTGTTTTTTCAAACACAATTTTATGTTTCCTCTGTTCTATAATTACTTTCCAACGTTTTCATAATTTCAAAATTCCTTCTAAGGCCTCTTTACTTCATTTTATTCCATTGATAGATCTTTTTGTTTAAAGATGAGTCTTGTTCACTTGGTCCAAAGCCTAAATTCACTCCAGCACTGACCAGCATTATATAGTTCTCTTTGCGGGTTTTCCTGGACAAGTGAATTCTTCTCTCCGTTCAAAGAATCGTTTCAAAAGAGGAATGCACCATTGTCATACTGGAATCTTGGAAGTGAAGCTCCTGAGGAGGAGTTAGCTCTACTATGTCCACCGTTAAAACTGTACCGAAACACATTACTGTGTGGTCTTGACACAGCACCGCTATTCAACGGCAACATGTGCTGCTCTGCTGATGTGTTCTTTGTGGTGGTGTTCAATGATGTCGAAGCGGTTAATTGTCCTTTACGTCGAGGGCTTCGCGGTAGTGGCGCGGTTGAGCAGCGGTCAATTGTTGCTGGTGACCGCTGTCGCCTTTCAGCAGTACTTGTTTCCCTTGTCTGTCTGTCGAGGGTTCCGGTACCTAAGACTCGCTCGACATCAGGGAAGCCCTCGTTTCTGTGGTATGCACTTAGTCGAGATGGTGAAGGAAGTGAGTTTTGTGGCCACCAGGTGAGCGAGGCACGCGATAGAGCTAAGTCCTGCGTTTTCCCGCCAAAATATCCACTAGCACTCTTCGGCCATGTACATACAACGCGCCGCGTGCTGGGCGAATTTTGTCTTCGACGTTCTGAAAAGATAGCACATAGATGATAGATCTGCAGGACAAGAATGAAGACGTTTTTGCCAGCGAAGAAGAAAGTGGTTTCATCAAATTCATTGAACCTGATTAAGAAGTAGATCCGCATAATAAGAAATGGTCCATCCTGCATGAAGATGGCCACGACGATGTCTTTGATCTCCCAAGGACAGACCGACCGGAGACTAGAGCTGGTGGTGCCGTCCCAGCTGAGGTCTTCAGATGAACCCCAGATAGTTGTACTGCATGGTCCTAGGGTGTACTGCAGTAGACTCCAGGACCAGATGACCATGACTGCCAGAAGCAGGACCCTGTCGCAGGTCAGGACCTCAACACGCATACCCTCTGAGATGAACTCTAGGATATCAGCAGCTGAAGCGACATAAACCAGCATCGTCAAGGTAAGGTGCTCTCTGGAAACCTCGGAGGAACCGATCTTAGGTAGAGGAACCGCTCCAGGACGAGCAGAAGCAAGAGGGACTGGTGGATGATCAGAAGCCATGATGAAGTCGTCATGGAGAGGAGCGATGCTGGTCGATCAATGTCAATCACCTGAGTAAAATAGAAAACAAAGAAAGCATTTGATTTAATTCACATTGACTAATTTGATATCAATCATATTTCTTGCAAAATGTAGATTGAATTGCAGACGATAATGAGGCTATAACAACTGCATTAAATAACCCTAATATTTTCTCATACAAAAGAATGAACATGAAAATAATAAGAACATTAAACCTAGATGCCAGGAGCAGTTTGTCGATTCTACATGTTCCTTTATTGTATACCCCCCCCCCCCCCCACTTTTGGTTGACATAACGTTTGCGTTTACCAACATGCTATAATCAAAACTACACAAACTGAATAAATTTATCAAGTGAATTAATGAACAATAAATTCAAGAACAGCGCAGCTCCTGTATTCTAATGAATAATATCTTGTCAAGTTTCAATTCAAATAAATCTTGAAGGATGAGTACAAGGTTTTCTTCAAGATGTCTCCTTTCCCCCCTAGCCATTAATCTGGGAAGGAGCCAACAATGACTCGGTAAAGTGGTTAACATCCCATTCAATAGATTAAAAACATCCTTGAATAGTAACAAAAAATCCTTAGCTCTCGTGACTGCCATTTCTCGGTCAATTTCTTCTGAACCAAAATAGCCTTGTGAATATCTCGCATTTAATTGTGGGAATATTCCTACACGCGATCTTGTATCTATTTACAAGGACAATTGAACTGACCCTTGAGAAAAGAAAAAAGGTTGCGTGTTTATATTTAAACGTAGTCAAGAGCGTTAATCAATTGGCAGTTAGTCTTTATCAAGATCCAACTGGGATACACATTTATCTTGGCCATCAACTTAGACCATTCGGTCTTGACATTGAAAAAATACGTTTCATTGTATTTGATGTAACCATTTTCAGCATTATATCTTTTGAGAAAGAGATCCCATATTCATATTATGTACGTTCTGAGTTTGTATTTTTAATTCTTATTCCGTTTTCTTTTTATAAAGTCTGCTTTGATTTTGAATATCATATATATCTTGTACTCTGGAAGACATCACAAGTCATGACTCTGTCTGTGCAGCAGGGGCCGATCCACGTAGCGATTATTCCGGCCCGGCCCCCCCCCCCCTAGCACCCCAAAACGATAAAAAAAATAGGATAATAACGTAAAGTTAACCTTTATAAAACAAAAAACAAAGCGCCCCCCCCCCCGCTTATTCGCCGGCCGGCTGAGTCGGCAATAAATTTTGTATTAAGATTTAGCTACCCACCCCCCCCCCCCCCCTTGACGCCGTCTGGATCCTCTGCAGGCTCGGATCCACGGGGGGGGGGCTGACGGGTCAACAACAACAAAGAATTTTTTAAAAAAATTCTCACGAATTAGGTGAAGAAAAAAAAAAAAAAAAAAAAAATCAAAAATAGTGGTCTCACCCCCCCCCCCCCGCTTATTCACCGGCTGACTGAGTCGGCGCATAAATTTCCTGAAAAATTGGACCAAAAAAAAAAGTGCCTCCTACCCCCCCCCCCCCCCCCGCTTATTCACCGGTGGCTGAGTCGCAACTAATATTTTCTCACGGATTGGCCCCCCCCCCCTCTTCCCGCCGGCTGGATCCGCCACTGCTATGCAGTGCTAATTTACATTAATTATAAATCAATGGTAGAGGTATCTTAGTCGAGTGGTTTAAGCACTTGACCTGATTTCAAAGGCAGTGGGTTCGACCCCGGACATGGCACTTATGTCCTGTGGCAAGGCATCAATCTACATTTGCCGCTCAATACCAAGGAGAGAATTTGGACCTTGGAAGGATGAACAAAGCCTTTGTGTTATTTATTCTATATGTCCTCACGGTGACCATTATGGCAGGAATACTCCCCCAGGGAGTGATATTGTGCACATTGTGTGTGAACGAATCCGATTGCAGGGGTTATAATCAATATCTGTAAAGCGCTTAGAGACGGTATTTCGTATTAGGCGCTTTATAAATCAAGATTATTATTATTAAATTATATTATTTTTTTAAAAATCATTAGGGCCATCAAATAATTTTTCCACGAGTCTTTTCATTTCATTGGAGAAGCATGAATAAGTGTTGTACTCGTAATGTCAGCATTACGAGTTTTCCAGATATAGTAGGCATAATTCTCTTGAATCAAATCAATCCCCTGTTTCCTGACTACTCGTATTTGGACTAAATTATGCTTTGATAACTATGTCAGAAATAGAGCGGGTGGGAGAGGAAGTATTAGAGAAATAGAAGGTCAGCATGAGAGGGGGGAGAAGAATGAAGGAGCGTGGTAGATATATAGAGTGTATAGGGTAAGAGAGAGAGGAGGGGTAGGGAGAGGGGGATAAGGGGAGAGAGTTAGAGGAAGAGATCGAGGGGAGAAGGAAAGAGAGAGTTAGATTAATAGAGGGGAGAGGAATAGAGAAAGAGAGAGCGCGATATGGGAGTCTGATGGAGAGAATGGAGTTTTAGAGATTAGTGAGAGAGAGAGAGAGAGAAAAAAAGATAGAGAAATAGAAGAAAGAGGGAGAAATAGAGAGAAAGAGAGAGAGACATAAAGAGAGAGATTAAATTTTGACAGAACGAGCGACCATACTTTTCTAATATCGTGCAGACGAACAGAAGGCAAACTTTCCATTACCTCTCTCTCGGGATCTTGTCTAATTCACACTGACAAACCCATGATTCAGATGACAATTCAATTAAATAGAAAACACAGGCACAAAAGTCGGCGACTGTAAACCACTCATCACCGATTGAGACATCATGGTCCTACAGAGACCAACGCCAAAGACAAACCTATACCACAGACCAGACAGACAACATTATGAGGTGTCGTCGTAAACTTCAAGATATTTTTTGTCTTACTTCTTCCCCCCTCTGTTTGGAGCCGTTTCACATCCTCTTTCAAGATTAGTCAGTTCCCGTAGTGAGACGTTGTGGATTGAACGATTTTCAGAATGAAAATTGAATTAGAGAATCTTTCCTGAAGGTCCGAAGAAGGAAATGAGACTCAAAATGACAAATTCCCTGGAAATCTGACCATCCTATTGATTCTGTCTTCTTAGTAGAATAAACATCTATATGAATTTGGTCATATTACTGTTTGAAATCCACTTTCCTGATAAACATTCTGTCCCGACATTTTATTTTACGTTAGAAGTAGGCCTAACTAATGAACCTAGTAACCCGGGTTGCTTATTATCATCATTTTCCATGATCTCATTACTTTGTTGGAAATTATATTTTAGTAAATTCTTTAAACTTGTAAAAAAAAAATGGACAAGGTATTTCATACAATATTGCCAATATTTCAGTCATTACGTCTTACAACAGTCTGACCTATGCATCGTTTAGTTATGCATGTTTTTCTTTGAATATGACAGTCGTACGTGTATCCTGGTAATGATGTTGTTTATTTATATTGGTCAGTCGGATGTACTAGGTACCCCGACGTAACTTCTGTCCATTGCATTCAAGATGTTAACTGCAGCAGACGCAATGAAATACGAGTACTTAACAGATAATTACATCCTTCTTATATTCCTGTTGTATCACTTACACCATGACCGCTGTTAGTTAGCAGCTGTCGATCATACAGATGGAACTAGCACGACAAAATTAATTGACCGTTAAATGCTAAAGAACTTGGCTTTAGAGATCAATTCCTGGGTGATATGCTTTGTTTAAAAGTATATTCGGCTGGCGACATTTGGCGACATTTTGTAATTAAGCGGTCAACGAATTTCTTAGTTATTTCATGACAATAATTTGTATGAATATGGATATTTGAGACTCTTCGTTGTAAACAAGAAGCTCTCTGATCACAAAGATAGCCAGAAAGGGAGCACTTTCGACACAGAACTCGTTAAACAGTAGCTTCCAACTTTAAACTTGTATTTTAAAGAGTGGTAATAATACGATATGTTTTCCAAGAACAATGGACAAGATGAAAGATAATTTTGTAATTGATCGCCCTCCGTGTATTCGAAATTAATCCCCATGGTGATTACTTCAAATATTAAAACTAATTTAAGATTGATGTTATCTCTCTATTCATCCATTTAATTACCCACCCCACCCCTTTCTCTTTCGCGCTCTCTCTCTCTCTCTCTCTCTCTCTCTTTCTCTCTCTCTCTCTCTTTCTTTCTCTCACTCACTATTTTCAGCAACATAGAAACGGAAAGGGTCTGTATAGTTTCGTTGGTTGGACTTGTGAGGGAGTGAGAGAATGGTCCCTGGATACGAAGAGGCTTGTCGGATATTGGTCAGACCGAGACCGTCGAGCAAAACACACATTAAACGTTGTGGTTTCCGCGGCGTCACTGGCCAAACAGTGCGTTATAAATTATAGATGTGAACAACTTATTCTAGAATCACGATTTTACATGTGATAAGGAAAAACAACTTTGCAAATTTTGATTTGTACCGGTATTAAAATGGGGCTTGACAGACGAGGGCTGAATGTTCTATTTAAAGCACTAAGATTTGTTTTTTGATTTTTCTTCTACAGTGGTTGGTTAACTGTTAGCAGGGGCGTCGCTCCTATATTGTGCCCGCTTCCCCGGTAATACGGTAACAGCTGTTCGTCACATGCCTGCGATTAATGTGTTCGCCCCCCGCCCGGCATCCTGAAAAAAATTGACGCCCTGATGCCGAAGGCATGGGTTTCTGGCTGGAAACTTGTAGTAGCGCGATCTATATCTGTGTCTTAAAAACTATAGTCGAACTTTATTCGGTTTGCGCTTCCTTTTAAGCAACAATTCTGGAACCAAAAATCACTCGATAATGAATTCCCTCACATCGACGCGAAAGCAAGACAAATCCTTATACTCGAAACTGGAGAAATCAAAGAGTATCTGATAATATATCTCCGCAACTGTTTGTCTGTCTACACTCGAAGTTGTCGTCCTAATTTTGAGCATGCGATTCTGTACGTCATATAATCTATAGAAATGTTTCTCTTTTCTTATTTTTAAGGAGGGAATTTAATTTCCAGGCTTTCGAATTCGATCGGAAGTGATCTAGAGGAGACATTTCGCGCCCGTTACGAGTTCAATATGCAGCGCAGTGATGCCCGGGAGTTGGCGTCGAAAGGACACTTCTTACTTCAGCAGGGAGCAAGAAACTCCAAACAAAAATTGTCATCCTGTGAGTTTGCAAAGCCACTCTTGACACATGAAGCAAACTTCAAGGCATCACCAAACTCTAAAGATTTGCGACCCTGTTAGTTTGTAATCCAAGTCATTCTTTATAAAATAATGTGGTGGGTTGAATGAACGTAGTTTATATAATATACCACGCCCTGTATCTTCACTCACTAACTTAATAAATGTTTACAAAACAGGAAGTGCAATCGCTAGACTTTTGCTAATTTTGTGCATTCGGTCCGTTTGATATTCCGACGAGATTATGCTTTGATTGTTATGGAGGAGGAAAATGCTTAACACGACTGTTCCACCGTCTACATATATATATATATATATATATATTTAGAGAAAGTGTATATTCCTAACATGCAGAAACTGCACATTATTATTCAAATTCAAAACCCTTTTTAACCTATACTAACCAGATAATGACGTCATATGGTTGATTTTCAAAACCAATGAGGTCTAGACTTGTGATACGAATCAAAAGCACGAATTGGTCTTGAACTTTTTGGTCAGTCATTGCGACTGCTAGGTCAAGACCCGCGTAATAGCTTTGTTTATACGACAGCTACACAGTAGTTTGGAAATGCACCATTTCCCGAGTCTTGAAGGATAGATGATTTCCTAACTAAAATAAACATACAAACCGTCCAAAAAAGGTTCAGTCCAGAGCATCGCACTCAAGAATCATACTAATCTTCTATCACTTGATGTCTCAACCTATGAGGACTGTAAATTCTAAACGTCATCTTTCTTCTACTGTCAGAAAATTAATCTTCGCAGAACAAGAAGAAACGAAGCACAAATATATGATATTAATGTCTCATAATTTTTTTTTTAATTGTTGATAGCCGAAAAATAACTAAGAAAATGAATAGCGAGCTAGTCTTACCGTTGTCCAGACCTATACTTACCTTACAGTTGCATGTGGTTTTTGCTTAGTTTTTTGACAAGGTGATTTCCTGCAATGGCTAATTTCGTCATTTTTTAATCACTATTTTATTAATTCAAGCTACCAATGTACTGCATGGTATACCATCCCGAATCGCTTTTGAGCCAGTTTCTATGAAAATGTATTTCCATTATCAGACCCAAGGATTGGTTTTAGTCCATATTCTAGAGCCCATCGTAGCCCTGACCCGACCCGTCTAAAGGGGAAGGTCCACTCAAGTTATAAGCCGCCTCCACCCGGGTAAGCTCTTCGGTCAATTAAGACTGAACTATCTGTATCCTTCACCCATCAATATGCTCAGTCGGTCAAGGGGAGGGAGGTATCAACAAAAGCCCTGTAGAGTACCTACGACTTTATCGACATTACAACGACAACAACAACGAAGGCAACAACAACAGCTACAGCGACAGCTACACATTTTCTTCTCATAACAACCTGATTGCGCACTTTGTATAATCCACTGATTTTCAACTTTGAAATTAATATTTTTGTACGTGTACATAACAAACTGATTGTGCACTATTCATAATCCAACTTTGAAATAAATATTTTGTACGTGTACATTGTGGGTCTGATTGGTTACATTATTACGTGAGCCAAGAGGCAATGACCTAATGTGAGTTCTTATGAATCAGGGTTCAGTGTTTAAAGGTCTCTCCTTCGAAAAGAAGGAGAAAACGGATAATCAAACTGGAAAGGGGCGATCAAAATGACGCTAAAATATTGCCCATATTCCTATAACAACGATACCAATTATGACATAACAAAACTATAAATAAATGTTATGAGTTATGACGTGATTATCAATTTTATATCAATCTATACTATCATCTTCTTTAACCTTTGCTATAAGTGTGATGAGCTGTATGTGTTCTAAACATGTATTTTAAACATGTAGCTATACTGACTGATGTGTTTGAGGATGCCAGATCAAGCTGCGGATGCATTGGTCAAAGGGAATCAGTACGATGGATGTGAAGTATGTGAACATAGTTCCATCATCAGAGTTCCTTCCCCTATGTTTCCTGGAGTAACAGCTTATGTGGATATTACCACTAATACCACTACTGAAAACATCTAGCCACATTATGAAGTTCAAAAGGATACACTATGTGTTTTCAGTAGATTATATAGAACGGCACACTATGCGCGGTTTTATGGGCGTAAATCGAGTAGGGAAGGGGCGTAATCATCCCACGTTTTAGTCGCATGGGTTTACAACAGAAATATAATTGCCTCTCCAAATATTCATGGTAACTTTCCTTTTAAAGTGATCTTTCAAATACAGGATTGCGCAGAAATACTGAGTACCATAATTTTTACCTACAAAATGCAAACGATTTCACCCTCATAAAAGAAAATATGGACCTTCACAGTCTACATTGCCTCTCTTCCCCATGGATGTTTTATCACAGCGTTAAGACAAGGCATGAATGATGTAAACTTAAAAACAACCGGCCACCTGAATGAATATCCAGTACGGGGTAAAAACAATGCCTATCCTATTACATCCATACTAAACTGATTTATCATATTTACAAGATTGTAGATTATAAACAATATCAACCTCAAGCATATCAAGGTCTTTGTTGAATGGCCATAGTTTTCATCCCCTCTTAATCCAAGCGAATTACGCCCCTCGACCCGATTGTTCAGTCTATATCGGAGAGGTATACGACCACGCCCACAATTCGCAACAACTTCATCCTACAAGACTTTAACGTCGCTAAATAAATACTTTTTGCTTATCAACGACAACAACCAATTAATATATAGTTTGTCAAAACAAGCGATATCTTATTTTACATGATGGTGGATTTATTACGTAATATGGATACATGACATAATTGGTATGAGACGATACAAATCATCGATAATTAATTAATTAAATTGTTAATTGGTCTTAATTACCCTAGGTATATAGCCACATCAGTATTAAATACTGTTTTTCCTGCGGGCCCCGCAATCATTATTAACGCAATATTGCCAGGTACTATGTATTGGATCGAGCGAGACAAAGTTGAATGTAGGCAGAACACCTATTCTTATGAGAGTCAAGAGCTTTCATCATATACCACAATGCTCATGACAAGCAAGAGAGAGAGAGAGAGAGAGAGAGAGATAAAGAGAGAGAGAGAGAGAGAGAGAGAGAGAGAAGTAGTTATGTCTCACCTTCAATATTTTGATGGATTACAATGCAATTCTACATTTTTTCTTATTCATGATTTAGCGCTGTTTCATGGACATTGAGGAATAAAAATTCGAAACAAGCACTGGAATTTACACATGACAGATCATTATCGGCATTTTTTTTTACCACAAATACATCGATCATATTCCGAAAACAGGTGAATCACCATGGCAACAAACAAAGCAAACATGGAAAGTAAGACGCAGGGATACCCACATCCTTGGTGTTTTGAATGCCAGACTGGCGCCAAGAAGGAAAAGGTACTCGCAGGAATTATATCCGTTTGCTTTTCCATTGTGATTTATAAAAATCGAGAAAAGCTACATCATGGTCTTTGCTTCGAATAGAAGAAACAATAAGCGTATAACTATATCACCCTTGATATAATTGAATAGAAAGTTGGAGGTTGTTACCTATGTTTTAAAGTTTAAAGAGTTTCAATACTTTTTAAAATACTAATGCACAAAGCAACGAAGGACAATTACGAGGTCTTGACAACATGGAGAAAATGTACGTCGACTCCGGGGTCAGGGTGGAAATGGGATTGATTTGGATATGTTTAAATTATAGGCATAGATGTATTAATTTCAATCGTATTTTAGTGTTTAAAAAACAGAGCCAATTATGTCACGCCGTCAAGAAACAGTCGTGTACAAGAATCAGAGTAAGTTATGTAAACGTATCTATTGCCCATATTAATTTTATAATTTCTGTAAACCCTTGAGGCTTTCATCAGACCTGCCTCTCGAAAACGAAGTTTCACTTGTCGCCGGGACACATGAAAACGAGTTCGCCTGACCGCCTGGTCGTGGAAATGCTAGATTTCCGATCGGATGGCGCGTCAAGCTTCTGGAAAGAGCGTGACATCAACAAGCAATATATTGTAGACGAGATGATCAACTTTCGCTAACGCCCCCTGACTTTCCTCTTTCTTGTCCTGGTGCGTGTTGATTGAGGAGAATGGTGAGTGATGGCGAAAAAACGGATGCCCAAAATGTCGCGCCGATGTAACGTGTGTATTCCGAGAGAATGCTTGAATTACGACGCAGAAGTTTTTGCCAAATGATCGAGTAAAAAAAATGTCGAGAAAAGAATCAGGGTTTTGGGTCGAAGGAGCAAATGAAAGGTGAGAGGAAATGAGTCGAAGAATAATTGTTCTGTTAACTGGTAGCCAGCCAGATTACTAATCCTCTCCAGTGTTCCACAATTCTCCACCCGTTTCACAAAGGACATGAGTGTCTGAGTTTCGTATGTATGACTATGTCTGCCATACCCGCCCTTTTTTATATTTAGGCATTTTAATTGTCTTTTAACCATTTTTGTCACCAGATGTTAATCTACTATTAACCCACTTTGATGTTCCTCAGTAATGTGTTCGAATCTATAAAAAATTGTCTTGTATATATGTAAGTATAAAAATGGAGGCCTTCCTTCACGCTATCGACATAAATAATACTCGCTAAAATCTTTTTGTGTTCATATCTCAAGTTTAAGTATAAATGTTGTTGACAAAACAAACGTTTTTATTATGCGATTTAGGTAGTCAAAATCCTTATTTCGCGTTTGAAAGAGATACATCTTCATTATAGAAAATGACTACAGAAGGCAGAAATTGTTTCTTACCTTCATGGCCTCTTCTGTAACAGACTCGTTCGTCGCGTTCCGCAGAAGTCCATGGCTCAGATCTGGGAGATTACAGTGTGGTGATGGGTCCAGAAGAGCCCAGAAGTCCAAGTCTATCTCTAGTCGGTGAAGTTCCAGGAACCACATACAAGGGATGACTGAGATAAGGTAGATGAGAACACTTGGACAAAACCTGAAAAAGATACCAAGAAAAAACGAAAATAGATCAGTAAAACAGTAATAAGACGACGAGAATCTGGTTCACATTAAACCAGTTCATACATGTATTCAAATTTCACTTAACAATAGCTACGAGTGACGACCTGTTACCATGACAGAGACTTAAGAGCAGGAGATCGTAGACAGCAAACTCAGACTTTTTAATTAATTCTTTGCAATTTCGTGCTAATATTGGCACGTCTTATTATTAAAAATTCACTCACATGCTTTTCGTGAACGAGCCCCCTCCCCCGTATGTATACGCCCCAAAGTATCTCTCTCCTGTGCTCCATCTTAATCTCAATCTATCAGTTCATATTTCTATTATTAATTTCATGCAGGTTTGTGGTGATACTGGTATGTTCTTATTCATGTGTACTTTGAGGTAGCCTATCCCTAGGGACTTGGGTCATGATCTAGTATGTTTCATTGCCCGAACTACATCCCTCATGCACCGTGTGAGTTCCTTCCTGCTTCTGGATCTGTCCGATCAGTATCTAGGGTTTCATCATGATTCTTCTTCTTCAGCGGGGGTACGTAGTCAGAGTTTTGGTTTCTATTAGACAAGAGTCACAATTCTCCATCACCTGGTCTGCATCGAGTTCATTCTTAGATCGATAACATCGCATGGTCAGATAGGTATCAACTTTAGAACTGTATGGTTTCTATCTTCCAAATGTCATTCCGAGTAGACAAGGGTTTAATTCAGAGTATTTTAATTTAAATATATACAGAATGCCCGAATAAGGCTGTTGGTTATCAACCCATAAGCCTTGTTCTGGAGTATCCACGAGGAATTGTCACAGATTTCCTGATTGGAAGCCATTATTACTAAGAAATCACCAACAATGATATCGTTTCAATTCTTGTTCTTTTTTGATCAAATTATTCATGTAAATCAAAAAACTTATAAAAGCCACCTGGCAAGTATCACGCATGCTCATATCACACTTTGGACTTTATTTTACCCTCGTTTTGGTGTGGTCTAAGGTAATTCCATGTCAGGAGAGTCAGGGAAGATCAAATATCAATACTTTCATCATGTCAGTTTTTCAGGTCGACCGTATTGATTTTCATTCTGTCTAAATTTAGCTGAACATTAAACGCCAACTTAATAATCTAATGTATCATATAACATTGTTTCATTACAAAAAACGTGTTTAAATTCGTTTTGCATTATGGATTGGTATTGCATTTTGTGTCAAGAGATTTGCTCACGATCTGGAATATTATCTGAACCTTCCGTGGATCTCTACCCTAACCCCCACCCCCTCTCTATCTTTCTCTCTTTCTAATTTTTTCTCCCCCCCCCTTTTTCCATCCCTTCTCTCTATCATCCTCTCTCTCTCTATCGTCACTCATTTTTTTCTATTTCACTCACTTACTCATGTACTCTTCTTCCTTCTTTTTATACGTATTTTTCTTCTTTCTTCTCTCTTTTTCCGTCGTCAGTTTAAAGTCTGGGATTCCTTAAAGACCCAAAATATTTTGTTGTTGTTGTTTGGTGGCGGTGTTGCTATAGTTACTTGGAACAGATTTGTGGGGATTGTGCCCCCTTCAGGTCAATTTTTTTAAAACAGATTCCCAGATCAACCCTTGTCAACATAAATTTCTAAACCAACGCATACCGTATTCTTCTGAGAGAATGGTTCAGAAGATGAGTGGTTTCGTATATCATATTCATTTATGTGTCCACTTCCCTCCCATATCACATTCTAAAATGACCCCAAAACATACAACCGTCACCATTAGGCCGGACTACAGAGGTATCATGAGACCGAGCTAAAAATATGGACCAATGATACACGGATAGGATATTTCTAGATTCTCTATCACCCACTGCGATGTGTAAAATTTCCTGTATCTGGAAATGTAAATTCATTCCGTCCGTCTGTAAATAACGTCCATTTTTAAACTAAACTGCATTCTGACATAACAACTGCGTAGTCCAACCAGTTTAAAACACCTCCCTGGTCCAACTAAACGAGGTCCCGTTCTTGTTGCCAAAAAAGTTGTTAAAACTAAGTCTGACAAAAACACATCTGAACACCACAACAATGCATTACGTTAGAGAAACTGATGTGTTCTTGCAAAGAGAATAAAGTTTTCATAGATTGGAAACTGTATAGAAAACTGTCGTGCAACATGGGTCCAGCCGCTAACAGACATGGGTGTAAATGGGGGGGGGGGGCACTTGAGTAAGGCGGTGGATGAAATGCGAGAGAACGTAGGTTGTATGTCGTATCCTTTTCTTTTAATTTATCTTACCCACCCCACCCTTTTTTTTCTCTCTCTCTCTTTCTTTTTTCTCTCTCGTCTAGTAGCTACACCACTGTATGAAAGTGCCCCCACAAGGATGTTGAAAATATCAACAAGTCAAAGTTGGTGCGATACAATTCCGATCTCAGAAATCATTCCAATTAGCTTTCCGGAAATAGTAGGAGAGCTTGAAATCGAACTTTCAGAATTCCTTAATCAAGATTGTTATCGGATTAAAAGCACTCTTTATCTGCTAAAAATCTAATAATGAATGAGTAGTACGTGCAAAATTAGGACAACTTTCTGTCAACTTTCCATGACCTCTTCATCACATCTAGCCTCTAGCTGTTATTCCACACGCTACAGTTATATCCGAGTATGGATGATGAACCTCCCAACCAATATTGTCGTTCGGAAGTCTTTTCAATTTCATCACCAGAAAACTACTCCCAGAACGATGTTTGGAGTGTATGTCATTGCCCTCCTTGGTCTTCACAAGAAAACAATATATAGTTCTTCTCGCGGTTCTTGGAAAAATAAAACATCAAGTTTTCTGTTGTTCGCTTTTACTAAATAAAAAACAATCGAATCGAATGTGAGTTCGAACTCCATGTGAAATAGATGTTAACCCTTAATTAACACGCCCATTGAGAAGAAAACATTCTTCATGTTTTTGTAAACTCTTTGACGACCGTGCCCGAAATATCTATGAATGGGGTTTAAGGGTACATGTAATCAGGCGCGTACGCAGGGGGGGGGGGGGGGGGGTTGTGGGTCGAAACCCCCCCCCCCAATTTTTTTTTTTATGTGTGTGTTTTGGAGGAAAAAAACCTCAAAAAACCCTCAAAAAAAAAAAAAAAAAAAGTGCTCTTACCCCCCCCCCCTCCCCACTTATTCACCAGCTGGCCGATTCGTTGCGAAATTTTTCATCAAATCCTGGACCCCCCCCCCAAAAAAAAAAGTGTGCTCTGACCCCCCCCCCCCCCCCGACCCCCCCCCCCCCACCCCACCTATTTACCGGCTGGCTGAGTCGTTGCAAAAATGTTCATCAAATCCTGGACCACAAAAAAATGCTCTTACCCCTCCCCCCCCCCCCCCTCCCCCACCGCTTATTCAGCGGCTGGCTGAGTCGTTGAGAAATTTTCGGCGCGATTTTCTAATTTTAACTCTCCCCCCCCCCCCCCTCGAAATCATTCTGCGTACGCCCCTGCATGTAATTATCAAAATCAAACTGCAGTTAGTGGATTACACATCTGCATCATTGTTAAATGATGGAAGAAATCTTTTACATTCAGAACTGTGCAGTGGATTTATATCAAGCCACAGATGTAACAATGGTTTGGTAGCAAGTTTGGTTGTTACGTAATTCTGCGAAAGACATAATTATCACTCAAGAGAACTAACAAGAATGTGAGAGGTTGTCTGTAGCCCCTAATTGACTCCATGAAAGTGTTTCTAGACACAGCATTTAGATCTAAAAGAAAGTGGAAATGTATAATTTGATAATGTTTAAATGGAAACTTGATTAGGATGATCTAGTTAATTTTGTGAGGCACTTTTATTAGCACGAGTTTCACGCATTGCCCTTTCGTACCTAATTTCTATCGAGGGAAATGTGGATTTTACGTAACTAATTTCCGAACAATAGTATATAGGAAAATAGTGATATTTTCAAATTAAGATAAAAACCATACCCTTGATAAACAAAGGTGGTTAACCAAGATTACAACGATATCTTTTACCTCGTTTTAAAACAACAAATACTAAATAACTAACGGATTTTCTTGTTAGATTGACAATTTGACTCTTTAAGGGAAGAAAGTAATCAGATCTGTTTGATCTGAAACACGTACCATTGCAGATTATTAAGTTCGAAAATAAATTTGTGAAAAATATTTCGGCAATTTTGTAAAGATTGAATTTACCATCTACCTAAGATAACGTCCACTGTATGATTTTTTTGTCACAGACTTTATTACAAAAGACCTTTATTCTTTATCAATGAGCACATTGTTATGTAATATATATATAAGTGATACTTTAGGTTTAAGAAAAGGGGATCATCTAGGTTGAAAATATAAAGTGATCATTAGCAAACTCAAATACTGATCGGGTGCAAGTTTTATCTAAAGTGATAATTCACTTGACTGATACATGTATAGAGTTGTCAGTGACCATGAATTTACATAAGTGGCAGTCAAATAGGCATGCTCATTCTCATGAAAATACAATGTTTTATTTTGCAGTGATCATGGGTAGGAAAAATTATAGGTGGAAGAAAAGCGCTTTGAAACCTAATCGCCTCTCACAAAATATGAAGGAATAACCCTTTATACCTTCTTAATAATAATAATAATAATAATAATATTTAATTTTTATATAGCGCTTATTACCAATGTCTCTAAGCGCTTTACAAATATACTATTACCCCGGTCATTGGATTCAGTCAAATTATGATACACTTCTACTTCTATGACGATACTCAGCAAGATCTATAAGCTAGGATGTAGAGTGAAGCACTTTGCATGACAAGACAAAGAGTCGGTGATTTCCCAGTAGACATTTACGTGGTCAAGAGCCCCAGAGGATACGTACGGTGAGGTCAATAATTGCGTCACAAAAACAAGTTTTTCACAATATTTGGGAAATTGGAGAAATTAAATGGGATTATGTTCATTATGAATTATGCATATTAAGCAGAGTCATGCATTATGC